CGCATCGCAAATGTTTATGTCTTGGGCGTGCCCCCTCCCCACACCCCCCCCCCCTTGGCTATGCCGCAGATGGGAGCAAACATAATACAGCATGATGCTACATTTTTTGAGACACAAACAGCTATTTCAAACACAGTTGCCATTCTTCCTATTTGGCCGACAAGAAGCAATTAGTGACAAAGTGTCTTGCCCAAGGACACACGCACTTCATCCCCATAGGCTGGACTCCAAACCTCAATCAACTGCCCACAAATGTCTTGCATTAGATGCAACAGACAGCAAGGCCAAAGCGCTCCAAACCAGGAAGTAAAAACATCAATAAGGCCTCTGACTCCCAATCTGCCAGGATCAATTCAATTATTTTTTATTAACCTACTAAAAGGGATTAATTTTCTGTTACAAAACTGACTGCTTTCCTTTTCAAGGAAACCTGAACTAACTCTTTACCCCCCCCCCCCAATATAAATTTCCCACATTATGTATGTCATGTGAAAGTGGCTTTCCTGTCAGAAAATTAGGCCCATATGGGTCATTCTGTTAATTTGGGGCCACTTTTTTTCCCTTTCCCTGTTTACATCCGACATCTAAGGTCTTATTATTCTGAATCAACTCAATGCAGTCATCATCCAAGAGTTAATATGAATAGTAAACCACTTACCCACGAAACCAAAAAAAAATTGAAATCTTTCTTAATTAACCCTTGCCACCCTGAATCCTTCAAAATACACTTTGCCAAAGTGGCGGAATTTGGAGGATTGAGGATACATGACAAAGGTGCGTTACTGATTACATAGGATGCACTTTGTCAAGGTCTTGGGCTGGACTTTTTGTTCTTTTTGCTCAGCCATGCATAAATATTGGCCTGGATTATACTTGAAATCCTCCGTACTGCTCCAGGATGTCATTGGCCAAGCCTCAACATATTGACAGTCACTGCCGCAGGATTTTGCAGGATTCAGGCAGTGGTCACCCCTCCACGGACCATATTCAAAAAATAATGGAGGAATTTGCAGGATTGAGGCTATGCTATTTTTGTATAAGGCGCATTGGAGGATTTTGCAGGATGGAGGCTACATCCTAGCAAAAAGGCCTAGGGAGTTAGGGTTTTAATTATACAAAATGTTCTTACATGGCACATTACCAAGGAGCAAGGTAACAGGGACAGGAAAAAAATATCACACTTTGGACCCAAAATGTAGCCTAATCTGCCAGAAGCGTGGTCTGGAGCATTGAACTCCTGGTCTGCTGGTAATTCTGCAGGTTGTGGGTTCGAGTCCAGCCTGCGGCTAAGGTGCGCATGCCCTTGGTCAAGGCACTTGGTCACTCATTGCTTCTCTCCACTCAGGAGTAATTAGGTATCGGTACCTGTGAGGGCAGAGATGGTTATTGTGTTTGATCAAGAGCTACTTTGTGCCGAAATGGCAGCATCGAGCTGTATACTACCCAGGGAGCTGAGATGGTATTAGGAATGCTTCATTGGCCCAATGAGCAGGGTAATAATTATTATGTAGGGGCTTGAGCACCAACAATGGTGGATATGTGCGCTTTATAAATACGCATTAGACACGCTACATTGTGCTTGAAATTTGCACCTTTGCTGACACTATTTAATTTACAAATTTATTTTTCCAAAAAGCTGAATTCCATTTACAGAAGGTGAAATCTGTAAAATGCTGTTGTGTGAAGCAGAAATTCAGTGCCCCTGACAAACGCGGCAAGTCAATAGGCAAGGTTTGTTTTGTGAGTGTGACGCTTGCCATATGTTTCCTTAAACAACACCGAAACAACCGTGATCTTTACGTGCTAGCACCGCAGCATGGCAAACTACATTACTTGTTGCCTTCTTAACCTTCTTTTCTTGAACGTGTGCCAGTTCTGCTTTACTAAAGTGGTGTGAAGTGTTCTTTTTGTGTATGTGGTATATTGAGAGTTCCCAATTTTTTTTAAATTTGTTTTTATGGATTTCAGTCAATTGTGAGGTTTCTATGATACTGTGCTAAAGCACCGACCATATCAAAATTTTCAAATAATCAATATTGTGGAAATCCAGTTTTGGGAATATTTGATACCGGTGTATTGATAATCCCATGTAAAAGTTAAAGACCATAAAGATGACACTTTGATTAAAAAAACCCCAATTTTACAGCGAGGCCATAGCGCGTCAAACCAGGAAGTAAAAACATCAATAAGGCCTCTGACTCCCAATCTGCCACGGATCATTTCAATTATTTTTTATTAACCTAAAGGGATTAATTTTCTGTTACAAAACTGAATGCTTTCCTTTTCAAGGAAACCTGAACTAATCTATACCCCCCCCCCCCAATATAAATTTCCCACATCATGTATGTCATGTGAAAATGGCTTTCCTGTCAGACAATTAGGCCCATGGGTCATTCTGCGAATTTGGGGCCACTTTTTTTTCCTTTCCCTGTTTACATCCGACATCTAAGGTTTTATTATTCTGAATCAACTCAATGCAGTCATCATCCAAGAGTCAATATGAATAGTAAACCACTTACCCACGAAACCAAAGAAAAATTGAAATCTTTCTTAATTAACCCTTGCCGCCCTGAATCCTTCAAAATACTCTTTGCCAAAGTGGCGGAATTTGGAGGATTGAGGATACATGACAAAAATGCGTTACTGATTTCATAGGATGCACTTTGCCAAGGTCTTGGGCTGGACTTTTTGTTCTTTTTGTTCAGCCATGCATAAATATTGGCCTGGATTATACTTGAAATCCTCCGTACTGCTCCAGGATGTCACTGGCCAAGCCTCAAGATATTGACAGTCGCTGCCGCAGAATTTTGCAGGATTCAGGCATTGGTCACCCCTCCACGGACCATATTCAAAAAATAATGGAGGAATTTGCAGGATTGAGGCTATGCTATTTTTGTATGAGGTGAATTGGGGGATTTTGCAGTATTGAGGCTACATCCTAGCAAAAAGCCCTAGCAAAAAGGCCTAGGGAGTTAGGGTTTTAATTATACAAAATGTTCTTACATGGCACATTACCAAGGAGCAAGGTAACAGGGACAGGAAAAAAATATCACACTTTGGACCCAAAATGTAGCCTAATCTGCCAGAAGCGTGGTCTGGAGCATTGAACTCCTGGTCTGCTGGTAATTCTGCAGGTTGTGGGTTCGAGTCCAGCCTGCGGCTAAGGTGCGCGTGCCCTTGGGCAAGGCACTTTGTCACTCATTGCTTCTCCCCACCCAGGAGTAACTAGGTTAGTAACAAAGCTGTATACTACCCAGGGAGCTGAGATGGTATTAGGAATGTTTCATTGGCCCAATGAGCAGGGTAATAATTATTATGTAGGGCCTTGAGCACCAATAATGGTGGATATGTACACTTTATAAATACGCATTAGACGCGCTACATTGTGCTTGAAATTAAAGACGTTTGCTGACACTATTTAATTTACAAATTTATTTTTCCAAAAAGCTGAATTCCATTTACAGAAGGTAAAATCCGTAATTGCTTCTGTGTGAAGCAGAAATTCAGTGCCCCTGACAAACGCGGCAAGCCAACAGGCAAGGTTTGTTTTGTGAGTGTGACGCTTGCCATATGTTTCCTTAAACAACACCGAAACGACCCTGATTTTTACGTGCTAGCACCGCAGCATGGCAAATTACATTACTTGTTTCTTTCTAAACCTTCTTTTCTTGTACGTGTGCCAGTTCTGCCTTACTAAAGTGGTGCGAAGTGTTCTTTTTGTGTATGTGGTATATTGAGAGTTCCCATTTTTTTTTAAATTTTTTTTTTAAGGATTTCAATCAATTGTGAGGTTTCTATGATACTGTGCTAAAGCACCGTCCATATCAGAATTTTCAAATAATCGATATTGTGGAAATCCAGTTTTGGGAATATTTTATACCGGTATATCGATAATCCCATGTAAAAATTAAAGACCATAAAGATGACACTTAGATAAAAAAAACCCAAGTTTTCCACGGCTTTCTCTGGAGCATATTACTGAAACTTTTTAAAACAAATCTCAGCGCTGACAGTTTGTCCAAAACGGGCGGTTTCTTTTAAGGTTTTACATTGAGGGAACTGCGAATTCAGGAGAACGCAGAGCACAAAGCGACGCCGCTTGGCATTTCGTGATGCTTTTATTTTGAGTCATAAGCACAACTTGCTGCCAAATACATCCAACGTTAAACAAAAAGCAAAAGCACAAATGGGAGATTTATTTTGACGATAATCTGACGCACTTTCTATATTTTCGATATCCTTCCTCCATATCAAAAATGTCAATATATTTGATAGATTAACAAATTGCTATTGGTGATATCAATATATATTGAATAATCGAGTAATATCGATATATCGACGGTGCTTATACATTGTTGTAAATACTGTACTGACTTTATGTCGAAATTTTACACATGTGCAAGTTTTGTTTACTTTTTTCCACAAATTGAGGAAGGTTTCTTACCAAACTTGTCCAGCAGGTCCAGGTTAAATTGCACGTAAATTTTCTTAAAAATTAAACTTGATGAGGATACATGACCTGTCACTACAAAATGAGCACGCATAGTGAAATTTGTAGTCTTGTGGAGACATTTCTTTGTTCTCGTGTAGTAAAGTTTTCGAGTTTGAAAGTGAAGTTTCAAAAAGCTCTTATTTTAACCAGAGTTAATTTCCTTGGCTAAAATTTGGACTTAATATCCCTTTTCTAAAACTCTTCCATTTGTGACGGATCAACCCACCTTGGAAATTCCTAGTTTTTGAGTAACATCCATATATCTATTTCATGAAAATCTTGTGGAGACGTATTTATCTACAGAAATTGTCCTGTGGAGACTTATACAATCTTTTGTTCCCTATTGTACACACGTCTCCAGAGGACACGGTGTATCAGATCATGAAGTCGGACTGTTTAAGAATTGAGATTTGTTGTGTGTGTATGTGTTGATTCTGTGGAGCAAGAGCTTTGTAATGGTACAGTGAAAGACAGGAAGAAAATGACCATTTTGCTAAAGTTTTTAGGGATGTTTGAGAGGACAATTAAGGGGGAGTGTGGCCTGGTGGTAAGGGTTCGTGACTCCTTATCAGAGTGTAAGGGGTTCGAATCCAACTGCTGGCCATATGTTGTGTCCTTGGGCAAGCCACCTCACCCCCACATGCTTCTCTCCACCCAGGAGTATAAATGGGTACCTGCATTAGCTGGGAAGTAACCTGCGATGGACTAGCATCCCATCCAGGGGGAGTAGAAATATTTGCAGTTGTTTCATGCTACTGAAACAGGAGATGAAACACCAGCCTGATGGGCCACATTGGCTTGTGACAGAGGTCAATTTTTTTTAATTTTTTTTTGACAGGACAAAAACAATTGGGGGAAAGGTAGAACAGGACTTACAGGTTGAGGTTCACCTGAAAAAACAAACAAACAAACAAACAAAAAAACGACCACCCCTTCAAATTTTGGCTTTGCCCCACTATTTTCTCAGTCATGCAAGTTGTTCTCGGATCAGCTGATTTCCTCTGTTTTTAATGTCCTATGTCTGCCATTTACAATTGAAAAACACTGTTCCAATCTCCTGAAGTCTTGGAATTTCCTCCTTCTTGCTTTTACAATTGCATGCCAGTGTTTTACAAAAAGGTAATTTCTGACTTCGTGCTCATTTCATGGTAACATCAGATCACACAATTATGTGTAAAGAGACATTTAGCACACTATTAAAACTGCTATTCTAAAAACATTGTTAGAAAGGATTGTGTTCTATGCAACAGTTTTCCAAATATCACATTTCAAAGCCTTTGAGGGATTATTCAATTTGTTGAGGGATTTGGGCCTGCAAAAAGTTTTCAGTTATTTGATCAATCGTTCAAAGTTTTCTTTATTTGGTTAAATATTTTTCACTTTGATCAATGGACAAACCACTTTGTGAAAAGAAGACTTGCCATTTGGAAGGCACAAGAGCACATTAAAAATTTATCCATCCAAAAATATTTTTCAAATCCCACACATAGAACTCTTTCACAAGGAAGTTGAATGAACACAAGGATTACTTGATGAAAATAATGTCAAACACCAGTGTTCAGAAAAAAAGAGAGTGGTTAGCCGTGTCTGAATTACTTGGCTACGGCTTGATATTACACACGAGTCTATGGTAGTGGCTGCAGCCACTTCCCATAGACCCGTGTGCAATTTCAAGCCGCAGCCAATAAGTCGGACACAGCCATTGTTTGGTTACAACCATAGAGCTATATTAAATTACTAGAGCGCTAACTCTTCATTCTTGGGCGCGGAGACGCTTTGAAGCCACTCTGGGCGCAGACATTTTGATTTATGTGCGTGTTTGTAGAACACAATCAAAATAGATGGATTGAATTTTAAAAGTGTAGTCTAAATGCAATGCGCAAGTAGAAGATACGCAAACAACTTAGGCGCGTCATAACGTTCCAAAAAACGTCACGGCGAAAAGCATCTGCAGCGGAGGGACGCGCACACGTTGCCCTGTTTGCGTAAAGCAAAATGACACGCTCATTTGCTGATCGTGCGTTTCGGTTTTGGGCGTATCGGCTTCGATGACGCACCGGTATGGAATACAAACGCAGATATGCAAATAGCCGTACAAAAGCCGTGCAAAATTTCGAGTTTTCCATAGGTTTGTGCACAAACATGGATGCACCCATCAGGCATTACTTTGTACATCGAGTTAGCGCTCTAGTAATTTAATATAGCTCTATGGTTATAATTGAAACTTCCAATATTGGCACAGTAAATAAACATTTACCGATATTTACCAATTGACGCAAAAAAAATCAGCTGTTCAATTATTTGACACCGTTTGACCGAAGAGGAAAGGATTAATCAATCAAACGTAACATCGAACATGTATACATGATGGTCTTGTTCTGGTGCCTGCTGGTAAACTCAAACTCTTCTCTATTTTCAAAATCACAATCACATCTAGGTTTTCAGAATGTCTTTCAATTCACTGCTCCCAAACTATGGAACGATCTCCCTAACCATATCAAAACCTGTCCCACCTTGGATCAATTCAAACAACTTGTTAAAACTCACCTGTTCACTTGCACAAGCGCATAGAGACTTAATGTATTATGCGCTATATAAGAACTGTTTATTATTATTATTATTAACCCAGCTCTAAAAATACACCCTCATACACCCTTCAATATTTGCTTGAAAGAGAATGCCCAATACTACACACCAGTGTTGTAGTCCATTCACTCAAGTTGAGTCCGAGTCTGAGTCTCGAGTCTCTTGGGTCAAGTCCGAGTACAAAGTCTGAGTCTTTTGCTGATGTGACTCGTTTCAAATCCGAGTCACCGAAACTACAACTTTAGACTAACTACAATGTAAGTCCACACAACGTATCTAACAATTGGTTTGTTCGGAAGTCCACACAGCGAATGTAATGCTTGTACACTAAGGCATGCACTTTGTGTTGTGGACATTGGTATATAAAGTATCATTCATAAATACCTCAGACAGTTTAGCTATTCCTATTGGTCGAGAGCCCGTCACGTGGCCGGTCTTAAACAGATGATAAAGCCATGGCTAGCTGGTCTTAAACACTTTTCCAGTGTCACAATAAAATGTGGACTCCTAAAAATCCAGTGCGTCTTCCGTTTCATTGGTTGAACGTTCACAATCCTCACGTAGGCATGCGCAACACTACATGCGAGTCAGAATTTTATAGTTCTAAATTCAAAATGCAACGCCCCAGGTGCGTTCTGCGCAACATCGCGCAGAACATACTACGCGCGTGTCAATCTCCATAAAAGGGTTGTTTACATCTTACTCGCCAGCTGAACACTGCATTAATTTGCTAGAGGGATGTTTAAAAAAGCATGAAGTGAACTTGTTGAACAAAATGGGGAGTTTTTGAACGAATTATTTGATATATTTTTTACCGAAAAGGTATTTATGAATGGGAATAAATATGTGCTCGGTCGGTATTTATCACTCTGTTTAAGACCGCTTAGAGTCTGGGTGCTGATAATTACCCTCGCCTCTGGCTCGGGTAATTATCAGCACCCAGACTCTAAGCGGTCTTTAACAGAGTGATAAAAACCTCCGGAGCACACATTTATTCCCTTAGTCAAAGAAGTAACAAATGAAAAGTAAAAAATCTAAAAAGGCTACTGCACTGTAAAAGTATGTGTAATGTACAGTTTACTTACCAAAATCTTGATCATATCACCCTGGGCTTGAGTGTGTCACACACCCTAACAGGATGTACTCGCAGTCATCCGTGTAAATTAAAAGCATGTTCTCCCTCTGGAGGAAGCAGAAACCACACTCTCTCTCTTTCCGGCGCCACGGCAACCAGATGCCTGCCTCCTCAGTTACAGTTGCCACGGAGCGGAGATCTGATGCGTAAATCTCAGTTCACCATCTGTGCTTTGTGGATGCCAGTCCTGACAAGTTCAGACCTCTAATGTGTGTTGCATGCATGTGCGTGTTCTCCCATACAGATCACAATGAGATCTCAACTCCTATATGGAACATGTACATGCAGCCCTACACGTGGCTGGTCACGAGTAAGAAAATTGGTCTGACTTGTTGTCCACTTTAATAATGAGGTTTATATTTAATTTTCAGGGTCGAGGGTTGTTGCTGTTCTGGACAAATTTAATGGCGGAGAGTGTTTTGGCCTCCCCCACTTTGGATTGAAAACAAAATTAGGGCTGCGGCTTCTTAATGCAGTCAGCGTTGTCACGCAAGTGTGAGCCAATCAAATTGCGGATCTGAATGCACGGACCAATCACAGAGGGACTAAAGCACTGTGGGCATTGGCACGGTGATTTGCCCTCTCTATGTGTGGAGTTGTAATCGAGTCAGTCACAAGTTACCACAAGTGGATCACAATTTTTGATTGACTTGTGTTCGACTTGTGATCAAGGGCGGATTGGGGGAGGGGGAGGGGGGGGGGGGGGTAATGGGGGCCATGCCCCCCCCCCTTCCAAAAAGAACCCATTTTTTTTTTAAAGTGAAGTCGCAATAAAGGCAGGCACTGCGTACACCATACCATCTTTTCCTCAAAAACATTTGGTTAAAGTGGTCAGAAATTGTCTCAGATCGCACCACAGAGCATCTAGAATCAAAAACAAATTTGACCCAATTTTTGACGGACCCAAATTTTTGTTAGCCCCCCCCCCAAAGAAATTGTGTTCTGGATCCGCCCTTGCTTGTGATTGAACTATGATCTGACTTGTGAATGACTTATGATTGATTCGTGATTGACCTGTAAATGACTTAAGATTGACTTAGTGTTTGACTTAGTGTTTGACTTAGTGTTTGACTTGTGTTTGACTTGTGACTGACTTGTGATTGACTTGCAATTGACTTGTGATTGACTTGATTCATATCCGCCGATTAATAAATGTAATTCACGCTTTTATGAATTAACAAGTTTTCCTTTGAATATTAAAGTGATGATCGCTGAATTACACCTATCTTTCAAATGGACTGCTCCAGATTTGCCCATAAGCCCCGCCCATCTGTGGTTTTCTCACAGTGCTTGTTGCCGAGTGTGACTAAGCAACCATGGTCACCTGACCAAAAGTTGCAATCTTGTCGGTCAATGTGTGCACTGCTTGATTGACAGGCAGTAGTGCTCTGTTAGAAACTGACTTTAATTTAGTTTGTGTTAATTGTTTGTTGTGTTCTCTTTTTGTAATAGGTCGGTCTGATGAGAAACGGCAAATTGCTGTCGGAGTCGCCTCCCCAGGAACTTATCGACTATTATCAGATGCCGGTAAGAGTCTGTCAGTTTGTCTGTTGTGCTGTCTCTTTGTTTGTGTGTGGAGGGCACACTACTGGTAATTTAGTCGGACTCTACATTATTGCGGCCACTCTATTACCGCGGCATCAGGAATTTCACTTTTTGCGATGCAAGTACACCCTCTAGCGGCGATTTTCATCAAGTTTGTTGTCAACAATTGACTTTCTGCCAAGTTGTGTAAAAAGGGGGAATAAAAAAGTCCCGACTTTTGGTTAATTTGAATTATTTTAAATTTTTTTTTACTTTTTCCTCACCTTACAAATTTTCTCTCACATTTCATGCCAAAAGGTACCGTCTGTCTTTTGAATATTTATTTTGTGATGCTCTGTCCACGGAATTGCTGTTGTGTAGTTCCCATTTCACTGCTGTAAAGGTTCATGGCGTTGAAGAACGATATTTCCAGCGTAAAAATATGAAACCTTGTACGGAATTCAAATATGTAGAAAAAATAAATGGCGAGCGTAAAAATAGACAACGAGTGCCCCCATAAAGTGCCCGAGTGCCCCAAATCGTCATTGATTACACTTAATTGTCTCAGTGATAATTTTATTCTTATCGGGGGCCGGTGTGTTAAGAAATCATTATGCAGGCCTAAACGTCTTAATCAAGTTGGACTTGATATTGCAACTAACAGACCTTTTCTCAGGGTATGGGTACATGTACATGTAGGTCTAACAATGATTATGGGTGAAATAGTTCAAGGCACGGTAGAAATCATTTCCCCCCTGCCGTGATTATTAGAGTCCATCTTCGCTCGTACACACGCACTGCATGCATACCTATTTTCACAGGCATGGTACAGGAAATAAAATTGAACCACTGCCAGATTTTTTATTATATGATTTTCAACATTAAAAATAAGAGTGAAACAACACTCAAGACGGGACAATTCAGGAAGGTTAGTGAGCAATCTCCGTTCCGATCGAGAAACCCAAACCCCCCAAAAATATTTTATATTTAAAAAAAAAAAATAGGTAGCACCAAAAATAATAATGACTGGAAAGCCAATTTCAGAAACTGCTTTTAGATGAAAAAAATACTGAAATTGCTCAATCCGTTCAGAGAAAAGAAAAAATATCAATTTATAGTGTGTTCTGACTGTTTGGAACAGCAACGAAAATGGCACAGAATACTTGTTTCAACAACTGTAGTACACAATATCATTATTAACAACTCTGCTTAGGCAAACAATATTTTTTCAAAAAGACAGGACTTCGTTGAATATTTTTAACTTTTAAACTGAGGTTTTATCACCGAGTGATGTTTGAAGACAATTGTGACGACGATTCTTGACATCGCATTTTTTTTTTATGAAAGTAGGTTTTAGGTTCAGTTCATGGTGATTCACTTTGAATGGATTGAGCAATTTAAGTAATTTTTCAGCTAATTTTTTTTTCTGAAATTGGCTTTCCAGTCATTATTATTGTTGGTGCTACATGTTTTTTGAAATATGAAATACATTTTTTGGAGGTTTGGGTTCCACTTTTTTTTCACTCACCCTGTACGGCGTCCCACCCTACATGTGCCTTCCAACATCGCCAGCAAGCTACCTTTGACCTTACATCCATTCTGGTTAATTTTTTCAATTTCCATTTTTGGGTCTTTCCACACAATTGGGGTATAATTGACCACAAATTTGTGACTTACATGTAAGCAAGATATTTTTGTTCAGTTTTTCCTTGTACATACCTGCCGTAATACATGTAGAGTATAAATCATTTCATAAATATGATGTGATCAAGCTAAATGAGTCGTTTGTCGGGAATTTTCATTTGGAGATTCAGGCCAAAATAGGGCCACTTCATCACATCACTTCCTCACATCTCTTGGTGTTCTGACTTCCATTAAACTTGTGAACTAAAGATGGTATCAGCATGCGGTTTTCACAGCAGTAATGCTGAGATTGTGCTCTTTTCAAATCTGTAAAAAAAAAATTGACCAGGGTCGACAAACAACTCATTTAGCTTGATCCCATCACATATTTTGTCAGTGGTTTGTTCAGTTTTTTTCCTGTACATACCTGCCGTAATACATGTGGAGTGTAGATCAATTCACATATTTTGTCATTGGCTTGTTTTAATTCCAGACACTTGAAGATGTGTTCCTTAAGCTCTGCATGCAAGACAGCGCGAAGACTGGCGACAGCGATGAACAAATGCAAGTAAGTCAATAGTATACACGTGAAAGTAAAGAAAAGTCTCGAGACAATGTGGCTCATCAGGCCGGCGTTAATGAAATGACTGAGAATATTTCTATTCCCTCTGGATGGGATGCCAGTCCATCGCAGGTTACTCCCCAGCTAATGCCGTGGGTGGAGAGAGGCAAGTGTGGGTGAAGTGGCTTGCCAAAGAACACAAAGTATACATGTTTTTTTAATATTTGGAACCATTGGAATAAAACACACATCCCGGCCACTGTGATCAGGGGAGAACCTCTTGAGAGACTCAATAGGCCGCCCCTCAAAAAAAAAAACCAATTTTTTTTTCTGCGGCCAAAATTTTTTGAAAAAAATTCAAGTGTTAACAAATGTGTAAACAAAATTTTTTTTTGAGTCCCCCCCCCCCAAAAAAAACCAAATCCTGGGTGAGCAACTGAGGGTAGTTAAGTAAAGCAAACAGAATTATTGGTATTGATCAATCACCTTGACAACCTGTATCAGTGACTGATGTTGGAAAGAACGTGTTTGTAATATATTTTGCAGTCTACTGAAGTTGTGGTCCATAGCAGCAGCAGTCAATCGGTCAACTCTCTCCAGGGTTGCCATGACGACGATGTGGCCTTCTCCTCGGATTCGGCCCTATTGATTGACGAGGACAGGAAAGGTCACGAATCTAGTGAGTCGAAAATTTAATCAGTTTTTCCTTTTTTGTGTTTTTTTTTTGGGGGGGGGAATGTGATGGGCCATGTTTTGTGAAATAGAAAGAATAAGAAATCAGGGAACTTGACCAACAAAACCAAATATAAACCGGTATTGTCTCTCTGTTGCTAGAGGGCGCTATTGCAAGTACGTCTAACATGTCTACAGTAATACTTTTTAACCAATTCCCGTTCCTTTAAAGGCACGTACATGTAGGAACATTGGTAATTGCTAGGAAACGCACCTACCGATGTAATGAAGAAAAAACTTGCTCAACATGAAGATGGGGATAGTACCAAAGATACTGTGAAATTATTCCACTTTTGTATTGTTCAAAAGAAAACTATGACTGTTGGTGATTTTTAAAAGTGTGGCTGTGGGCACACTTTTTTACGTGCGTACGCAACGGAATCAAATCACAGGACCAAACATTTGTGCACTTTTTCTCTGTTTTTTTTTTCAAATTGTACAGTAGCAACTGTGCTAAGATATCATCACGTTACATGTACTTGTATGTGCTCTACTAAGGATTTTGAACAATTCTGTTGCCTCAAACGGAAAATAACCACAAAGACCAAATGATATCGTATGTACCTTTATTCATAGCTAACCTGACTGTGAGAAACACAAACAGGGAGATGAGGGGGAAATCTCCCCACCCCCTCCCCCCTTCTCCTCTCCCTCTCCTCCTCTCCCCCCCCCCCCCCCACCAAAAATGTGTGGGGTTTGTTTTTGTCCCCTCCCCCACTTTTGGATCCTTCACTATCTGTATGAATTTCATTGTTCCTAGCTATCACCCCCAGAACATGCACATCCACATTTTATATTGGGGCTTTGAGCCTTTGTTGGTTTTTCCAGTGATTGTAAGGGGCAAAACCACTTCATTCAGTTTCCTGTATACAATGAACATGGAACAATAAGGATTTCTGTTTCTGTTGTCAGCCTCTTCAAATCTACACTGCTCAGACTTTCTTCTAAGCCCCGCCCATCTGTGGGCGTTGATGGTCAAGAACATCATCCGTATCATGAGGAATCCTGGGTAAGGTCAAAGTTCAGTTGATAAGAAATCTTGCCAAGAAAATTGATTTGAACAAATTCAATTCAATACAATTCAATAATGGTTTATTAAAAACATGCCTCACAGTTAAAAAAACTGAATTGTACATGTGAACATACAATCTTTTAAAACACTACATTTGTATTTAAAACACAATATGATTAAGTATAAAAAAAAGGCTTAAACATTAAAATACATGCACAAGACAAAGATATTCTTAAACATGACAATATTGTGGGCAGGGTATCAAAAGTCAGTTTAAAATTGGTTATAAAAAGTTTAAAATTTTGACAAGTTGCTGGAGTGCACTGTTAGTGAACAGTTTTGTGCGACACTTGTACTGATCGTACTTCTGTGCATAAGTTAAAAGAGTTTTTTTTTTGAGGTGGTAACCAATCTTTGCACACATTGTGGGATTCAATTGACAGGGTAAAATCTGTACAAATTAGGAATTAGGGAATATGACTTAGAAAAAGGAACATTTAAAATAAATCGAAATTTCAAACAAACCAGAAAGGGGTTCATAGCTTCTGACTAGCCCCCCTTGAACAATTATAATGACAAATTGGGGAACCGCTGACACAGGGCTGGTTCCTTTGAGGTCACAGGTTCAAACCCCGCTCCAGCCAATTTGTGTAACTTGGAAAAAAAATAAGACTAAATCAAATTTTGTAAAACCCACAGAAATGTAAAACAAAAAATTTTTGGCAGTTGCTGCATGTCCCCAAACCTTTTGTACAAAATTAGAAAAATTAAGATACATGTATATTAAGAAATGGTGCCCCATCAATTTCATGTGCATGCGCTCATAGCAATGTTCCATTGAACAAAATAATGATTTTCCACTTATGTGTTGGTGCAAAGTGTAATTTGTTTCCCCAGATGTCAAAAAAATCTCAAAACAACTGTACTGAACAAAATAATTAGAAACAACCTACAAATGATAGTAAGCATTTGATTGTATCAAAAGTCAAGAAAAAAATGTTTTGAGGCAAATGTCATAATGGAAAGTTGTTTCTTTTATTTCAGGATTATATTCTTCTCAGTCATCATTCCCATCCTCCAGACATCGCTGTTCTGTCTTGCCGTCGGCAATGACCCACGGGATCTGCCTGTTGCTGTGGTGAACCTGGAGAAACCGCCATTGTTCAGCCATCTCTACCTCCAGCAGATAGACAACTACACAGTCCATCAGGTAGTTGGCAAACAATTGTGATGCGATCGAGCTAAATGAGTCGTTTGTCGACCCTGGTCACATTTTTTTTATTACAGATTTGAAAAGAGCACAATCTCAGCATTACTGATGTGAAAACCGCATGCTGGTACCATCTTTAGTTAAAAAAATATGGAAGTCGGAACACCAAGAGATGTGATGAAGTGGAGTGATATTTGGCCTGTATCTCCAAATGAAAGTTCCCGACAAACGACTCATGTAGCTTGATCGCATCTCAGTTTCTTTTTTGCTTACGATGAGTGCAGCCAAGACATCGGGCCCAGTATAGCCTCTGTGAAGGGGGGTGTGGCCTAGTGGTTAGGGTTTGCGACTCATGATCAGAGGGTCCGGGGTTTGAATCCAGCTGCTGGCCGGATGTTATATCCTTGGGCAAGCCACTTCATCCCCACTTGCCTCTCTCCACCCAGGAGTATAAAATGGGTTCCGGCATTAGCTGGGGAGTAACCTGCAACGGACATGGCATCCCATCCAGGGGGAGTAGAAATATTCATGCTACTGAAACCGGAGACAACTGCCGGCCTGACGGGCCATATTGGCTCATGACAGATTTTTATTTGTATAGCCTCTGAAAAGGAAAAGAAGATGAGGGTTCCCACAGTAAGGGAAAACCGTGAAAATCCTGGCATTTAAAGCTATCTGGGAAAAGTCATAAACTGTTGTGATTTCTACAAGGAGTCATGGAAAGTTGATATTCCAAGAAAACTTTATCGTAAAGTCGTGGAACCCAGCGCAACTCGTGCGTGATGAAGTGCAGTGTATGGCAGTCTTCCAGTTTTGCAGTCCAGTTTACTATACTCCCTCTATATGTACACCTATATTGTATGTATATTTGTTGCATGTTCAGTGCACCACTGTGATGATTTTGCCGTGCTCGAGCTCAGTGGTCTTGTGTTGAACTGGCCTCCCTTGCCTCATCATAGATGTCAAAACAGCATAGGAACTGATCATGAAAAACCCTAATTGTGTCCTAGAAAATCTGTTGAAGAGAGAAAAAAATATATTGTTGACATTCCACCTGTTTATACACAACCCCATAGCATTGTGGCAGCAGTAGCGGAATAAGTTTTCTGTTGTATCTCTGAGCTAGCTCTTTGCCACCATTTTAAAGGGTTACTAGTGAACACTAGAGTGCATAAATGTGACCTGTCATCACAAATTGTGCTTAAAGTTGGAATTTTTAAGAATTGAGGTATTCATATATCTGGATTCTGCTGAAAAAGGGCTTTCCAATGGCATCCAACATTAAGGGGTACTGAGTTCAGTAACAGAAATATAGACCACCAACTAACTTCAAGTTGTAAAACTGATTCTTGAGAAAATGGCATTGAAAAATCCTGCAGTTGTGTTACAGTGAATGAACAGTCAACTCATAACAGACGAGATGAAATAGGTTTTAAAGATCTAAAAATTAATGTGGCCTGACGTTGCGAACTTAGCAAGTTCTTCTTCAGAGGCTAAAACAGAAATGACAGAGGCACATACATTAACAAGGGGGTGCACACAAACATGCAGGGGTGAAAGAAGAAACACAAAAGGAGGATTAGGTGGGAAAGGTGTGGAAAGATGCAGGGGAGGGTGGATGAGAGAACAAAGAAACAAAGGGAGATGGCAAACCACAAGGGGTCTGGTATGAACAGGGGAGGGACCATAAAGGGGAAGGATCAAAGGTCACCGGGAGTGGGAACGGACAAAAGAGTGTGGGAGTGAAGGGGGATTATGCGGGGGGGGGGGGGGGGGGGGGGGGGGGGGGGGGGGGGGGGGGGGGGGGGGGGGGGGGGGGGGGGGGGGGCGGGGCTGGGGGGGGGGAACAGGGGGGGAACAGTATGGAGGTGGAAAGGGATGAAAGATGGGGGAAGATGGGTAAACACAAACAATGAAGACCAGAGATTAATCATTTCCAAGTTGGATGTTGAGACCATGTGGTTGAATAGTTCGAAGACGATTCATCCACACTTTCTCTCTGCTGAGGCGAACTGAGTCCTTGCGATGGCCAAGAGATTCAATGCCCTGCAAAATCATATCAGAAATGGAGTGGTTAGGCAGGTTGAAGTGGTGACCAACAGGGGTGTCTAGTTTCTTGGTGTTGACCGTTGACCGGTGGGCATAGAAACGCTTCTTGAGCGTATTCTTAGTCTCACCTACATACTGTACTCCACAGACCCTGCAAGAAATGAGATATATGACATTAGGGGTGTTACAAGTGATGTTACCAATGGTTCTGTGGGTAGTGACAGAAGAGTGGCCAGAAAAGGAGTCAGACTCCTGGATATGAATCTGGCAGACAACACATCTGGAACTGCACTTGAAAGTACCATGCTGGGTGGGAGGGGATGCATCTAAGGATGGGACTTCAGCTCGAACAATCAAGTCCCGTAGATTTCGAGGACGCCTGTAAGCCAATGTGGGGCCGTTGGGGATGGCGCGGGCAAGGCGATCTGAAGTATGGAGGATATGATGATTGTCATTAGTGATTTTACGAAGGGAGGGAGATTGGGGTGAAACGTGGTGACCAAGGGAATCATGGGTTTGGCCATGGCATCAGGGGCCTTTCCCGTGAGAGCTAGATTTCTGGGGATAGCTTTAGCTCTGGCAATGGCACGATGAACTTGGCGAGAGCTGTGACCCCTGGCCACCAAGTTGTTCCTCAGTATCTGTGTATGGCAAAAATCGGAATCATTAGAACAAATTCTTCTGAGTCTGAGTGCCTGGCTAAACGCTATGCCAAAATCTGAAAATCAACCAAAAAAATCGCCCCTGTTCCTTTTTAGTTTAATGTTTGCATTTATCGAAGTGACAAAACAGCAAAACACTGAGAAAACTACCTTTAAGGTTTCTATTATACTACTCACACTATTTCATTAAAATGTGTTTTAGACATCTCTGAAAATCAAAAAAAAAATCATCTACGCTCGTTTGTTTTTTGGCATTTTTTTCCACTACGGCCTGTGCCCATTTTTGTCTCATTTTGCCCGAACACCTCACAAACTAACAAAGTTCTGTGGTATAAACAATGTTACTTCTGAAGGGCAAAACCTAATTTGATTTACATCACCCCGACGCAAAAATTCCATCTTATGAATAGTTAATGCGGTACCCGCTGCTATGTACATCAGATTCGAACCAGCCAACCGATCCCGTTAGCTCGGTGGTCGAGTGGTAAGACATCTGCACTAGAAAGCAGGAGGTCGTGGCTTTGAGTCCCACCCGAGTGATTTTTTTCCAACTTTCACTCGGGAGGTAACACACTGAGTATACACAAGGGCGGATCCAGAACACAATTTTTGGGGGGGCCAAAAAAAATTTTGGTACCCAAAAAAGTAGGTCTAAAAAATTACGGCGTGGGGTTCGGGCCCGCTAGGGCCCCGAATTTTTTTTGGATTCTAGATGCTCTGTGGTGCGATCTGAGGCAATTTCTGACCACTTTAACCAATTTTTTTTTTTTTGCCTGCCTTTATTGCGATGTCACATTAAAAAAAAAAAAAATTGGTTTCGTTTTGGGGGGGGCCATGGCCCCCTTTGGCCCCCCCCTGGATCCGCCCTTGAGTATACAGTGTATATACGTCGGTGAAGGGCAAAACCTAATTTGATTTACATCATCCGAAGCAAAAAAAAAAAAAAAATTTCCATCTTATGAATGTTACTTGTACTCACCGTGCAGGTACCTGTGGCTAGCGTGGGTCTAGGGAAGGCAGGAGTCAGGAGAGGGGAGTACTGGGGTGTGATTGAGATGGGTCCGGACTTCACTAAGGATCTCATCGTAAGGTAGCTGGTTGTTCCATTTCTCAATCCGGTTCGTTAGTGTGACGTCATCTCAATTCATCCATGCATACTTCACACGGTGCAGGGCCCAATTTCACGGCGCTGCTAAGCACACGATTTTCTGCTAACAGAGCCTCCGTCTATTTCACGGAGACGGTAAGCATAAGCACAGTAAAAGGCACGCTTACTTCAGAGGAAAAATTTGCTTAACTTAGTGACGTAACAGTAGAAATCTCCATGCACGCGCGACCGTTAGCACGTCCACGCCGTGAAATAGTGCTTAAGGTTAGCAAATTGTTCTGCTATGCTGAACACAACTTTTCTGCTTACTGTTAAGCAGCGCCGTGAAATTAGGCCCTGCATAGCACAGATGGAACTGGAAATTAACGCAGCTCCAGCGTTTTTCCAATGGGCGCTAGTTATCAGTGGTGCGTGCGCGTGTATGACGTTTTTACGAACGAACCGGATATCTTGGGTATGTTCCAGTCACGCTAGGCCCACGCGAATGTGCCAACACCAAAGGGAACAATAATGTCATTAAAAAAAACTGTTGTCAAAATGGTGGCACCCTTTATGCCAATCCTACAAAGCGTCACTGTTTGAAAAGTAACTTTAAAATCCTCAAAAAAAAAAGAAGAAACTTAGGCCAAGTTCGGGCAAGGACCATTAGTCAACTAGTGGTTGATTTGTGACGTACCTTACGCCTGCGCACTGATAGCAACGTGCGAACGTCTCTAGTCAAATGCTGGTCAAAATGTCATCGCAAAACGTCTGGATCCTGGCTCTCTGATAGCGTTATGAATGCGCGCGGCTATTGGTTACCAGCGAAGCAACCAACCCCAGTAGGCTGGTTCCAAATAGTCGACTAGCGTAGTCAACTACCGTTGACTAGACAGAGTTCGGGCAAACGTTAGTTAACCATTGGTCAACTATAGTCCTTGCGCGAACTTGGCCTTAGGTGTAGAATTTAATATTTCAGCTCCGATGGAATCGTTACCTTTATTCTGCGCGTCGGCCGATTTGGAAAATGTAGCGAAAGGACTCAAGAAGACCGTTCGCCTTTGTTGCTAATGTTCTCCAACGTTGGTGGCAAACAGTCGGACCGACTTGCGCAAACGTTGCCAACATTGGGAAACGTTAGCATTGCTCGTGTAAATGAAACACACCACTATTTGAAATGAGTGCTCATCAGCAACAGCAGTTTGTAGTTTATTCTCGCAAATGATTTTTGATTCCCCCAATCTTTTTACAGGTTCACTAAACCCAGTGCAATTAATAACACGATCATCCAGGGCAGTTCAGTCCACGTGTATCTCGACATGACAAGTAAAGTCAAGATTGTTGCTCTATTTTGTTTTTGTATTATTGTTTTTTTGCTTTTTTAGGCCAAAAAAAAAAATATTCGGTCTCTGGTCAGACCAAAGTTCCGGAATTGACGCGGCCACGCGGCTTTTTTTTCTTCTTTTTTTTTTTTTTTTTTTTCTTCAAGCTTGGATTGTTCAGACAATGGTGGGTACTATTTTGCTTTTTTGGTGTCCTCATGTACATTGGTGTCCTCCATAATTTGCCTTGGTGCTTTCGATCATTTGCCTTGGTGCAAAAGTTTCCCATTCCTGGTGCTCTTTGGTAAAAACAATTGAGGAGGTGCGGAAATAGAGGGCGCTGTTGGAGCTACCGCGGAACATTTTGGAAAAAAAAAAGATTGACGTGCATGATTAAAATCGACGCGCGCGCTGACCAGAGACCGACTTACTTTTGTTTTGGCCTTATCAAGCAAGTTTGTTTTTGTTTTTTACAAATCGGGTAAAACAAGGGTGTGTGCTGGCTCCTACACTGTTTTCTATCTTCTTATCGGCAATGCTGGAAGAGGTTTTCCTTGATCTTGATCTTGACGATGGAGTTGAAATACCAAATTGGCTTATTGGCCTGAGGTGTTTTTTTCTCATAAAAGCCAGAGTCCATCATTTGCAGCTATCCCAAAAGTAACTGGCGTAATTATTGTTCAAAAACATACTTGGTTGAAAGATAGTAAGGGGACTAAACTCCCTGTGAAATTATTCTTTCTGGCAAGCTGTCATTTTGAAGAAATCAACGAAAGAAGGCCTTTCCAACGGTGCGTCTTAAGAAGCACCGTTGGAAATTTCCGTACATGGTTCGTTTTTTTTATTCGGCGAAGCGCGCGCAAGCGTTGACACGACGCACACGCGCGCACTTGCTATAATTAGTCGGATCGGTGCGCGACATCGCGTAGCTGCAATCGGCTCAGTGAGAACGTGTCTGGAACGCTGAATTTAGGCCCAATTCAAAACATGATTCAGCAACTTTTCATTTGATATTGAGATCCTAGAATTTTGTTTTTCTCGAAATATACAGCTGAAGCTGAGCTGAAACTTCATCAGGTTAGTTGTTCAGCACCCTTCTTTAGATTTTGAGCACTTTTGTTGCTTCAAACGAACAAAATGCACAAATTACAAATGATGTACTATACCTTTAATACCCAGCACTTACAACATGCAATGGAATCACTTCTAATCATCCTACCGTTCTTTGTTCCCATGTGCAGATTCCCAGATTGCTATTTCGTTACAGCAAAAACTACTGGAAGCATTTCAGGTACTAAACTGTGTTTCCATTTAGCATTCAGTAACCTACAGGGATAAGGCCCTCCCCCTCTCCCCCCCCCCCCGACATTTTTCCGACGTTCAGCCTGGTTCATACTACACACAAAAGCGAAAATGAAGCGAAAGTCATGACGACAACAATTCTTTCGAAGCGTATCCACCATTGTTGAAGACATGGATTTCCCTTCGTACTTACTTTCGCGTGAAGTATGAACTGGGCTTTAGTCTGAAATCAGACTTATTTAATCTGAGACCACATTCTCAGTTTAGAAAGAAATGCATCTTTCAGACGTTTCATCCAATTTTCAGACTTCTTGTTCAATACATTGCCAGTATCATCTTTAGTTTTCTTAAATAACGGAAGGTAGAAAGAGAAAATTTTGAAAATGAATTTTGATAACAATGCTATCAATATCATAGTGACTGCACTTTATTCATCGGAATCATCATGAATGTCTCATGATCAGTTTTCTGTAGTCACGATTGGTTGTGATGACACACTCTTTTTGGTTCTTTTCCCTTGCAGAAGTTAACTGCAGAGGTTCTGCCCAACCCTGAGGTTGCTGAGATTCCAGTTGTGGTGAGAGAATTTTTGTGTACATGTACAAGCATTACATTCACTGTGTGGACTTCCGAACAAAAAATGTTCACATAAACCAGGTAGCAGCGACGTTGTGTGGACTTGCCCACGTCCACACAAGGTTTTCCCCTCTCTGGAAAACGGGTTTAGAGGCATTTTTGGGTTAGGTTTATCAGTGGCAAAATGAAGAGAAGCACTAATTTAAAGGGAATCATAGGGGAAAAAATGGGTTGAAAGTGTTTTCACAGTGTGAGTAAAATGAGGTTTTTTTTAGGTTTTTCTTAACTACACGAAAACAAAGGCATGTCCACACTAGGTATGTGACGTAAACATGTCTGTGTGTCTGTGTGTAGTAGTTACAAAATAAATAGACATCAAAAAGAGTTTGACCAGTGACTTAGATAATAAGTGTGATTAACAGAATTGACACATACAATAGAAGTTATTCATTTTTTCTGATTTCTTTTCATGAAACTTGGTATTAAAAGACGTCGAAGATTACTCGAAAATGTGCAGGCACTTGTAGCTCAGAAGCCAGGAAACAAACAGTGAAAAGACTGTTGAAAAAATGTTAAGAATTGAGCTAGCGGAAGAAAAAAACCCTGGAATGATCGAAAAATCTGCAACCATCACCCAGGGAGCAAAACATAGCAGGTGGATATGTGAGCTAAATTTTATCAAAAAAGATATTTCAAAGATGCCGCATAATGAACATGAAGGACATAGTAGCAAAGACTGTCACGAGCCAATGTGGCCCATCAGGCCGGCGTTTATCTCTGGTTTCAGTAGCATGAAACGACTGAGAATATTTTCCCTCCCTCTGGCTGGGATGCTAGTCCATCGCAGGTTACTCCCCAGCTTAATGTCGCTACCCTTTATACTCCTGGGTGGAGAGAGGCAAGTGGGGGTGAAGTGGCTTGCCCAAGGACACAACATATGAACAGCAGCTGGATTTGAGGCCCAGGACGTACACAGGCAAAACACTTTTGGTGACTTAAGGTTTGGGGATGGTTAACTCAAATTTTCAACTTTCAGAGATAAGTTATGTTCTCCCTTCTTTTCCAGTTTGAGGATCCCATCTATGGCAGCAAGATGACCAAATTTGTTGACTTTGCCGCGCCCGGCATAATACTGACGTAAGTTGTGATTGTTGTTGGCACATGCGGTGCCAAGCATGGCTTACAATGTTAGCCAGAGCATACTATCCTAAATATCACACTTGTTTGTGTTAAGATGATCATTTCAATGATGATTCACTTGAAGAATTTTTTTGTAGGTTCCACTCTTTATATCGAAGAACCACGAGGATTATTTGAATTTCGTGTTTTGAAACTCGGACAGCACAGAAGACATTAAAGGGAAATTTTCTTTCCTTATAATGCACAGAATTTAAACACTTAAAAATTACCGTCAGCATTTACAAAATGAAAATTTGTTTTAATGTCATCAACATTTGGTCTTTTCGCATGCTTTGTTTTGCACTGCATGTTATTTAACCAAACAATACAAAAACTTTCAAATTTAAGTCAATCATTCTTTTGAGTACATGAATTATTTTCCCTATTTTGGTATTCATATTTTTTGGCCAGAATCATCTTCTTCCTGGCCATGGGTGTAACGGCGTTGTCTTTGGTGACAGAGAGGAAAGAAGGTCTGCTGGACCGGAGCTGGGTGGCTGGTAAGAGGCATTCCTGTAGTCATATTAATCACAAGTCCTAAAAAGAGTCCTCACAACTTATCCTCACAAGTCCTCACAAGTTGTCACAGGTCCTCACAAGTCCTCTGAAGTTCACACAAATCCTTATACACCCTCACAAGTCCCGCCAAGTCCATCAGAAGCCCCCGCAAGTCCTACAAAGTCCTCTGAAGTTCTCACAAGTCCTCATGCAATTCTGCAAGTCCTTCACAAGTCCCAACAACTCCTATAAAGCCGTCACAAGTCCTCATAAGTCCATCACAAGTCCTCATAAATCCATCACAAGTCCTCATAAATCCATCACAAGTCCTCATAAGTCCATCACACATCCTCACAAGTCTCCACAAGTCCTTAAATGTCCTCACAAGTCCCACGTGTCTTCACAAGTCCTCTCAAGTCTATCACAAGTCCTCATAAATTCCTGCAAGTCCTCACAAGTCTCTGCAAGTCTTCACAAAAACTCAAAAGTCCTCACATGTCCTCTCAAGTCCTCACATATTCTCTCAAGTCCATCACGAGTTATCTTAATTCCACCACAAGTTCATCACATGTCCTCACAAGTCTCGGCAAGTCCTCACAAAAACTCTAAAGTCCTCACATGTCCTCTCAAGTCCTCACATGTCCTCTCAAGTCCATCACGAGCCATCTTAATTCCACCACAAGTTCATCACAAATCATCTATCACACAGCTTATCGGTTCAAAAGTTATTCAAATGAACTGTTACAAATGCATTCTTTTGTTTCTGCAACAAGAGCAACCCCCATGAAAAATAGAAGTGGTCCAAAGCGATTGGTCCTCATACTTATTTATTTCTTTGGTGTGTTTCTGTTTTTCCAGGTGTAAGTTCTACCGAAGTGATGCTTTCCCACGTCCTCGTCACGGGTCTTCTGACCATCATGCAAATTGTACTCGTCCTTGTCTTTGTCTTAGCAGTCTTCAAGGTTAGTCAATTTTTTTCAAGGGTTATGAACACCGAAGCTTAATGCGTTTGCGTGTTTGTTTGTTTGTTGTGGTTTTTTTTTTCAAATTAAGGGCCTATAAATGCACACTTGATATATGAATAAGCTTAGCCAGCTAAATGCAGAAAAAAAAAAATTCAAAATTTTCTGTGTCCAGGAACAAAATTGGATTTTTTTTTTTTATTCTGGATTAGATCCTAAATGAAGGCAGGTGTTGAGCACATTACTCTGTATCTTGCAAGAATTTTGAGGCCAGTGGTTAATTTTTTGTAAACGTTTCTCTTCTTCAAACATATACCTACATTGTAATTTTTGGTAGATACGTGCGCTATATAAGACAAAAAATTGCCATTTTTGTTTCATTGTACTATTTTGGATTAGATCCCAAATGAAGGCAGCCTGTTGCTGATCACATTACTCTGCATCCTGCAAGGTTTCTGCGGCCAGGCTTTCGGTCTCTTCGCGTCCTCCGTCTGTAGCACCGAGATCACTGTCATGCAGTTCACCCAGGGATTTTTCTATCCCATCATCCTTATGAGTGGTAAGCTCTCCTTGTCTTGCATGATGACATGTTTGCCTCAGGAAGATGTAAAATTTAATATTGGCTTTTTCGTTTCACTGACGTAGTTTTCTATAAGCATTGTTAACTATCCGAAAGCTTTTAAGAAAAAATTCACAAGCTTGCATGGGTGGGAGTCGAACCCATGACCTGCTCACAGCTATTCAGTCATCCGCCAATGAATACGAAAGGAGTCTGCACCACCCAACAACGGTTGTACAGCTGTTTATATTCGTTAACATAGCACATCACGCAAATTTACTATGCTAATGCTTATGTCATCGTATAGGTATTGATACGACAACACTCTAAGCACCATACAGTACTACGGTACATAATTCCTTCGGGCAAGAACTGAGCGCGTGTTGTACAGTACTCGTAGTCGTAAATTTTTAAAAGTTCAAAGTCTGACATCTAGCTGGCCAGGGTAGGCCAATTGCTTGTTTGAACCCTGCATCATGCCTTTCACAATCGTCCAGATTATGTGTGCAGTGAAGGTTTTCCATCCATGGTTTGGGATTAATGTCCTGGGGTACAACAGCTTTGAATGTGAAGAAGTGGAATTTATAAAATATAAATTCCCCTCCCAACCATTTTTTTTTCAATCTTCAGTGATGGAAACCTAAAAATCAATTTTAAATGGCCTAACCTTGAATTTGTAATTCACTACTAGAGGACAACATTTTGTGGATTCTTACTTTTTTTCCTCCCCGCAGGTATCATTTGGCCCATACAGTCCATGCCGGATGTCTTGTACTACATCAGTATTTGCCTGCCACAAACCTACGCCAACGAGGGCCTCAGGGACATCCTCAGCAAAGGTGAGCCAAGTTAGTCGATTGTTGGGTTGTCAGTCCAGCGATTTGGCAAGTCTCGTATATTGGTCTGTAGTTTAGTTTGTTTGCCCAAAGCCCTATATAATATGTGACCGGCTCTAAAAAAGGCTATTAAGTCGCGCTGAGCATCATTGTGTAATAGCCTGCTAAACATTGAGAGGGTGAAAATTTCGTCAAAATGTGAGTTTCATTTTTTGACATGAATGACATCTTTAATACATACAGTTTCAGATTTCTTTCACAGAAATATTGATTTTGATGAACAAAGTGGAAAAAACAACCATTTTGTGCGCATCATTCTGTTGTTCAACAACAAAGCAAGCTATTTCAAAGCCTGTTTTCTCAGTTGTGCAAGTTGAACTCCAAGGAAGTCATATCTCCATAACGGGAGGGGCTATGGAGCTCTGCTTTATACCAAATGAAAGCTTACATTGTGGGCTTTCCAAACATGTATACAACTCCATTTCACATTTTGCAACATAATACCCTTTTTTGTGGAGCTGGTCACATATGCAACTCAAGATTCCAATTCCATTGCATTTTCCTCAACTTCCCTTTGATTCAAGTTCAACGAGGGACACAGAAAAAAGAAAAGAAAGTACTCAGAGAGCGCAACCCTCTGCCAAGGCTAAAGAATTCCCCGCCATATTGTGCCAATGTGGGACCCTTTAGTGGGGCGTGAGAAATACCCAGATGAAAAATGACCAAGGCACGATGACCTCGAATGTTGCAGGGCGCCATCTATTGGCATGCTTGTCTGTACACCCAAAAGAAATACTTGCATAAATGGTGAAGAATCCTTAATGAAAATCCTGCATCCAGATCCAGACTTAGTCTATGTAATAGACCGTTGCGAAAGCCGGTCTATAATTTTTGAACAGATTCGCTGATTAATTATGCAAGACAACCGCATCTTGACCTCTAGATTTTTGACCAATGAGTGGGCGCTTTCTATGTCGGGTCTTCGGTCATTCACCTTTGTCACGTCTAGACATGGATTAAACAAAAAACGCTAGACACAGCAACAAAGGCTGTGGTACCGTGCTCTGTATTATGTTCCACGACACGTACACGTGCGGCTGTTGTTGTATTACACAACACTGGATTCGAATTGACCAATCACAGTTTAAGCAGTGATTTGTAAATGAAATGACGTCACGATTTAGTAAAGTCGACTCTGATTGCCTGAGGCGCAAGATCGCATAAATCTGCATGCTTTGACATATCAGACATTATACAGGAGAGTTGGCTCCGTGGATTACGGGTGATACTCAGACTAACCCAGATCTGGATCACTTCCAAAATCTAATTGATTTGTACTTGTACCAAGGACCACCCCTAAAAAATATTTCATGCCAATCCGTCCATAATTTTTTGAGTTATCTTATTAACCAGTTCGCACCGGGATTATTTTGACACTGACCGGACCCAGGCGCGGGATTGTTTTTTATGAACCTCGATGCCAGACGGGTTCAGGCCGTCATCTGCGGGTAGCACACCCTGATATTTCCGGCCTCGCTCGCTAATCCGGTCTCTTTCTTTTTGACTCACCCCTGTCGTCGAAACAGCTAACACCTTATTTATAGGCATTTCTTCCAATCATGACAGATAATAATAATAATAATAATAACGGAGTCTTATATAGCGCACGTATCTACCAACAATTAGGTACTCAAGGCGCTGGAAATTATGTCAATTATTAAAGAAAGGTAAATAAAGTTTATGAGAAATATGAGACCCATTATGTAGCACCTTATAATGGTTTACAAGGTGCTGCGGCGCACATTGCAGCCACTGCCAGAAACACCAAGGCGAACCCCTTCTCTTAGCGATAAGTGTTACTGGGTTCTTTAACGTGCATTACACAACACACGGGACCTACGGCTTTACGTCCCATCCGAAGGACGAAGCAATAATGGTAAAGTGCCTTGCTCAAGAGCACAAGCACCATGTTCCCACGGTCAGGATTCGAACCCATGTACCACGGCACACGAGCCGAACACCGTAACCATTGGACCACAGCGCCCCACTAAAGATGACCTGTGGATGAGACTTATTTTGAAAGTTTGTGTTGTTTGAGTGATTTTGGTGTTTGTTTTTCCTAGGATGGGGCATGGAGCATGTTGAGGTCTGGCTGGGCTACGTCATCACCCTGGCTTGGGCCATATTCTTCCTCTCCATGTCGGCGTTGTTCCTACGCATCAGAAAGTAGATCCCATTTTTTTCCTTCTTCTGTCACTTGCTTCATGGTCATCATCGCAACTGCTTCCATCGACCGCAGAACAGACACCAGCTTGTTTCATCATGGAATCACCAGGTCATCGCCACATTATCACACGGCTTGAGGAAACTGCAGAATGGTTCAAAAACCTTGTCATCATTGCTTATTGCTTTACATATCAGTATATATTCATCAGAATTAGGCAAGGGGCCGATTTCACGAAACTTGTCTTGTCTTGCGACTCATCTTAGGACTTAAGACGAGTCCCCACTGTAAGATCGACCTAAGCTAAGATGCGGTTTAAGACCGATTTCACTAAACACATCTTAACAAGACGCATCAAAACTACCAATTCTATGGCTCTTTCATGTTTGGTTTTACCACTGGACGTAAAAGTCATTGACAAGAAACATGCAAAACCAATTTCCCGCAGGTGTGCGCGCATAGAGCACAAACTTTAGCCAGAAAAATTACTGTACTCAATAAATTTCAAACGCAAGGTAGTTCGACACAAGATGCAATGGAGTCATTCCTGCTCCCCGTTTCATCACTTTATTTTAAAAAGTCTACTAGTTGTTGGCATATAGTTAAATTTTGTAAATTAGTTATTTTCACTAAACCTACCCACATATCAGAAATCTTTTCGAATCTGTTTCTACAGCGGTTTTCTTCCTCGAAGCTGTTACTCTAGGCCAACATTCGTCATTAAAGAGAAGATATTGCAATGATTTCTGGACGACTAATAAGTTAGGACGAGTTCAGCCGCGTTGCTAAGGAAGTTAGGACGTGTTGAACGTGTCTTAAGTTTGGTGAAATCCATCCTAGGACGATTTGTGAGTTGAGACGATCGAGTTACCCTTCTTAAGACGCGTCTTGGCGTTTCGTGAAATCGGCCCCAGGTCACGCTAGTCATTTTTCAAAGGCAACTGTCAGGAAACCAAGTGCACTGCATGCGCTATAGACAATTCCAGGCACACTGTCAATTCCAGCACGAAGGCCCCCTTCAATGGCGAAAGCATTGTGCTAGCTATTGTTCAGATAATCCATCACGGGGCAGTTGCTGTGCGCAATAGCGTGCACAATGGTTTCTCCATTGAAGGGGGCCACCTGAGTGTACAGTGATCACTTGATTTTATACATTTTTCCTTCAGTTTGTGAAACTTTTCTGAAGATCTACATGAAATAAAGATTTCCCCATTTTCGTCTTGGAGATTGCCTGGGAACACATTGCCTGCGTGATATGCCCCTAGGGTTGTACAGTGAAATTTAGAGAGAAATTGACTGGCGTTGGATTTGAACCTGTGATCTCTGCATTACCATACCGGTGCTCTACCAACTGAGCTATCCAGCCCTAGGTTAGCGCTTTCCCATCAGTGTCTTTGTTCAAGGGCACCAGTCATTAGTAGCTAGGGACCACGTACAAAGTCACGATGCTAGCACCATTAAGCAATGCTGCACACCTTGGAAATGGGAATTGATTGGCCCAAACAAACCAGGCTAGAAATTGACTAAAAACTGGGATTTCAGCCTGTGACATCTGGCACATTCGCCTCAGTCAAGGTGTTGTATGTTCCCCAAATTTTTCAGCAGTGTATTTTTGTGAGATTTCTTGCATTGAATTTGCCGAATCATTGCTTTATCATAGCCACTTCTCATGCAAACCTTTTAGAACCCCAGTCATAGTTTGTATGATAGATCTGAAAAGTTATGTTGGTATTGGGGAAGTGTGGCCTAGCGGTTAGGGTTCGTGACTCCTGATCAGAGGTTCAGGGGTCCGATTTCAGCTGCTGGCCGTACATTGTGTCCTTGGGCAAGCCACTTCACCCCCATGAATGGGCACCGGCATTAGCTGGGGAGTAACCTGCGATGGACTGACATCCATGGGGATTTAACAGTCAGTCTATGATATGTAACTATGTGCTATGAATTTTCCAATGCTCTTTGCTGAAAAGTTCCATTGAATTCAGTAGTCGTTTTCTTGTAAAGCGGTCAGACGGTGATCTGTATTAAACTATGTGTTTGTTCACCCAGTCACCCCAGCAGTGAGGAGAACCAGTCTACATCTCTGGACTTCACGCCAATGTACGAGGCAGCTGATAGCTTTGTTGGCCAAGTTCTGCCTTCTTATTGTATGATCTTAAAGACCTAATTAGTGGAAAACTCTTAAACCTACCCCCCCCAAACTTTTTATTCCGCTACTTTCAATTTTCACCCCGAAAAAGAAATACTTTCCGTTTTGAAATTGCTAATTTTCTAGCAATAATATTCAGTTTTTATCAAGACAAAAACAGTTTAATTATGGAATATTTACTTTACTCTTTTTGAATTATTTGCAGCATGACAATAATTCAGGTGTATTTTTTGTACGCAATGGGTGCAAAAGCAAGTGCCCCCCCCCCCCCAAACAAGATGTATTTTCAGAGTGTCGAAAAGGTCCAAAACGTAGAAAGTGAAAATTTAATATATCGAAGAGCATGGGTAGAGCAACTTTAACGTTTGCTTACCAAAAAAAACAGTTAATTTCAGTTGGTGTGCAGGTGTGGTTACATCTTGATCTGAAGATGTACATGTACTGTTGTAATTATTTTCACCCAACTTGTTCCCCGTCTTGTTCTAATTGGAAAGACATGCCATTTTTAAGTGAATTTTTTATACACAGATGTGATCAATGCAATTTTTCTTTAAAAAATTGATAAATGTAAATATATATTTGGTCCAAGTGTACTATGGTTGTAATCTGATTTTTGGTTTAACCAGCTAATAATACACTTCACATAAAAAGTGGAAATTATTTAATGAAATATGAATTAGTTATATTCATAAAATATGTAGTGTAAAAATTGAGATCAAGTCAATTGACTCTAAAATATTACTTTTTTTTTTTTTTGACAATAGTAGCAGTGATAGCCTGTTTTTATTAACGTAAATTAACTTGTTTATTCCAACAGTATCTATTTTAACAGTATTAAATTTCAGGTAAATTTGATTAGAAGAAAGCTAAATTTGTCAGAGCAATCTTTCAGAATTCCAGTTTTGCCTGAAGAGAGATATTCTGTATACACACGTCTCATAAGCTGTAGTTGCAGGCACTGTTATGACATTACAGTTGTCTGTCATCTTGAGCACTTTGTAGAGCTCTCAGAACTGTGTATTATGGAGAGATTTTGTATTGCACCAAGGTGTGGTTACATGTAGCCCTATACAAGTCAGTTGAAGAACACATGTGACCTGTTCTGTCAAAAGCAGATGCTTCTGGGCAGAGGTTGAAATTGAGATAGGGCCAAAAAACGCTGTGGGGGTGATTTTTATCGATTTTCAAATGTTTGCATATTTGTAATCCTGAACATGTCTAAAATACATTATAAAAGTTTGAAACCCTAATTTGAACTTTACATGTACTATTTTTGATGATTTTGATAAGGTATATCAGTTAAAGAAATAACTGTTTTGTGACGTTCGTGGCCATTTTCTACTTTTCAACACAATGAACTTCAAAATAGCATAACTCTGCCCAGGAATGACCGGTATCAAAAATTAAACCACCTATTAAAAGGAAAAAGAACATATGTTAACAATATGTAAAAATATCATTTTCGACCTTATGCCCAGTAAAGTCTGATTTTGACAGAACAGGTCACACATACAGGATTGCAGAATTTCAGTATTATTTGAAAAAAAATCTATAGTATGTATACAGGGTATTCGTTTACCCCTCAAAAGTCGTGTGACATAACACGGCACTGAAATCGATCAAGGCTGGGTCCAAACATGTTGTTATCAATTGACCATTGTGCATGTGAGGCGTGACTGAAATTAAATGAAACTCATAGGGGTTAAGGCCAAGGATAAAGAGTAGCTGCACAATTACACATTTTCAAAATTGTCTTCATGGTTTTGTAGTTATTTCAAAACTAGCCAGACGGACACTTTTTTGGTGACGTACTGTACATGGAGCCTTACAGATAAGAGACTTTTGTGATTTCAGTTCCAGATTTCAAAAGGGAGTTTGTTTTTAATCCTGAAATGGAGAAATATCTAGACAACTCACCCTTTATATAGGTGTAAAGTGGAAGAACCTAGATGGATATTCTGCAGTTTAAAGGGAAAATACAACATTTGCAAACATAAAAAAAACTACCAAATCATTTTGAAATACCTTGCTGGACTGTTATGAAATGTCACTGTGAATGACAGTGTAAAGCATCCTGTAAAATCATGGCACCTGGTATACTGACATTTTCAAGAAAAGTGGTTGTTTTTGTATCAAGTTCCAACGCTGATCGGCCGACCAGCATTGGAAAAAACTGGCTTTTTTTCAAATACTGGCCCCAATTGACCATCGCACTTGTTTGCAATCGATTACACACCTATGAACGGGTACAAGCCAGCTAGACTGGTTCCCTGACCTTACAATTCCCCAATGTATGTGAACTGCTCTGTTTCTTCTTAAATGGAGTCAGGGAACCAGACTACAGGAAAATGATTGTTTTTCTTGGTTTTTATAGCATTTTTGAACCCAAAAGTTCAAAAAAGTCAGTGTAACTATATTTGCTATATATTTCCAACCCCCCAATTCCATCCATTTCTGAAAATTACAGCAAAAGCAAATGATGTATATTCCCTTTAAACTAATAACTGGCTCCATCAATGCAATGTGCATTTTTGTTTTTAATGCGATCATGAATTAAATGTCATGGCAGATGTAAGACAACCTTTTATTTAAAATGCACACATTATAATTATGTAATTGTAGTTTTGTAATATCAAAAATTTCCAGCGGAAAAGAAATTTTACATTTTGATTATAATTTTTTGTGTGTAGGTTTTTTTTGTTTTGAAAGTGGTCACCAGGTGAGTGCAATGGTAAGAACAATTTCATGAGAAGACAGATGTAATGTTCCATTCCACGAGGCGAAGCGGAGGGGAATGGAACATTTCATCTGTCACCGAATGAATTTATTCTTTCCATTGCACGAACGTGAAACATTCATTATTTGTTTTATATAACACATGAATAAATTATTGTCATCTGATTGCGGTTGACTTTTATTAGCCAATGTATTCAGGTTAAAGACTGTTTAAAAGTTTGACAAGTTCATCATATTTATATCAATGCAAACTGTTCAACAGGTTGAGAACAATCATATCCAATTTAGCTCGATTTAAAACAGCGCCACCACCAGCAGAAGTGACACCATGCAATGGAAGTTCTATTCACCGTGCAATAGAACTTCCATTGCACTGTGCGCTGCGCGCCACAAGCGCGTTGCTACAAATAATTCATTGACGTGATCAACGATCCACCAATCAGATGACGGGGATTTATTCAGGTGTTGTAAAAAACATAATATAATAATGTTGAATTTTTGTCAACACGCAGAAAAATCTGCCTAACTGAAGTCAAACACACACGTTTCCCGGACGACAACTGAATAAATGCCTGTTGTATTGAATTGCAATGTAATCCGAGGATTGGTTGTGATATATAACACAAGTCTGTCGGTTATCAAGAGAAATCATCAAACAATAAAAATGATTTAACCAAAATAGTGTAGTGTCTTTCGTGAAGGATACAAGCCGAGTTGAAGCCAATTAAACTTTCTTGAAATTGAATTAGAATCATCAATTTTTTTTGGGGGGGGGGAATAAACATTTGAATGAATTTACCCATAATTTTTGACGAAATTTCTTTTCCTAAGCAAATCTGTCCAGAAATGGAATTGGAATGTGTTCTTCGTCTCTTATTAGGCACCTTCACAGCAAGGTTAAGAGAATTTTATTTCTTTACGAAAATTGACCCAAAAAAAATTGCCGTACAAAAACAAGGGCTTTTCTCAGTCATCAACCATCTCGGTTTCAACCATCAGTTTATTTCTTTTGAATAATTAAAAATAATCACGCAAAGCTCATAGCTAATGGTTAAAAGCACTTAACATCTCATTGTTTTTACTAGATGAATCGCCAGTAACACTATGAGAAGGTGCATATACATACATTCATGTTTCATTCATTTTTTCAGCTCGCATTAAAACCACTTTCCCCAACAATACATGCAGCTTGGATATCATACAGATATTTACAGATGTTACATGCAACGGTTACATATTAGTCCACATATGGGTGGTTATTTCAGAGAGGACATTTTTTTTGTCTTAAAATCCTTGCCGAAATTATTTACATAAATTTCACAAATCGTGGCAATTCACGGCATTAAAATCACCGACTGCTTCCCATATTGGCTTTTTAGTCTTATTTGGCAAAAACAAGTTTCTACAATTAACCAGTTAGCGCTTGTACCGCCCCAAACTGCCCTGGCCTGTTATTTCTGATACCACCCCAAACTGCCCCAGCACTCTATTGTTTTATAAATTCATGGAGGACTAAATACAATGTAACACAACGTGACACAATGTGATACAATGTAATACAATGTAATACAATGTAATACAATGTAATACAATGTAATACACTGTAATGCAATGTAACACACTACACTGTAATACAATGTAATACAATTGAATACAAGTGCTAAAGGGTTAAATACTTCTTGGTCAGATATATTTTAAATTATTATGCCGAGAAAAATGCAGATGAGATCAAATTATATCCTAATATATTATGTCAAGTGAATGGCAAGATTTTAGTTAATATTTTTTTTATTACAGCATTGCACACTTTAATATTTTGTAGTGTTTTTATATATCATATTTCATCCTTACAAGCATTTTAAAATAATTTCCATGTGAAAATACCTTTGAATGTCTTAGACATTTCCTACATATCTTGAATACATACCGGTATAGAAAGATCTCATTATTGCAACATGCTATGCTGTACATTTTGGGCAATACGTTTTACCCCATTTAAACTTTTAACAACTGCTTCATGACAAATAAAGATCTACAGTTGTATACTGCATATTTCACATGCTTCAGTTTATATTTCAAAAGCGAACATTTTTTTTTATGATTAGGAATCTTGGCAAGAATGGTTGCCAAATTGAGTTTTTTTTATGATTAGGAATCTTGGCAAGAAGGGTTGCCGACAGAGTTTAAAACCAAGTTAATCATTGGTCAAGTCCTAAGTCAAGTCACAAATCAGGTCAAAAAATGTAGGTGATTTCCAACGATCAGTCAATTCGCTGACTTTTGGAAATAAATGGTATAGAGGAAACCGTGTTTCGTGATCCAAAGTTGTGCACGATTTTTTCTCAAAAAAGTGTGATATCCACTGAGCTGAAACTTAACAGGTTGGGTTTGAACATTCTTCTTTTAGGCCAAAAAAAAAAATATTTGGTCTCTGGTCAGACCAAAGTTCCTGAATTGATGCGGCCACGCGGCTTTTTTTTTTTTTTTTTGGCTTTTTTTTTCTTTTTCTTCAAGCTTGGATTGTACAGACAAGGTGGGGTAGTATTTTGCTTTTTTGGTGTCCTCATGTACATTGGTGTCCTCCATAATTTGTCTTGGTGCTTTCGATCATTTGCCTTGGTGCAATTTCCCATTCCTTGGTGCTCTTTGGTAAAAAAAATTGAGGAGGTGGGGAAATAGAGGGTGCTGTTGGAGCTACCGCGGAACATTTTGGAAAAAAAAAAAGATCGACGCGCATGATTAAAATCGACGCCTGCGCTGACCAGAGACCGACTTATTTTTTTTTTTGGGCCTTATCTTGAGTTGTGTAATACAACTCAACAAAATGCATGAAAAGCATTATGAGCAATCCGGTGCTGTTCAGATCCTTGAGGGTTTCATACTTGCAGGATCTTGTCCTTACGTCGTAGTGGTCTCCTTCTTAGCTTCGCCGTTCTGCCCCGAGGGGGCGTCGGCCTGAGCCTTGGCGTCCCCGCCCCCGCCCCCTTCCTCCTGAGGCTTGACCTCCTTGAGCTCCATGTCCTTCTGGGCCTTGCCTCCCCCCTCGTAGGCGGGGTTGACATGGGAGGACTGGTCCTGCTGGTTGGTGACCAGGGCTTGGTTGTCATCCGCCTGGGCCCTCTCTGAAGGTACCACCAAAGAAACCGTCATTCTCTCAATTTTATATTCAGACCATATTTGTGAGGCCTTCTGGCAAAATGAGAAGGAACTGGGTATAGGCCATAGTGGAGAAAAATGCAACAAGCAAATGGGGGTCATTTCTTTCAGCTATTCAAACTTACTGATATTTGTAATCTTTGATATACAAAGTTCAAAGAAACAGTATAAAAGTCATGGAATAACGGTTGATTTTTAAGAAAAAAACATTTGGCATCGTTCATTTTCACAAATACACAACTCGATACTTTTATGTGTTATGTATGATAAATACATAACACATAATGTGTTATGTATTTCACAAATACACAACTCGATACTTTTATGTGTTATGTATGATAAACAAGACGCACAGAATGGGTTACTCGCATTACATTTTCGTTATGTGAGTAACTGAGTTTGTGCGTCTTGTTTATCATACATAACACATTTTTCTGCATGTCATCTTTGGTGCTTAGGTAGGTCTAGGTCTACTCTATCTACCATGGGGACAACAGCTTTTAAACCTTTTCAGTGAGGTAATTACAGCCCTAGGAATCTCAAAAGTACATCAAAAATGTAACGTGAGTAACATTGGAATTGCCCATAACATGAAAAGTCAAAGCTGGGGGTTATTCCTTGATGCTAGGGCAGGTCACATGTCATTTTTGTTTTGGTCAGGCGTCTGGTACTTACGCCTGGCTCTCATGACGGCGAGGTTGGACCCGTGACGCCTGCAGACAATGACACAGATGATGGCAATCAGCATGCCGACGGCAGCAATGATGATGATGACAATGATGAGGAGCTGGGATAGGGACAGCTGCAGAATACCGCCACCCTCTGTCAGAGGGTGAGAAAAAAAACCATGGTTCTGAAAGATGTGGACTTACAATAGGCCAAGGAAAGAATAAAATGGGTTTCCTATTATTTAAAGGGAATATTATACAAATATTGAGTGGCTCAGCGTGGAATGGGAGGAATATTATCGCAAGGTAAAATCTGGACTTTTCCAGTTCACGAGGCGAAGCCGAGTGAACTGGAAAAGTCCAGATTTTACCGAGCACATTCACAATTTAAAGCCACTCAATATTTGTTTTATATAACTGACAAATAGATCCTTGTCATTTGATATATTTGAACTTTTTTTCAATACAAAACTGGAGGAAAATGTATTTCTCTCTTCCAAACCACCCCTTCACGAAATGTTTGAACCCAACGCTGTAGCGCTGGCTCTTTGGAACAATACGCGCTACCTGCAACGTTGAACGCACACACCAGCATGCATTTGCACACAAATACCGCGTCATGATCCTAACTGTTGAATAGTATTTCCCATTCCCCATGGGCGAATAGTACTTTTTCAGCCGCGGCATGAATGGGAGCAATAACGAATGCCACGTGATGTGAGTTCCACCAATCAAATGACAAGGGTCTGTATGTCAGTTATATAAACATCATTGGCTTTTGCTGTAATTTTCAGAAATGAACTATTTGGGAGGTTAGTATAATAGATCAAATATTGTTACACTGACATTTTTGAAGTTCTGTGTTCGAAAAGGTTGGAAAAACCAAGAGAAACAAAAATGTTCAAGTAGTCTGGTTCCCTGACTCCATAAAAGATAAAAATGGATCAATTTACAGATGATGGAAAATTGTAAGGCAAGGGAACCAGTCTAGCTGGCCTGCACCCGTTCATGAACGTGTAACCAATAGCAAACAAAATTTGGACTGGAAAAAAAGGTAAATTTGGAGCAGTAGTTGAAAAATAGTTAGGTTTTTCCAACGCTCACCGGCCGACCACCGTTGGAAATGTTTACAAAAATACCATTTTCTTGAAAATGACTTCACACCAGGTGCCATAATTTTACAAGATGCTTGAGACTGTCATTTACCAACATCCTAGTAAGGTATTTCGCAAAAACTTGGTAGTTTTATTTTTTGATTTTTGCAAATGTTGTATATTCCCTTTAAATATAGGGTAAGTAAAAAAGTAAAGTCTGTCGCGAGCCAATGTGGCTCAAACATCAGCCGGTGTAGCGTGAATATCCGACTCCATGAAATGTGGACTCATTGGTAGTACTGCGCACGCGTGAGTACGATACCATGCTATTTTTAGGATCGTTTGGGGAGAGTGACCTGTCACGTGCGAGGGATTAACCAATCATAGGGAAATAGGGGTCTGATTTTCATAGGAGTCAGATTTTCATGTGACACCGGCGTTTATCTCCGGTTTCACTAGCATGAACCGACTGAGAATGTTTCCACTCCCCCTGGATGGGATGCTAGTCCGTCGCAGGTTACTCCCCAGCTAATGCCGGTACCCATTTTTACTCCTGCAGACCTGCCAACCTGTGAGATAACAAAACTGTATTCTGAAACTCAAAAACCTGTATTTTTCCTTGAAAACCTGTATTTTTTTGTTTTAATGCACAAACGAGCTTACAAAGGTTTAATGTTGCTGCAATTCCACGTGGTGTGAGGATTTTAGAAATACCTAATTTAAAAAAATTGAGCAGAGCTTTGCTGTATTCAGGGACTTTAAAAAAAAAGGCCCGCTGAAACTAAGTCATAAGGTAATAGGTAATAGCCTAGGTAACATAAAAAAATAATTTTCAAATTCAATTCAAGGAATTCAATTCCATTCAAAATTCAATTCAATTCTATTCACAACTGACTCTATGATATATCGAAGTAAACTTAGTTAAGACCTTTCTCAGTTAGTTGGATTACGGATTTGGTTCCCCGGGTCGGGCGGTGAGAGGGAATTTATAAATTAAAAAAAAAATCAACGCCCTTTACAGCGCGCCCGTAATAGTGCGCCCAGTTTTCGGACACAGTATTTGTGTTCAAACAAAACGTCGTCATTCAGTTTCACTGCACGAGTTTATCACATTAAAAGTACATAAATAATGAAGGAGAAAGTCTGCAGACTAAGCAAACTGTCATTATTTATCTTGTTCCAAACTATGTTTGCTTAAAAAAAAGTCGTCGCTTCAATACCTGTCATCGAAAAGTACGCGAGCATTAAGCTGTCGATGCATACTCCGATACGGTCGCATGGTCGGTGCAGCTGGTACCCGGCCCGTTAGGCCCAAGATATATTTGTTGACAGGAACCAGTGCACAAACGTAAAACACGTTGCTGCGAGCATGCTACATCCTGATAAATAAGGGCGCCAGCGTGGTGGGGCGGCCGTACTCATCAACGATCAGGGCATGTGGAAATGTACGGACTACGGACTGTGGTTACTCGGGAGGCATTTTTTGAGGAATTCTTTTTGGGGGGCGGCGATTTTTCAAAATTATTTCCCCCGACGTTATATGCCCCTTAACGTTACAACTTATTTTAAAAATGCCCTAATCCACCTAAAACTGTATGGCGAGTAAACTTCAGTAAAAACTCACAAAACCATTCTGATTAATAATAATAATATTAGGCCTACTAAACGAAGAGACGAAATACACAACGTACACCGTGCGTAATTCTCTCCTCTCTGGGACGGCTGGATGAAATCCCATTTCTCGGTGTACTCTTTTTTGTACAGTTGCTTCCTTTTTATATCTTTTTTGGAGGTCGAAGCCATATTTATTTCACACCAGTGCTGCTTTCGAATTCCACGCTCAATTATCCTCAGCTAGCTTGTTGCACATGGTATGCGCAGTATATGCCTAGCGCTTTTGTATGCAACGATCCGATTGGTTAATACGCCCGGTCCATGCGTTTGTTTACATCCCATGCACCAATCACAGACACCCTAGCTTACTTGATCGCGATGTCGAGCCTCGTGTCTCAACGTAGTATACGTTCGCAGCCGTTTTTTTCTTCTTGCGCACTCTTCACTCGCAGCCGAACTAGGATTTTTTTTGGCGTGTCAAAATGGTCAAAACCCGTATTTTATGGAGAAAAAACGTACGGCCGTATTTTCAATAAATTCCCGTATTAAATACGGCAAAACCGTACTGGTTGGCAGGTCTGCTCCTGGGTGGAGAGAGGCAAGTGGGGGTTGCCTTGTAAGGAATTATCGAAAAGCCTAGAAACTTGCAAAATATTCAACGACGTGCCAGATTTCATCGTTAATTCTTCACAAAGAAATGAAACGTTGGAATATCTTACCCTCTGCCACAGTCTGGAACTCCATGGTCACCACCTCGCCTTTGCCCAGCTGGTTGTTGGCCCAGGCCTTGACCTGGTACGATGCATCGGGGTCTAGATTCTTGATGCCCAAGGACCGCTGTCAGGAGAGGGAATTAACAGATTATCATAATGCAAAATTGTTCGTTGCTCTTGCTTCTTTATTCCCCACCCCAAAAAATCTAGTTTTTTGCTAATGGGCTCCTTGCCCGAACAAAAGAGGGCATGTTTTTACCTCTTTTGAGAGCGCCATGGACGGGATCGACACACAGCATGCGTGTACAATTATATGTGACCTGTTCTGTCAAAAGCAGACGCTTCCGGGCAGAGGTTGAAATTGAGATAGGGCCAAAAAAATGTTATGGGGGTGATTTTTTTATCAATTTTCAAATTTTTGCATAATTGTACTCCTGAACAAATCTTAAATATACTATAAAAGTTTGAAACCCTAATTTGAACTCTAAATGTAGTTTTTTTTTATGATTTGTTAAGGTATATTAGTTAAAGAAATGACTGTTTTGTGACATTCGTGGCCATTTTCTCTTTTCTACTTTTCGACACAATGAACTTCAAAATAGCATAACTCAGCCCAGGAATGACCGGTTTCAAAAATTAAACCACCTATTTAAAGGAAAAAGAACATATTTTAAGAATATGTAAAAATCTCATTTTTGACCTTTTACCCAGAAAAGTCTGGTTTTGACAGAACAGGTCACATATGCACATCTAGCCACTGCGTCTATGAGACTAATCCCCGCCTCCAATAACTTTGGATGCTGGTATACATTCGAAATATGCAGTGGATGGATCGGGAACCAGTCTAGGTCACCCCCAACTCTCTTTTTTTCTGGCCGTTGATGGGGTACTTGTGCACGGAACTTATAACCAAGAAAAGGGCTTTGGAGGGAGATTCAGCCCCCATGAATTCCCAATTTCATTGTTCTGCTAATATATCATCAAAGAACACATTTCTTTTCAGTTTAGTTCATTATCAATTAACCTCTGACCAAGTTCCTTGCCTTATTCAATTTCAATACTGTGCTGAGCAAGCTGTGTAGAATCCTGCATGTTGTGAAAAGGGCTGCGGTTGGGATTGGAATCATTTGCCTGGCTATCGGTCATCATGGCAAGACCTCAGTTTAATGCCCAAGGGCAAATGATTCCAATCTCAAACCACATCAGCTTTTTTTCAGATAAAACACAGCACTGAAATTGATTAAGGCATTGAATTTGGTCACAGTGTCCAAAAATGTTGTTGTGATATCAATTGACAATTGTGCAGTGATGCGTAACTGACATTAAATGAAACTCATAAGGGGTTGAGGCCGAGGCTTAGGAGTATCTACACAACCAAACATTTTAAAAATAGACCTCATGGTTTTGTAGTTATTTTAAAAACAGTCAGACGGACACTTTGTTTAGGGCAAACTGTAGAGTAAGCAGGAGGTCGTGGGTTCGAGTCCCACCTGAGTAAACTTTTGCATATTTGCTCACATGCCCTCGGACATCACTGAGCATACACTGCCAATATTAACTTATGTCGGTAAGGGAGCGTCTCATAAGTCGGGACACAAGTTACGAGTGAACGTTGATGGAGATGTTAATGTCGTTTCTGTGGTGAAATTTCGGTAGCCCGGACCTCACATTACATGCAATCACTACGGTGATTGCGTATTCACGTTCAAGTATGCTGGTGCAAGAACGATTCTTTTTATATATCTTTACTATTTAATAAATTTACCAACTAAAAATAGAACGATATAAGCGGCACTTACCATTGACGATACACACTTTGTCAGAAAAATCTGTCATGGATTAACTCCGACTCAGAGGCCTGCAATATTACGAAAAAATTAACGTACGTATACCCGACCGCGAATACCCCGCCGTGCAGTGTTCCGATGGGAACACGGTGTTCCCTCCCCGTTCCAGCTGGACCGCAGATCGATGCGCTCCATTCATTGCGCAGAATGCACCCGCGTTCCATTGGGAACACGGCACGTTCCCAATGGAACGCCAATGGAACGCCTGGCGTTCCAACGGAACGTTCCATTGGACCGCGAATGTTCCCAACTTATGAGACGCTCCCTAAAGGGAAAACCCAATATTGATTCTACTATGTTACCTCACTAATCCCGATGTCTTCGAAGACGGTCCACTCGGAGACGGTGGGCTTGATCTGTCTGTACTCCAACTGGAAGCCCGTCACCGCGTAGCCGCCGTTGGCGATGACGCCCCACTGGATCTGGGCATTGTAACTGAATGGTGTGATGGTGAGGCTGAGGGCAGCTGGGGTAGTCAGAATAGCTGCAGATAAAAAAAAAACAGAAAAAGACAAGGGTTACTTTGCTTTGGTCCGTTAAAACAATCTATATATGTTCAATGTTTAGTTTGGACTAAATATTGAATATACAGGGTGGATAAAAAAAACCGAAACCGAGATATTATTGCTATTTGGAACAAAAGTAGGGCTCATGTGAATCAAAGGGAGATATCCTTTATTAGGGTTGAATCTCCTCTTTAAAATGACACCCTGGTCATGTCCTTACATTCACGGTTGACTGAGCAGTGACCAATTTTCTATTTAGAGAATTGCGCCATAAGGTGAAATCTCTTTTTTTCCCCAACCTGCCTTGATTGCCAACTATAGCCTTTCACTCTGTGACAATTGACACAACAAAAATCACAACTGAAAAGTTGTGCAATTCTCTAAATAGACCCTTTCATAAAATTGGTCACTGCTCAGTCAACCGTGAATGTAATGACATGATCAGGGTGTCATTTTAAAGAGGAGATTCTACCCTAACAGAGGATATCCCCCTTTGATTCGCATGTGCCCTACTTCTGTTCCATTTTTTTTAATCCACCCTCAGTCCTTCATTTAAAGAAAATCCAGGAGAGCTATAAATCGCTCTCCTCAAATATTTGAGGAGAGCAAATCGCTCTCCTTAAAATCTACGGATAAACAGCGGTAAAACGACGGGTTACCATTGTTTTTGTTTTATTTTGAATATATGGATTTATTCAAGGGGCTGCATTATTATTAGTTTTTGCATAATAACTTATGCTCAAGTTGCGTTACTTTTTTCGTTTTTGTAACTGTAAGACAAGGTAAAATTTATTTTAAAAAACTAACTAAGTGGAGATTAATAAAAGGTTTGACTACTGCTTAGGCTTTAATTTTTTAATACAGTTGTCAGTTGGTTCATCACTTGATTATACTTGGAAAATGGAGAGTTAATAAACGGCATATAAAGCAACTGAAAATTTGCTTTCAGATTCGTTAAAATTATATGAAATTTTCAGCCTGAACTATTTCAATTGCTCTACAAAAGCTATACAAAAAGAGCCTCAAAATGACACAAACTTGCCTTAAGTTTTATCGAAAATATCTGCCGTCGATGATCTTAAAAATAATGGAAAATGCAGGTCAAGTATGCCATATACACAATGCTAGTCACGACGAGAAACTGGCTAACAACGTCTGAACTTCGCACTAGTACGAGCGTTTGTGATGCACTGTGTGTGGTGGGCCGGCAATGAGACTCGTTTCACGGTATAGGATTTCGGTGAAACACGCTACATCGTTTCACTTCACATACCAGTAAAACTTCCTCAAAATAAATTCATGAACACGGGAAATACATACACAGACAAGAGAGATCAAGTTTTGTGAATAAGCTTGCAAAGATCGTCCTTCTCAATCGTTGTTTTCTTGGCATTTTTACAACGTCTATTCCGTCCAGCCTGCACGCAAAACACTGTACGGCAGGCAGTGCATTGCACCGCGCGCGACTATTACGTTGACTGGTTACCGCATTTTCATCATGCCTTCATTGGGATTTAGTGCGCGGCGCAGCGGGAACCAGTCATTGCTGCACTAGCCCGTACGGGCCCACGTGTTTTCAAGCATCTCTATGCGACATACAGATTGTGCACGCACAGTATACAACCGCTGTACACACACGATCTCATACAGTACGTACGAGCTCGGTGTTCGTTCATTTTTAGCGATGTCCAGCGGCATGTTTGGGCATTATACCAACGAAAAATACGTGTATCTTAAGACTTATAATCCTTTGCGTTTTTATCACTTCTTATTTTTAAACTTCCCGTGTTTGACGAGCCCTCTTTTGGATTTTTGAGGAGCGCTATTTTTGGCGCTCCTTCGAGACAGTCGAGGAGCGCAGTAGGAGCGCCTGCGCGATCGCGCTGCTTAAAAATGAAGGACTGCACCCTGTACGAACATATAAATTTCAATGATGAAATTTCATAAGCACTAAAAAGTCAGTGCACTCCGAGGGCTTGTAAGAAAAATTCTTAAGCTCCCTAAGGTGTGACTCGAACCAATGACCTCAAAAGCAGGGCTGTCCGGAATACTCTACCATCAATCGATTGTTGCAATAGCTGTTTGCTGGTTTGAATATTCGAAAGGAGAAAACTATATGCACGTGTGCACTTGATTACGGAGTCATTTTAATCGTATGATAATTTTGTGTCGACGATAACTTTCTTGTCGACACGTACATGTATTGGAGTCCGCTCATAAGTCCGACGCCTCATAAGTCCGACGCCTCATAAGCCCGACAAAAGCGCGTCCCCTATCCAAATAAAGGCCCATAAGTCCGACGCCTCATAGGTCCGAAGCCTCATAAGTCCGACGCCTCATAGCTTCGACGCCTCATAGCTCTGAAGCATCGTAAGTCCAACAAATTAAACGCCTCGATTTTCTGTTGTCTGACTTTTGAGGCGTCGGACTTATGAGGCGTCGGCCCTATGAGGCGGAATAAATAAATTTTATGCCTCACAAGTCCGACGCCTCATAAGTCCGAAGTTTCGGACTTATGAGGCGTCGGACCTATGAGGCGTCGGACATATGATACGGCCCCCATGTATTTATTGGTTTCACTTTAGTTGGATATAAAAATTGCCAAGACAGTTATATAGTACTTATTGCAATTGCAAAACACTCCAGCGTTCCATAATATCCATCAGCGCATGCGATTTTTAACCAGCCTGCTTTGTATGCAACTTGTGACCAGCGAGGGAGGCAGTGTTTAGCTGGCTTGTGTAAAACTTGATCGGCAAGTTTTGAATACTAGAATATTTGGTCAAGTGCAGTTTCAAAAATGGACAGCCCTATTTGAAAGGTCACAATTGCACCCAATACGGGATCCACATCTCCCGATGCAATACAGGGCGAGTAAAAAAAAACAACCAAAATGTCGGGACAATTGTTTAAAGCTATAGTCCATCATTTGCAGCCATCCAAAAAATAACTGGCGTAATTATTGTTGAAAAACAAACTTGGCTGAAAGATAGTAAAGGAACTAAACTCCCTGTGAAATTATTCTTTCTGGCACGCTTTTGTGACCTGCGGACAGGATCTTAAACGATGGTTGTGCTTAAGATTCCATAACTTGAAAAGTACAAGTGATTTGAATGATTCTTGTACTAAAAGAAAAGTTATGAATTGGGCTTTCATATCCTAGATATTGAAAGTGCTACATGCAGAACTTCACTAAAACAATGGTCCTGACATTTGGGTTCGGTTTTTTTGACTCACCCTATATTCCATCATACAAAACAGTGACTGTTTAATGGCGATGCCCGCCGCATTCATCAGATTAAAACTCACCAGCTGACTGGGGGTCTATTCTAAGCATATGGGCAATTCCACGGTTACTCACGTTACATTTTTGATGTACTTTTGAGTTTCCTTGGGCTGTAATTACCTTACTGAAAAGGTTTAATAACTGTTATCCCCATGGTAGATAGAGTAGACCTAGACCTACCTAAGCACCAAAGATGACATCCAGAAAAATGTGTTATAAATGTATGATAAACAAGACGCACAAAATCGGTTACTCACGTTACATTTTCGTAACGTGAGTAACCGTGGAATTGCCCATATGTGACCTATTCTGTCAAAATCAGACTTTTCTGGGCACAAAGTCAAAAATGATATTTTTACATATTGTTAACATATGTTCTTTTTCCTTTTAATAGGTGGTTTAATTTTTGAAACTGGTCATTCCTGGGCAGAGTTTTGCTAATTTGAAGTTCATTGTGTCGAAAAGTAGGAAACGGAGAAAAAGGCCACAAACGTCACAAAACAGTTATTTCTTTAACAGATATACCTTTATCAAAATCATCCAAAATAGTATATGTAGAGTTCAAATTAGGGTTTCAAACTTTTATGATATATTATAGACATGTTCAGGATTACAAATATGCAAAAATTTGAAAATCGATAAAAATCACCCCCACAGCGTTTTTTTGGCCCTATCTTAATTTCAACCTCCGGCCAGAAGCGTCTGCTTTTGACAGAACAGGTCACATATGGTCATTAATAGAAGCAGGAGGTTGTGGGTATAATGCTTACTGTTGATACTGATGTGCACATTCTGCACTTTCTCGCCGGCTTTGTTGGACGCGATGCAAGTGTATCGATCAGAGTCGGCCACGTGAAGGGCAAGGAACTTCATCAGACCACCAGTCACCTGACATAACGATGAAATGTGTCAAGCTTGTTAAAGACCCTGCTGGATCACTCATCCGAAACAATAACTGATCCTACATGCTGCCTCCCCCAATCCTCGACAGGGATTGTCATGATGGAACGACCACATTTTAAACACAAGGCAAAGTTACCCAAAGCTTAACAACTTCAAATAGCTCAATGGCAGAGTAAAAGTCCACCCAATCAACCCAAACCAACCCAAGCCAAGCCAAGCCAATTCAACCCAACCCATTAACCCAACCCATCCCGTCCCAATTAACGCAACCCAACCCATCCCTACCTGATATCCCATCCCAACCAAATTCAACCTACATTCCGTCCCACCCAACCCAACCAATTAACCCAATTCCTATCCCATCCCAACCAAACCCAACCCAATTCTACCCATCCCAACCCAACTCAACCCACGTTCCATCCCAACCCATTAACCCAACCCAATCCAAACTAACCTAACCCCACCCAACTCAACCCACCCCGACCTGACCTAATTATAAACCCAACCAAATTCTACCCATCCCATCCCAACCCAATTCAACCTACAGTACATTCCAACCCAACCCAACCCAACCCAACCCATCTCGACCAAACCCAACCAAATTCTACCCATCCCATCCCAACCGAATTCAACCTACAGTACATTCCAACCCAACCCAACCCATCCCGACCAAACCCAACCTAATTCTACCTATCCCATACCAACCCAAACCATCCCATTAACCTAACCCAACCCAACCTGACCCAATTAACCCAACCCAATCCAACTCAACCCAAACCAACCCAACTGAACTCAATTCCACCCAACCCAACCCATCCCATCCTGACCAAACCCAACCTAATTCTACCCATCCCATCCCAACCCAATTCAACCTACAGTACATTCCAACCCAACCCAACCCAACCCAACCCATTCCAACCCAACCCAACCCAACCCATCCCGACCAAACCCAACCTAATTCTACCCATCCCATCCCAACTCAACCCACATTCCATACCAACCCAAACCATCCCATTAAGCTAACCCAACCCAACCTGACCCAATTAACCCAACCCAATCCAACCCAAGCCAAACTAACCCAACCCAACCCCACCCCACCCCACCCAACCCAACTCAACCCAAACCAACCCAACTAAACTCAATCCCACCCAGCCCAATCCAACCAAACCCACCCAGCCCAACCCTACCAGGCCAACCAAACCCTACCCAGCCCAACCAATGATTAGCCCGTCCTGCAGCCAAGCCCAGCCTATCCCAGCCCAGCCCAGCCCAAGCCAAGCCAATTAGCCATACCAACCCAACTCAACCCAAACCAACCCAACTAAACTCAATCCCACCCAGCCCAATCCAACCAAACCCACCCAGCCCAACCCTACCAGGCCAATCAAACCCTACCCAGCCCAACCAATGATTAGCCCGTCCTGCAGCCAAGCCCAGCCTATCCCCGCCCAGCCCAGCCCAAGCCAAGCCATGCCAACCCAACTCAACCCAAACCAACCCAACTAAACTCAATCCCAGCCAGCCCAATCCATCCAAACCCACCCAGCCCAACCCTACCAGGCCAACCAAACCCTACCCAGCCCAACCAATGATTAGCCCGTCCTGCAGCCAAGCCCAGCCTATCCCAGTCCAGCCCAGCCCAAACCAAGCCAATCAGCCATGCCAACCCAACTCATCCCGAACCAATCCCAGGAGTACCGGTATATACCATTCCTTGATCAACTCACTACTCTGTGTGTGTTGTTGAGGACGCGGACGCCATGGCGATACCATTCTATCTTGGGTGTGGGCGTTCCGGTCGCCTGGCAACGTACCGTCAGCCCCCTGTGGAAGTCACCGCGTACCGTTCGAGGCAAGACGGGATCAAACTCCACAGGGACTGTCACACAAGAGACAAAGCTATATTAGTACATTCAATTTTATTGGATTAAAATGAAGTATTTATTTTTCCGACAATAAGTATAACTGTTAGAAAGTATGGAGACATCATCCTAAAAAGTCAGAGCGGTAAATGTTCCAATATTCGTGAACAAAACTATAACTGATTGTAAATTGTATTAATCAATGAAAATTATTGAATGTGCAGATTCCACAAAATGTCTGACAAGGTGCAACTGGTAAGGTTAAAAATACTCTGAAAACTATGTCGAACAAAAAAAACAAGCTTAAAAAGGACAATAAACAGACACATATGCCACATCCTGGTTATCAGAGGCATGACATTGGGGCCTAATGATGTGTCAACTGTAAATATTAGAATCAATGATTTTGGCTAGGATTGAACAGTGTCTAGTTGAGTCCATCACAAGTCCTTTCACATTAAAGCTTTAGTCCATCATTTGCAGCTATCCAAAAAGTAAGTGGCGTAATTATTGTTGAAAAACATACTTGGTTGAAAGATAGCAAGGGGACTAAACTCCCTGTGAAATAATTCTTTCTGGCAAGCTGTCACTTTGAAGTAATCAACGAAAGAAGGCCTTTCCAACAGTGCTTCTTAAGGCGCACCGTAGGAAAATTTAAATTAGTAGTTCGTTTTGTTATTCAGCGAAGCGTGCGCAGGCATTGGCACGACGCACACGCACACGCGGTTGCTATAATTCGTCGGATCAGTGCGCGACTTCGCGTAACTGCAATCGGCTCAGTGAGAACGTGTCTCGGACGCTGAATTCAGGCTCAATTCAAAACATGATTCAGCAACTTTTGATTTGAAATTGAGATCCTAGAATGCTGTTTTTCTCGGAATATACAGCTAAAGCTGAGCTGAAACTTCATCAGGCTAGTTGTTTAGTACCCTTCTTTAGATTTTGAGCACTTTTGTTGCTTAAAACGAACAAAATGCACAAATTACAAATGATGGACTATATCTTTAAGTCCTTTCATATGAAGTCCAGTCAAGTAACAGGATGAACAACAATGCTTTTGTCACAGTTCATTTAGATAGCTAGTGACTTGACTTGAGACTGAAGGACTTGTGATGGACTTGTGAGGACTTGTGATGGACTTGTGATGGACTTGTGTGATGAATTGTGATGGACTTGTGACTGGACTTGTGATGGACTTGAGATGGACTTGTGATGGACTTGTGATGGACTTGTATGGACTTGTGCTGGACTTGTGATGGACTTGTGATGGACTTGTGATGGACTTGTGATGGACTTGTGATGGACTTGTGATGGACTTGTGATGGACATGTGATGGACTTGTGATGGACATGTGATGGATATGTGATGGACTTGTGATGGACTTGTGATGGACTTGTGATGGACTTGTGATGGACTTGTGATGGACTTGTGATGGACTTGTGATGGACTTGTGATGGACTTGTATTGACCGTATTGTTGTAAAACACAGGTACCCGTAAAAAAAAAACCCAACCCCAAAATTCAAATCCCTGAAGTTGTCTGACAGGCTTTAAAGCTTCACCGTGTAAAACTGCCACTTTTGTCAACGTCATCTGTCTTGCATCAAAATGCATGTCAACTAAAGTGAAAATTTGCGTAGGTTTTCCATGTATGGTAGCCTGGTGCTCATTCTGAAAATTCCCCACATATATTAACGGCATTCAAAACCTTTCTTTTTCATTGTCTGAGAAGTTACTAAGGCCAAAAAAAATAATAGTTCTGCTTCCGGTTTCCCTACCTACCCTATTCTGACAGCCCCTACCCAAATTTTTTTTATTGGAAAATGAAAAAAAAAAAAACACCCAAAACCATCACTTTATACATTTTAGCCTTGACTTCATGCAGACGCCTCCATATGATCGTACACACACAAAAAATGGTAAAAAAAACCCAACAAATTCCCTACCTACCTACCCTATTTTCGAATGCCATGTAATATATTTTTTTTTGGCCTAAGTAATTAGCATAGAGTTGGTTATGGGTACCCGATCCCATAATCTGGAACCGGTTCCTATGACATCAACTGTCGGGTACTCAGGTACCGGGTACCGATGCACACCCCTACACTCCTGGGGGTATGACAGTGCTGCTGGTAAATTGCATTCTGTGCATGCGCAGCAGCCTCACGAACTTGGTCCCAGTTGGTCCGTGTTTCTGTTTTCCCAGAGGGCGAATACACTTCCAATATGCTAGCTCCCTACATATGCAAGTAATTTGCAAGGCTTAAAGGGAATGTACAACATTTGCTTTTGCGGTAATTTTTAGAAATAAATGGATTTGGAGGATTAGTATGTTATAGCAAACATTGTTAACCCGACTTGTTTCACGTTTTGGGCTTGTGGATGCTGGAAAAACCAAGAAAACAAATCACGTTCTCGTAGTCTGGTTCCCTGAACCCCACTTACATGTAAGATGAAACGGAGCAATTTTAGAATTTTAATAGGGAATTGTTAAGGTCAGAGAATCAGTCTAGCAGGCTTGTACCCCTTCACAGGTGTGTAATCAATTGCAAAGGAATGCGGAACGACTAAATAGGAAAATTAAGGGCAGTTTTTGAAAAAAAGCCAGTTGTTTTCCAACGCTGGTCGGCCGCCTGGCGTTGGAAAAATACATTTTTTCTTGAAAATGTCGGCACACAAGGAGCCACAATTTTACAGGATGCTTTAGACTGTCATTCCCTAACAATCCATGTATTTTGTGACAACTTGATCTTTTCTTTCTTTTTTTTTGATGTTTGCAAATGTTGTATCTTCCCTTTAACTTTGACGCACATGCGCTGGTTTGTTTAATCATCAGGGAAATGTGAGCACGCTCAGTTAACTCTCACCGGTAGACAACAGCGCCCTCGGCATGCCTCGCGCAGACCCCATGGAGAAGAAAAAAAAAGAATCATAGCCGGGCAGCTGTCGTCTTCCGATTATACAGTCATCCACTTGCAAAAAATGTACATCCTCCGACCTTTTCAACTTCGATCCGATGATAAATCAAATCCCACGACAAATTGCAGGAGTTGGAGATGGTCTGAACTTGTGCCAAAAATATGCGGGTTCCGTGGGCGCATGGTGTCATGTGACTCACAGGAAGTACCATGTACGTACGGGGATAAAAATAGCATTTTGTGGGGTGAGTATTGCGTCACAGGTACAGTGATTTAACAGTTGATTCATATTAAATGTACAAAATACCCAAAGAAACCTCAGTAAAAGACATCCAGTATTTTGTTTTTTAAATTCCAATTGTTATTTTTCTTATATTTAAAGAAAGTAACAACCTGTAACAGGTAAATACTGAACAATTGTCGATCAGACTTTTCAAAATATTTCAAACAATTTTGACTCAGGATTGACTTGTGATTGACTTGTGACTGACTTGTGATTGACTAGTGATTGACATGTGATTGACCTGTGATTGACTAATGATTGACTTGTGACTGACTTGTGATTGACTTGTGATTTGATTTATGACCGCTTTGCAACTGACTCTTTCTGGGACTTCTGGGACTTCTGAGTGATTTGTGATAAGTTGTGATGACTTGTGATTAACTTGTGACTGACTTGTGATTGACTAGTGATTGACATGTAATTGACCTGTGAGTGACTAATGATTAACTTGTGACTGACTTGTGATTGATTAGTGATTGACATGTAATTGACCTGTGAGTGACTAATGATTGACTTGTGACTGACTTGTGATTGACTTGTGATTTGATTTATGACTGCTTTGCAACTGACTCTTTCTGGGACTTCTTGGACTTCTGAGTGATTTGTGATAAGTTGTGATGACTTGTGATTAACTTGTGACTGACTTGTGATTGACTAGTGATTGACATGTAATTGACCTGTGAGTGACTAATGATTAACTTGTGACTGACTTGTGATTGATTAGTGATTGACATGTAATTGACCGGTGAGTGACTAATGATTGACTTGTGACTGACTTGTGATTGACTTGTGATTTGATTTATGACTGCTTTGCAACTGACTCTTGGGTGATTTCTGAGTGATTTGTGATAAGTTGTGACTGACTTGTGATTGACTTGTGATTTCATTTATGACTGCTTTGCAACTGACTCTTAGGTGATTTCTGAGTGATTTGTGATAACTTAATGTGATGACTTGTGATTGACTTGTGACTGACTTGTGACTTCTTGTGATTGAATGTGATTTAGTTGCTATTGAGTTTTGACTGACGTGATTTGATCATACAAGATTGTTTTAATTGTCATTGAGTTGTGATTGAGTTGTGATGGAATTGTGATTGACTTTTGACTGATGTGATTTGACATAAGATTGTCTTGTCATTGAGTTGTGATTGACTTGTGACTGACTTGTGACTAGCTAATGATTGACTTGTGATATGACATGGGATTGACTTGTGACTGACTTGTGATTGGCTTGTGACAGTTGCCTCACCTAGGATCTGTATCAGGGAATCTGCCCGGATGGTCTCTGGGTTCCGTCCGGCCTGCTCTGTAGCCTCGCAGGTGTACACACCCTCGTCAGCTGTGGCCATGCGGCTGATATACAGAGAGCGGCCCATGACAAAGGTGCCCGTACACAGGGAACTGACAAGCAAGACATGGAGGAAGCCATGATTATAGGTTGAACAGAGAAATTGACTAGAGAGGGATAATGAACTTGAATACCTAAATATGATGCTGTACAAACTGATAGTTTAGTGACACATAATCAACAACCCACCAATCAGATGACAGGGATTTATTCAGGCGTTGCATTATATACCATAGGCTATGAATACTATTTGGAGACTATAATACGCACTTCCTTTCAAATTTTCGCACAGAAAAAAACCTATTTTTAATCCCCATTCATAAATACCCAAGACAGTTTACCCATTGCTAATTGGTTGAGAGCCCATCATGTTGGCTGTTTTAAATGGTTAATAAAACACCGACTGGTTTTTAAACACTTTTTTTTGGCACCGCTGTGTTCTGCACCACCAAAGTAGTACGGGCCACGCGCGCGCCGATCTCCATATAAGGAGATTTTTAGTACTGCTTGCTCAAGGCACATATCCTAAACTTAGCCAGAGGGGTAATTCACAAAACATGAAGTAGAATTGTTGAACAAACTCGTTGGAAATGAATACTTTTTACTTGTTTTGAGTTTCTAACTGAAAGGTATTTATGAATGGGAATTTGGTTTGGCCCATTATCAGAGACCAGGCCCCTAACCTGTAGTAAACGTACCTGTTTAATACCGGCCAAGCACACACTTATTCCCTTAATGCATGGCAAGGTTTTCTGGGAGTAACCCGAGAATCATGTGGTGAATACATGCATACACTAGCTTTCGATAATTACTCACTTGTTGAAGTCGGCCTGTGAGCACCGCGCGTCCACACGCCTGCCGTCTTTCAACCAATCGATGGCCACCGGTACGTTGTTCTGGGCGCCGGCTACTTTGCAGTTCATACGGGCCGTGCTGTTGGTCATGATGTACTTATTGGGACGCGGCTTCACCAGAAAGTGCAGGCCTGCAAACAAGACGGAGGGACAGTAGGAATTTTCGTGGAAAAAAAAAAAAATCATCACAAACAATTTGTAGTTAGGAGGAAAAAGAATAGATGTGCCTATGCTAGTGCAATATAGCTTTCCTAACTTGCACTGTGTTGCACAGAAAATGTTGGTGAAACTTCATGATAACAATTGTACGGAGCATGGTTGGGTGATAGTTTTTTAGGCAAGTGAAATTTCTGAATCTAGACTACCAGCAGCACTTCATGCAACAATTGCTATTTATGCGAAAACAACATTTTTTTAATATGACAGGAAAATAAAACAGGACCACCCTCATTCCCATCCCCCCACCCCCAATCTCACCCTATCTATTGTCAAATCTTTGGTTTTGCTTTTCTTTGTTTGTTTTGGTTATCATTTTTCTAATTGAAATTACGATTTGTACGGTTCCAAGATCTTCTGTACACTTGAGAAAATAAGGTTTTCAATCTCGACAAAATATCTGAAAACGACAAGTTATTATGAATAATATTTCATTTGTTTTTCTTTATTAAAAACATGTCAAAAAAAAAATAATTAATTTTTTTTTTTTCGGGGGAGCGCAAAATGTTGTTAAAGAGCCTTTCAATTTCACTCTCTCGTTCAACTTTTGAGGGGAAACTTATACAAAAAACTCACCAGTTACCACCAGATTGAAAGCTTCCGAGAAGGCTTCCCCGACATCGTTGACAGCGCGGCACTGGTACAGCCCTTTGTCAGAGCCGATCACCTCAGTCACCCTCAGGTACCCATCCCAACCTTCCTGGAAATGGGTATCTGCCACACGCGCTATAGCCTGCGTAAGGGAAACCAAAGGAATCATGGGAACAATTACGCACATGACAAAGTTTAGTAACCATACTCAAGAAATAGACGGGCTCGTCAATTTCGTGTGAAAAAAAACACCGCGTTTTTAGTTAGGCCAAAAAAAAAAAGTCTCCAGTTTCTGGTCTAGAGCTTGCCCAAAAAGTGGTGCGGCGACGCGACTTTTTTTTTTTTTAACCTGATTTTTTTGCTTCAAATGTCGGCTGATGACTGCAAATGGTGCCCGACTAAACTTAGTGCAAATATATAGGAGTCCAGAGAGGCCACATAAAGCTTATTCTCGACCATAACCCAATCTAAAAACACGTTAGAATTGTGCAGCAGCAGGATTCCAGTCAAACCAGTGAGTTTGGCGGTTTTGAGACATCATCTTTCATTGAAAAAAAACTTTTTTATTTTCCGCCGCGCATGGCTACGGCATCGCGCGCGCATACCAGACACCAGAGACTTTTTTTGGCCTTATCCAAATGTACCCGTCCCAGCCTGCTTGGAAATGGGTTTCGGCCACTCACACTATGGTCTGCGTAAAATAAAGTTTCAAATAAAACACATATTCGCAAATTTGTAATAAATGACTGTATCTTCTCTGAGTGATCCCCGTTTGCTATTTGCCAGGTTTGCAGCATTGCTAATGTTGCTAGCATCGTGACTCAATTGAGGCATGATCCTGGCTACACATGGCATACATATACGGGTTTATGGCTTCTGACCAGCCACCCTTGAAATCAAGGCATTGACAAAATCGGGAGCAGCCAGCAGTTGGAAGAGCACCGGAACAGCAATCCGGAGGTCGCAGGTTCAAACCCTGCTCCAGTCAATTTGTTTGTTCAACTTAAAAGATTTCACCAGTTCACGTCATGACGTGGATACATGCAAAGATTTTGCAGTATTCGGAACGGATGACAGATAAACATGCAACGAGCAAGGCCGAAAATCAGGGTGTGCTACCCGCAGATGACAGCCTGAACCCGTCTGGCATTGAAGTTTGTGAAAAACAAACCGGCGCCTGGATCCGGTCAATGTCAAAATAATTCCGGCGCGAAGCGGTTAAAAAAAAAAAAACTTTTAATGGACAATTTTCAAAATTTTACTAGGCTCTATTTAAGCAGGGGAATAGCAAATCTGGTTGCCGGAATCATGAGTAACTTTTTGTCCAAAGCTAATAAGATGTGTTCAATGCCCCCCCCCCACCTCCAAAAAAACCAAAATGTTTTTCTTAAATCTTAAAATTAATGTGGCCTGACGTTGCGAACTTAGCAAGTTCTTCTTCAGAGGCTAAAACAGAAATGACAGAGATACATACATTAACATGGGGGTGCACACAAACATGCAGGGCTGAAAGAAGAAACACAAAAGGAGGATTAGGAGGGAAAGGTGTGGAAAGAAGCAGGGGAGGGTGGATGAGAGAACAAAGAAACAAAGGGAGATGGCAAACCACAAGGGGTCTGGTGTAAACAGGGGAGGGACCAGAAAGGGGAAGGATCAAAGGTCACAGGGAGTGGGAACGGACAAAAGAGTGTGAGAGTGAAGGGATGATGCGGGGGGGGGGGGGGGGGGGACAGTATAGAGGTGGAAAGGGATGAAAGATGGCGAGAGATGTGTTAACACAAACAAGGAAGACCAGATGGATTATCTGTAACAGAGGACAATGGAGGAAGAAAAGGATTAATCAAATGTTTTTCTGTGATGTTATACTTTAAATCTTGTACTATGTGCACTTTTTCAAAAATAGCACTGAGGACTTTGCAAGAACATTTCTTAGCATCAAAGGAAAAAAAATTAACCTATGAACAACTTTATGTGGGCTTGGTGAAATGGGGGGGGGGGGTGAAATGGGGGGGGGGGGAATGACAATTCTTACCCTATCGTCCTTAAACCAAGTGAAGGACGGCTTAGGAATTCCAGTGGCTTGGCAGTATAGCGTCATGGGCTTGCCAATCTTGACGTACATGGTGGACTCAAAGACGGACGTTATCTCAGGAGGTGCTGACGGTATGAAAACAAATCCAAAGACCGTTGTCAAGTATAATGCATAAAACTAACCTTATGAATTGAAAGTCAGAATTTTGGAAGCCGAAATCAGTACACTTTGACAAAATCAGTAAATTTCACTTCTTTTCTATTTTTGCAAATGTTGCTTCGATTCTTTTGAGTACGGAATAAATTGGATAGGACTGAATCAACACAATGCGTTACGTTGTTCAAGCTGATGAACTTGCCTTCTGTAGGGGGTGGTATTTTGAGCTGATATATTGGCTCGCCCTACGCAGAGTTAAATCTCAAAAAAGGTTTGTTTTAGGTACGGAGTCCAAAAATCTATCCCTCCCCCCCAAAAAAAAGCAGAAAAAAATTTCAAACTTCACTGATAAGTACAGTTTAAAGCTAGAGTCCATCATTTGCAGCCATCCGAAAAGTAACTGGCACAATTATTGTTGAAAAACAAACTTGGTTGAAAGATAGTAAAGGAAATAAACTCCCTGAGAAATTATTCTTTCTGGGAAGTTGTCATTTTGAAGTAATCAACGAAAGAAGGCATTTCCAACGGTGATTCTTAAGAAGCACTGTAGGAAAATTTAAATTAGTAGTTCGTTTTGTTATTCAGCGCAGCGTGCACAAGTATTGGAACGACGCACACGCGCGCGCGGTTGTTATAATTCGTCGGATCAGTGCGCGACGTCACGTATAGCTGCAATTCACAACAATTCAAAACATGATTCAGTAACTTTTGATTTGAAATTGAGATCTTAGAATGCTGTTTTTCTCGGAATGTACATCTGAAGCTTAGCTGAAACTTCATCAGGTTAGTTGCTCAGTATCCTTCATTAGATTTTGAACTCTTTTGTTGCTTCAAACGAACAAAATGCACAAATTACAAATGATGGACTGTAGCTTTAAAGAGAGCCATTGTTGAAATCCAAATAAAAAGGGTTTTCTGTAAAGCTTTATAGCACTTTGAATGTGGATGCCCCCCTCCTCCCATTTTTCAAATGTGCCACAACCCTGGGGGAAAAGTGTTATCTTCTCTGGGGGTTCATTGTGTTTGATAAACAAATTGCTCTGTTAACAAGCCTGTTGTGCTCCTTCAAACTTTTTCTATATACCGCACCAGACTGAGCCAGAAAACTATTAAAAAGTGGAGAAAATTGAAATGAAAAACGAAAAAACACGAAATGAATCAAATCACTTAATCACTTTTAAACCACATGAACAGGGAATAAGATGAACGAAAATAAAATAAAGCTTCGAGTTTCAGGTTTGGTATATTCCATTCAACTTCACAGTAAACTTTTGACAATAGGTGAAGATATTTGGGAATATAATTGAGGGCCATCTAGAAACCCTTGAGGGCTTGTAACGATGACCTTAAAGTTGGATACCAATAGTAGAGTGGAAGTATTTGCCAATGAAATTTTCAAAGTAACACAAGGGAGTTTCGAGTAAATAATGGAAATGATCAATGATTATGTATTTCTAACTCATTTACCAAAAGTTTCTTTTAAAGCTATAGTCCATCATTTGCAGCTATCCGAAAAATAGCTGGCGTAATTATTGTTGAAAAACATACTTGGTTGAAAGATAGTAAGGGGACTAAACTCCCTGTGAAATTATTCTGTCTGGCAAGCTGTCATTTTGAAGTAATCAACGAAAGAAGGCCTTTCCAACGGTGCTTCTTAAGACGCACCGTAGGAAAATTAAAATTAGTAGTTTTTGTTATTAGGCGAAGCGCGCGCAAGCATTGGCACAACATACACGCACCCCCGGTTGCTATAATTGTTAGATCAGTGCGCGACATCGCGTAGCTGCATTCGGCTCAGCGAGAACGTGTCTCGGACGCTGAATTCAGGCGCAATTCAAAACATGATTCAGCAACTTTTGATTTGAAATTGAGATCCTAGAATGCTGTTTTTCTCAGAATATACAGCTGAAGCTGAGCTGAAACTTTGTCAGGTTAGTTGTTCAGTAGTTATCCTTCATTAGATTTTGAGCACTTTTGTTGCTTCAAACGAACAAAATGCACAAATTACAAATAATGGACTATATATTAACTTTAAGAATAATTACGACCATAAATAACACAGAAGGACTAACACGACGTGGATACTGGACATCAACAACAAACTGTAGATTTGTTTGGACTAGTCTGCCAAAAACAGCTGACTTTAGCAAAATATGATTTGATAACGAAGTTATCAAATTTGAAAATAAACGTAAAAGGTGCTTCTCATGTCTTACCATGGATAGCAACTTCAAAGAGGTGTTGCAGGGTCTGTTCTGGGTTGCGGGCAGTGCAGGTGTATTTGCCTTGAGCCTCCACGCTTATGGTTCTGTACTCCAGGGACGAGATAGCCACGTCCTCGGCGCTGGACTGGGTGATGATGTGAAGACTGTCGGTGGTCAGTGTGACGGTACCCTGCCACAAACAGAACCCGAGAAAAATAGAAATCAAGACTTTTAAAGAGGTTGTGGAATGCTCGAAGTCATTTCCGTCATTTTTCAGGTATATGTAGCCTAAGGTGTGATGAAATAAAAATGACTATTGTTTCTGTCATGAAATGAGTACAAAAGGTACTTTTGAGAGCTGTTTTTCAAGTCCTGTCATGCCTGTTTCGACCCGAACGTGCAATTTGTGTAAAAGTCGTCGTTGCGGGCAGCAAACAAAACACAGTAAATCGTGACGTAATAAACAGGACTCCCGATGCAGAGTAGCATAAACGAGTCCTGTTTATTACGTCATGATTTACTGTGTTTTGTTTGCTGCCCGCAACGACGACTTTTACACAAATTGCACGTTCGGGTCGAAACAGGACCTGAAAAATAGCTCTCAAAAGTACCCTTTGTACTCATTTCATGACACAAACAATAGTCATTTTTATTTCATCACACCTTAGGCTACATATACCCCAAAAATGACGGAAATGTCTTCGAGCATTCCACAACCTCTTTAAGCTGTGTAGTTTTTGCTATTCAACAAAATATGGTGGTTTTTTTTCCCAAGCATTTTGAACTTGTATATTTGTATCTTTATACAATTATTGGGCGTCTGCAACCCTCTGAAAACAAAGCTGACTTCTTTGCATCTAATGCATCAACTTTCACTCGGGAGGTAACACACTGAGTATACAGTGTTTAAAAAAACGTCGGTGAAGGGCAAAACCTAATTTGATTTATATCACCCCGACGCAAAATTCTATCTTATAATGCATCTAATGCCTTTGAAATTGTCATGCTATAAATAATTCAAGTTGTTAAATAATTTTCCCATACCTAAACGTTGTAATTTTTGTTTATATCTCATTTAAAAATCAATAACTTTTGTATTGCAAAAAAAATATACACCAATTAAAACAAAATATGACGTGATGAACTCCTGGTGGGAGAACTTTAAACCTCTTAGCATACAACAAGCTATATTTTTACCGGTACATCGTTTTGAAATTGTCCGTATTTCGACTTTATTTCAACTATTCCTTGTTTTCATTCCTTCAAATTAAGCATATGTACAAATGTAGGTCTACATTAAAGTTTCTGATTTGCCCATTTCAACTTTGCAAAGTCATTTTTTTTTAAATTACATCAAGTATTAACATAGAGACAACCAAGGCACAGTTAGTGCATCTGTAAAGTTTTAGCCTATCCAACTGCAAAGTATTAATATTATACAATAATATTGTAAAATATTGAATATTGAAAAATATTAATTGTCAAAGAACACTTTGCCAAAGCAGCACCCTGAATAAAAACTTCGAAACTTTGGCAGAGACCAGTGAATGCATTTTTTTCCAGACACCCCCCTCCCCTAAACTTTTAAGTAATGCAGGATATAAAATTTGGATTTTTTTTCCTTAAAATTTGCACACAAACTTTAATAGTAAAAAAGTTCACACACTTTAATACCTCCCCTCCCCCCTCACTGTAATCCTCACCCAAATAAGTAAAATAAATCCTGCTTTCCAATGTGTGTTATACAAAAACAAAATCAATTCTGTACTCATGTATGTTGATTAAAGGTCATGAAGGTATAGTCCATCATTTGTAATTTGTGCATTTTGTTTGTTTGAAGCAACAAAAGTGCTCAATATCTGAAGAAGAATGCTGAACAACCAATCTGATAAAGTTTCAGCTCAGCTTCAGCTGTATTTTTCGAGAAAAACAACATTCTAGGATCTCGATTTCAAATCAAAAGTTGCTGAATCATGTTTTGAAATGGGCCTGAATCCAGCGTCCGAGACACATTCTCACTGAGCCAATTGCAGCTACGCGATGTCGCGCACTGATTCGACGAATTATAGCAACCGCGCGCGCGCGTGTGCGTCGTGCCAATGCTTGCGCGCGCTTCGCCTAATAACAAAAACTACTAATTTGAATTTCCTACGGTGCTTCTTAAGACGCACCGTTGGAAAGGCCTTTTTCGTTGATTTCCTCAAAATGACAGCTTTCCAGAAAGAATAATTTCTCAGGGAGTTTAGTCCCATCACTATCTTTCAACCAAGTATGTTTTTCAACAATAATTACGTCAGTTACTTTTCAATAGCTGCAAATGATGGACTCTGGCTTTAATTTTCTAGTTCGAAAACTATATGTTCTAATGCACTCTATACAAACTGTACAGCGCACTTTACATTTTATCTATGACATGGGTTGCCAAACACAAGGCAAGGCCTTCATTAGATTCCTGCCAGGCAGGAAACCATCAATAAAGTGCGTTGGTGCACGTACATGGCGGCTATTTATAAGACCTGTATGACTTGTACATGAAACTGTGGGCTATTTTTGTGTGACAGTTTCCTATGTGGATATCTCACTAGTTTAATGTCAGTAGTTACACCAGGTATTACCTGGCACTGCGTGTGACGTATTACTTTATTTCGTTTTATAGCTTTTAATCGTTGGTAATTATAATAGAAATGAATTGAGAAGAGTCCCAGTTTTGACAGATGTTTTCACTAAAATACAGGGTGAGTCAAAAAAAGCAGAACCCAAACCCCAAAAATTATATTTCATATTTAAAAAAAATATGCAGTGCTCACCAAACATAATAATGACTGGAAAGCCAATTTAATAAGTTACTTTCAGAAGAAAAATATATTGAAATTGCTCAATCAGTTCAAAGAATATCACCATTTAAACGCAATGACCCTAAAACCTTTTTCCTCCAAAAATGCGATTTCAATAATTGTCGTCACAATTGTCTTCAAACATCATCAGCGATAAAACCTCAGTTTAAAAAAAAAGTGGATTTTAAAAATCATATTGTTTGCCTAACCAGGGTTGTTAATAAAGATATTGTGCACTACAGTTGTTGACAGTTGTTGAAACAAGTATTCTGTGTCATTTTCTTTGATGTTCCAAACAATCAGAAGAAAAAAAAAAAACTGTTTTTTTTTTAGGAAACAGGATTTAGGGTCATGGCGTTTAAATGGTGATAATTCTTTAAACGGATTTAGCAATTTCAGTAATTTTTTTTTATGTAAAAGCAACTTATGAAATTGGCTTTCCAGTCATTTTTATGTTTGGTGCTACATATCTTTTTAATTATGAAATATATTTTTGGGGGGTTTGGGTTCCACTTTTTTCGACTCATCCTGTAACTGTACAAGTAAAATAGTGTCTTTAAAGCAACAAAAAAGAATTATAAAAAAAATTAAGCAATAACGATCCTTGCTTTTTTTGTTACAATGAAAGGAAGGATCATTGTCATAATAAAAAAAAATTAACCTCATAATAAAGCACAAGTCCCTTTTCAAATGTACCAAATACTTGCATGTCCGTTTCAATCGTTTGTCAGAATCGTTCCATGGAATGATTTTGACGCATACGCAATGTATACGCAGCGTATGGGTAAGAGATAAAAAACAACTTGCGCTTATGGAAAGGCGGCTTTAGTGTGATATTTACCGAACCATACAAAAATAAGGACACGTGTCCCCTGTAGTTCAGTAAAACCAAAATCATACTTTTTTTCCATTAAAAAAAAAAAAACCACACAAAGTAAGAGCATGTCTACGGAGCTTTTAAAGGGACATAGGTAAAAAAAAAAAAAATTAAAAAACCATCGTAAGAATGAAAAAAATCTGCGTTCGAACGAAAAAAATCTGCGTTCGAACGAAAAAAATCTGCGTTCGAACGAAAAAAATCTGCGTTCGAACGAAAAAAATCTGCGTTCGAACGAAAAAAATCTGCGTTCGAACGAAAAAAATCTGCGTTCGAACGAAAAAAATCTGCGTTCGAACGAAAAAAATCTGCGTTCGAACGAAGAAAATCTGCGTTCGAACGAAAAAAATCTGCGTTCGAACGAAAAAAATCTGCGTTCGAACGAAAAAAAATCTGCGTTCGAACGAAAAAAAATCTGCGTTCGAACGAAAAAAATCTGCGTTCGAACGAAAAAAATCTGCGTTCGAACGAAAAAAATCTGCGTTCGAACGAAAAAAATCTGCGTTCGAACGAAAAAAATCTGCGTTCGAACGAAGAAAATCTGCGTTCGAACGAAGAAAATCTGCGTTCGAACGAAGAAAATCTGCGTTCGCACGAAAAAAATCTGCGTTCGAACGAAAAAAATCTGCGTTCGAACGAAAAAAATCTGCGTTCGAACGAAAAAAATCTGCGTTCGCACGAAAAAAATCTGCGTTCGAACGAAAAAAATCTGCGTTCGAACGAAAAAAAATCTGCGTTCGAACGAAAAAAATCTGCGTACTTGGGCTGCCGGCCGGAGACACAGACGCCATTGTTGACGACGTGGAGGCACGCTAGCTAGCACTCAGTCACGTTTCCAGATCCAAAGCCTACAGGTAAGACTTAATCCATTAAAATTGTGAAATCTTCCCGCCATAATTTTCAATCTGTCTTTGAATTTCACAGTTTCATTGCAATTTGCGGTCAAAAGTCCAAGCTGGGCTTTATGGCATGCATGGCCGTCCCATTCACAAAGCCCCATAGCACTGCAGCTCATACTGTACATGTACATGCATACCACATACATATGTACTGTACATGAACATACCACATACATATGTACTGTACACGTACAGTACATGTACTATATGTACATGTACAGTACATGTACTGTATGTACATGTACATGTACTGTATGTACATGTACAGTACTTGTACTGTATGTACATGTACATGTACAGTTCATGTACTGTATGTACATGTACAGTTCATGTACTATATGTACATGTACTGTATGTACTGTACATGTACAGTTCATGTACTGTATGTACATGTAGAGTGCACGTATCGTGTAATTTTGTAAATGAAAAATGTGTTACTTATTGTCAACTACATTAGACAAATCCGGTGACCATATTATGGACAGTCAAGAAACAGTTCAATGGCGAAGAGCATTGTGCTGGCATTTTGTACAGAGAGACGGTCATATGGAACGGTCATGGAACGGTTGCTCGGTACAATAGTTAGCACAATTCTTTTCGCCATTAATGGGGGCCTTCGGGAATGTCCAGTGACATGCAGTGTCACCATGGTCACCGGATTCGTCTATAAAAGTTCAAACAGCCATGACCCCGAATTTCAAACAAAAACAAATGTATGCTACATGTGATTGATTACTGTATGTGGTTTTGTCATCCCTAGGACTAGCTCCCTACCGTCCTGACTGTCGTTTCTGAAAGTTTCTCCCCTGAAAATCGTGAGTATGTCAAAACATTCTTTGCCCTGAAAACTAAACATGTAAAACGTATCAATCATGATGTGACTCATATCATGCTCTTGTAAGTGCAACAGTTTCTCCACATTTAACTGGTTATCCATGGGCCACCAAAAAACATGTTGGGCTAGCCATGGCTATCAGAATAGCCCGACATGTTTGTCAATTGCTATGAGTATGAGTAGGAATCAGCTAATTAGTGAATCCCGTATCTGAAAGTGAGGAAGCAGAAAGTACATGTACATGTACAAGTGTTAGACTAGTAAAGTAGGCTAATTGAAAGCCAGAAATGATCAAACAATATACATGTCAGTCGCTTCTAAAGTTTGGAACTATTACAAGGATTAGGAATGAAAATTTATACTGTAAAGGATTTGTGGATAGACAAATTTCTGAAAATCACAATGACGACCAGTTATATTTTTTTACCTGAAAAATTTGAAAGATAATTATATAGCCTTTTTTAATTATTTTTTTTTTAACTTGCCTCACTTTATAAAAAGAAACCAAAAAGGCAAATTACTTTTAAAAATGTCTCATAAGTGTGTTGCCTCAGCATAGCATAATGGGTGGGACTGATGGGGTGGGGGGGGGGTTGTAGCTAGTATTGTAACAGGATAGGGACTCTTACAAGAAGAAGGACAATTAGCTAGATCTTCATTGCAATGGTCAAACTTCATGACCAACTAACAGCAAGCCCTAGTAAGACCGTTTGAAAGCTCATAGACTGCTTTAAGACCAGTTATTGAAATTCCTGTACTTGGGCCACGGACCTACATTGGGCACATATGTCATGCATGTTGGACCTGAAAAAAACATGACCAAATCACCCACATATGTGATGGGGCAGCACAGGGAGGGCAAACAGTTTATAGCAGGGGTGTGAGAATTCACCCTTTTAGCTGATTTCAGTTTTTTGTTTGTTTAGATTTTTACTCTGAAATTCAGCTTTTTTGTACACAAAAGTATCAGACTTTTGGCTAGCTGTTTTCAGCCTTTTTTTGTGTGTGGCCACTCACACCCCTTTTGTAGGTGCCTAACTGTAAGACCATCTTTGAAATTGCAGGTTGAGCATGACTGAGCCCGAGACGTCCAAGTTACATGACTTTCTCAAGAAAAGGGATGTCGATGATCAGTGTATACAGCGCATGGAAGAGGATAAGGTAGGTTACATGTTTTAAGGTGATAAGCCAACAGTAAGAAGCAAAGTTGCAATTGAACCAACACTACCATGTTGCACCTTCCCCAATCTTTTGTTGCTTCCACATGCATTACTTCCTTTTTTTGATTCCAGTGTAAAACTTAATTCTTTGCAGTAAGAACACTTTGTGACAGCTCCTCTTCATTCCTATAACTTAGTATAAGGCCATTCATTCATTCCTATGAGTTTCCTACTTTTGGCTCTGATGTTGGATTAGTTGAGTTTGTTTTCTTACCCCACACTCAACCTTTTCAAAATACAATCTAACTCCAAGGGTAGTCGGCTCGTTTTTTCTTAAAGCTCTACCATCCTTGTATTGAATTATGTTCATATCCAAGAATTATATATTGGATGGTATTTCAGGGTGACATAGGATACTGCATACATTTATAAGTCAAGAAAATACCAAAGTTGTCACGAGCTTATTTTGTATTTTTATGACGAGTGAAGTATACATGTATTCTCATATCACCCCAAAAAGATCCAATGTTATTGTTGTTACATATAAAATGAAGCTTACTTTGGTGAAATGTTTATAGATTCCATTGAGATTATATATTTTTTATGTATGCATACATACAATTGTGTGATCCTTTTTTACTTGATAATCACCTTCACAGTAATTTTCACCATCTTGCTCACGGGGCAAGAAGAACATGCGTTGCTAGACATGGGGGAATTTTGGAATGAACGCATGATGACTTCGAAGTGCAAACGTTTTCAATTGACGATGCCTACACAACAACGCGTGTAAATTTACCCCATGAGCAAGATGGCGCATATTACCGTGAAACTGCTTATTGTACAGTACTGTTCCCAAGGGTGGTGCAATGTACATGTACTTCCAAACTGCAAAAAACATGGCGAAGCAAAATGAAAGTGATTTTTGAAATAGTCAGAATGGATTTGGTTTAAGGGAATAAGCTTCTACATGCCACTTTGACAACAAAATTTGCAATGCTGGAGATATCTTGGAGAATTAAGCAACCTTCTGCAGCATTTCCTCTTCTCTTAGTCAAATTGTCGGAATTTTGAAAGCTGAACAAACGTACTAGATACATGTAGAGCCACTTGTTTTTAAAGCTTAGAGAGGAGGTTGAATAATAAAGGTGGTGTAAACAATAATTATGTTTCACGTTTGCACAATAACTTTTTTTTTCTTATTTTCTTAATAAAAAGATCTGCATAATTTTTGTTGGTTGGGCCAGGTTTTAAGAAAAATTTTTTGGGGGGCCGTAGGTTATTGTAAGTCAACCTAACGGTGGTCTTAACTGATCCAATATAATGCACATAACCATGCAAGGGATTTGTTTAACACATTGGTAAACATTTTCCCAGAAGTATGCACATTTCACTTTCAACAGTCTTTTGTGTTTCAGATAGATCTGGAGGTGATATGTCTGATGTCCGATGACGCCTTAAGAGATTATCTACCCAGATATGGAGATCGCATTGCCGTAGTGTCTTTTGCCAAGAGCAAAGACAAACAATCTCAGGGGAACACAGACCGGAAAACTTCTCTTGTTGAATCCTTGAAGAACAAGATGACGTCGCACCTCCTGCGATCCAAGAGCCAGATTGGGAATGAAAATGCCAAAAAACAAGAGCGCCGTGTTGAGGTTGGATGGGTACACTACGACTTTGACATGAAGGAATATAAACAAATCTACCAGAAGAAAGGAGGTGGGATAAAACACCAGAAGTACAAAGTTGACACACGACTGTCGGAAATTATGGAACAAGCAATAACATGGTTCTTTCCTGGTGGTAAAAACAGACATGGGAATGTTTCGGATTTTGACGTCTTCATTACCGACCCATCCTTTGATAAGCTTGATGGAGACACTACAGTCCAACAAATGTATGAGACAGCTCGAGTGAAGATACTGCGCCTGTATATTGCAACTAAAAAGAAAGTAACCCCAGACAAAAATGTTGAAAGCTGCAGTAAATTTCCTGAAGGTGAAAGTAGTACCTCATCTGACGAGTTCGTACATGCACCTGTGACAAACAAAAGACCGAAACGAAGGTGCAAGCAGGGCACTGCAAAGGGGCCTAAAACTCCAAGTGGAAAGAAAACAAAAGTAAAGAGCCACAAACAAGATGAAAGCAGAATTTCTGGAACACCTCCATTAGATGTTGAGGATGATCTGAAACAGTCACAACGGCAGGTAGATGGACAGCTTCAATCCCTTAGTTGCCCTGACATGTCTGAGGTTGATGTTTCTACCACCCAAGTGCCTGCCGAGACATGTACACCAAAAGTGAGTGATGTTCAAAATTGTCATCTTTTAAATACTGATTCATAACAGGGCCTGCGCTGGCTGTATGCCTACATGTATTTCCGTTGATTTCAAAATCCTGAAGAGGCAATATTGCTAACAAGCAAAAAGATTCCACAAATTTAAAAAAATACACATACAACCCTGTGTATTTTTGGAGGGTTGTTGAAAATGCACTTTGTCGAAAAAGGCACTGGCGGTGGTGCGCTAATTGCCTGCATCCACACCCCTCCCCATCACAACCTTTGCGTATTTGGTTATGGCTTAATTAGAACAATGTGTCATGCAAATCCAGCTCAGGCCACTGTGATTAATGGCCGCATGCCCTGCTTACATGTAATTGGCCATGAGGTTCAGATCAAACCCTATGAGGCCAAGAGCACAAACATTTTCATGTCAAGTTAACATTTCCTTGATTCTCCTCGGAGTTGGTATTGGCCCTTTTGGTTGTTGAGTTGTTAACATTTACATGTACTCTGGAATGCTGGAGGTCACGGGTTGAATCAACTTCTTTTAAATTTGCATTTATTTCCCAAGCTTTCCACAACTTTCCATGGTTTATAACAATGAGATGTAAACCATAAACAGTGTTTAATCATAGAAAAATATGTTTAATAAACCATAATAAACTGTGTTTTTACAAAATCATGGTTTACAAACCAGTAAATAAGAATCATCATAACAAAAAGTGTTGCATAAATCGTGGTTTATAAACCATGAAAATTAAATCCACAAAAGACATGGTTTCTAAACCATGAAAATTGATGCAACTTAAAACGTGGTTTATAAACCATGAAAAACTGTGTGCACAAAATTATGATTTACAAACCATGTAATAAGAATCACCATAAAAACATGGTTTTTAAATTGTAGACCATGATTTATGCACCATTTTTTTGTGTATTATTCTTGTTTGGTGGTTTGTAACCCATGATTTTGTGAAAACACATTTCTTTATGGTTTATAAACAATTTTTATTCAACACTATTTATGGTTTCCATGTAATAGTTATAAACCATGAAAAATTGTCATAAAACCATGGAAAATCGTCTCCAAAATGTTGTAAACAATTAATTGACTTACTGTGCCCCATAGAAGTATTCTTTTTAAACTAAATTTACATGTACATGTACATGTTTTTGTCTTGCAGTTCATCCAAACTGATACACCCACAATTCAATTTCGTAGAGGTGAATTGGATGACTTGCCAGAGGTAAACTGCACTCCACCGGAGCCCCTTTCACCTACTTTGGAGTTCATTGCGAGTGATAATGGGATTCAGTTTCCAGAAGAACTTTTGGATTTCAACTCTGAATTGCCAGAGTCCACCCCATCTACTAATACGCGACCAGATATCGTTTGGATCATTGACAGCGATACCACGTCTGATTTGAACCACCCCCCACCAGAGCCAACTACTTCACAAGCAGACAGCGTGGAGTTGCCAAGATCACCAAGTCCACCAACAGAGATCACTACAGACCACCATGTCCTGAGTGTTCATCGCTCCCTAGTTCAACAGGAAATGATCAGCATTTTCATGAACCCAGATATTTTAAACTCAAAAATAAAGTATCGTTTCATAGACGAAATGGGGGCAGATGCTCAAGGAGTCTCACGGGAGGTATATTCTGCTTTCTGGCAGGATTTTTTTCAGGCATCGTCTCTAGGTGAAGATGAAAGAGTTCCTGCTCTTTTCCCTGATTACGGAAGAGACGAATGGGAGGCCATTGGCAGAATCCTTTTCAAGGGCTACAATGACACAGGCATTTATCCGCTGCAACTGGCATACGCCTTTTCATGTGCAGTTATATATGGAGAGGGAGAAGTCTCCGCAGACATGTTGGTAAATTCTCTCCGAATGTATCTGTCGGAGACTGATCGGCGCGTGGTCGACAAGGCTCTCCATGGCCAACCACTTGATTCAGATGACCAAGACGATTTTCTCGACCTTTTAGGGAGAGTTAACTGCCATTCACTCCCATCTAAGGATGAAATTCGTCCCATGGTCATAAGTATTGCTCATAAAGAGCTAATTCAGGAACCAAAATATGCCTTGGATGCTATTGCCTCTGTTGCAGGACCTGGACTACAGATCAGAATTCCAAATCCAGCAGCTCTACAAGAGATGTACAGCAGCAAAATGCCAACTCCACGAAAGGTAGTCAAACTCTTAGATTCTTCTCCAGTGAACCCAGAGCAAGCATCAGCATTGGCATACCTAAAGCAGTTCATCAAAAGTTTGGATGACAGATTGCTCAGAAAATTCCTTAGGCATGTCACAGGATCTGAGTTCATCTGCACCAAGTCCATAGATGTAACCTTCAATCGAATGAGAGGTATTGACCGGGCACCACAAGCCCACACATGTGGTCCACTTCTGGAACTCCCGTGCACATATGGATCGTATCCAGAATTCCGCAGTGAATTCATGCACATACTAGATGCCAACTACATGAACATGGACATCGCTTAAACCTCCGGTAAAATGAGTGTTTATACAGTAAACTTGTACTCAGGATGTGCAACAAAATTTGTTAACTAAATTCCAGGGGTGTAGGTCTCAACTTTGCTGACCTGGATAGGCAACTGAAAGGGCAGATCCAGGGGGGGGGGGGCCCAATTTTTTTTTTTTTAAATGGAGCAAACATTTTTTTTTTGGAGAGGACAACTGGGTACTTTATAATTCCCTTTCCTCCCCAAAGTGCATAAAATGCCAACAACATTATCCTCACAATTCAAAAATACCATGAACATTATATAAGAAAATCTTTATTTTTTTGGCCTCCCAAAAAATTCAGTTCTGGATCCGCCCTTGGGCAACTGCATTCCACTTGTTGAAATACATGTATTGCAGGATCACATAACTTGTAGTATTTAAAGAAAAATGTGCAGTAAATGTACATGTACACTGATGTACGTGTACAGGTACATTTGTACCTTTTTTGGGGGGGGGGGTGTGTAAGGTTTTCTTCTTTTGGAGGGGGAAGTTGGTTTTGATTTTGTTTTGTGGGGGGGGGGGGGGGGAGTTGGGTTTGAGGGTTTTTTTTGGGGGGGAGGAGTTGGGTTTGATGTTGTTGTTTTTTGGGGGGGGGGTTGGGTTTGAGGGTTTTTTTTGGGGGGGGGGAGTTTGGTTTGAGTTTTTTGGGGGGGGGAGTTGGGTTTGAGGGGTTTTTTTTTGGGGGGGGAGTTGGGTTTGAGGGTTTTTTTGGGGGGGGGGGGAGTTGTGTTTGAGAGGGTTTTTTTTGGGGGGGGGAGTTGGGTTTGAGGGTTTTTTTGGGGGGGGGGGGTTGGATTTGAGGTTTTCTTCAGAATGCATGCATAGTTAACACATTTCTTGACCACTTATAAATATTGGTATTTTAGAAGTTCGACTTTTAACAGTTATATTTTACCCAAAAAATAAATTGTAGGGTAAACTGGGGTAAAAAATGCCTCCTTGACTTTTCCCACTGCTTGTAAAAATTAACAAGATGTACAAGGCATGTAAAAATTAATAATGAAAACATTTCATTCATTGCCATATCTTAAAGGCAGGGTGTCCTTTTGGTAATTACTCCACAAGTTAATGACCATAACAACTTACATGTACTTGGTAAAGAGCATGATATTGTATTGTTAGAAACAACCCCTTTGAATTAATGTAATTTTAGAGAAAATGGTAATTTTTAACAAAAAAAATCGACTCTGATAAAGGCTTTAGGCGTGAAGACTTTATCAGGCGTCGGAAAGAACAATTGTATGCAACAAGGGTTTTTTTTTTCTTTCATTAATTTCTTGCAACTTCCATGACCAAGTGAGACAAAATTTTCACAGGTTTGTTATTTTATGCATATGTTGGGATACACCAATTGAGGAGGCAGGTCTTTGACAATTACCAAAAGTATACCCTTCCTTTAAGAGTACGTAGGTGCTGTTTAGCACATATATCACTTCAAATTATCTTAGTTGAACAAGGGTTTTATTTTCTCTTTTAAGGGTTAATTATGCAATAATAGGTCCAAGTTATTGAAATTTGAACATTTATCTTAATATGTGCTTAGTACTGTTTTTTTGACAGGGCATTTTTACCCGGTCAAAATAAAGGGCCTTTGGATAACTTTCTACAAATCTATTCTTTGATTGGGGTTACTGAAATGTACCCACATATTGTATAAAATCAAACTGACATTTTAAGTGGGAATGGTTTGGAGGGGGAGGGGATGGTCAAAGTTTACCAAAATTCCCTCATGTTAGATTATCTTTAGGGTTTTGAGGACCCATTGCACACAAATATCATTAAGTGTGAAACCAATTTTGACACTAGATCAAAAAAGAAATTTGTAGCAATCATCGTAGAAAAAAAATGGGGGGCGGATGTTTTTAACCCAATGCTCCGGTAAAAGGCCTGCCAAACTTCCTCCCCAAAAGGGTTGAACATTTCCCCTTATGGGTATAGTCACCATAATTTCAGATTTGCACACTATAATGGAAATATGTTGTGCATAAAACAACACATTTGTTTCCTACTATCTCTAAGCAGATAGTGAAAATTTTGCCCCAGTTTACCCTATTGTATACACTTGCCATTAATAATAGAAAGCAGATTTGTGTTAACACAGTTTATTACACTTAATTCCATTTTTGCAATGTCATTGTTGCTTCATCATTAGGTTTATTTAAAAGGCATGGAATAGCATTGGCAGTTTTCAAAAAAAAAGGGGTAGGGAGAAGACTTTGAGTAAGTGTGTGCGCACAGTCCAAGACCAATGTTTGTGCCAGCCTTTAAATAGCTATATTGTATGAACCAACACGTATGTTAACTATTTTTACCTCATGTTTTAACCTGCAAAAGGCTGAGGATTTTTAAACTGTTAAAGGTATGGTCATCAATTGATTTTTGTAAGTGCAATGCTGATTTTTGGACCAGAAAATCAAAAAAAGACAATAAATGGTCTTCCTGTGAAAGTTTCAGTCGAACACAGCATGTTCAGAAAACAGCAAAAAATATGACGGTGTTCTCAAAGGAAGGTAGATTCACATTCACAACCAGCTGGAAGCGTGGGTATTAACACGGACACATGGTAATTTCCAAAAGTTTTCGGCAGAAGATATTTGGAGATTTCAATTATCAACATACTTTCATTTTGTTCTAATCAACAGGGTCTTTAGTATAACTTCGCTGGATGATTCCTTGAATTGCTATCTTTAAAATAAGTGGGCTTTCAAATAAATAAAAGGGGGAAAAAAACATTTCTTTTATGGGGTCACAACCAAAGTATGACCATATCTTTATGTGCTGTTTATTATTAAAGTTCTATTTTGGTATCTTAAAATTAAAGTTTTAACACTTACATATTTTTACTGCATATCATGCACTCCTGTTTAATGTTATTGTTTAATAAAAAGGTTATGATAATCTAATTTGAATTGTACCTCTTGAAATTCTGGTTTAGTTACCGCGCTTGTGCTGTATTATATCCCCATCGACTGATTTTTAAATTAAGGTTTTACAAAAAAACTGTCACTGTCATTGTCACATTTGTGTACATTTTGACACCAGTGTGGCTTAGAAAAAAAACCATTGGTATTACATTTCAACACCATTTTGGCTATCGGAATGGTGTTTAAATTCAATTGGTTTTAACTTATACCGCTTGGCGTTGTCACATATTGATACCAGTGAAGAATACATTTTACAAAATCTGTATTACATTAACAACAATACACAGTGTTAAAAATACACACAGTTTGGTGTTGGCAAGTTAATTCCAAGAATTGGTTATATTTAACACCAAGGGTGTCGTCATATATAGATAACGGGAAAAAATCAAGATTAACACCGTTTGTGTCATATTTAACACTCCAGGTTTGGCAGTGTGGAATGTACATACAGAATGTAGTATTTGGTTTGGTGCTTGATCGAAATGAAAGAAACAAATATGGGATAAGATAAAACAAAAAAATATGGTTCTCATTAGGATTGAAACCCAGGAATTTTTGCAAGGGCCGTCACAGCCTGCACTATGAAAGTAGAGAAGGAACAAATCTGGTGGTAGTCCCCCTAGTCAGTGTTTTAAGTGTGACAGAACTGATTGAGTGCCCCCCCCCCCAAGAAAAACAGGCCCCCAAGTGCCCCCTGCAAATTATACCCCAATTATGAAACTGGTCTTGGTTTTGAATCCCGATGATGAACAGGTGCTTTTCTCTCCCATGTTTAGTTCGATAGTGATTTGGCACCACAATATTTCTGGCCTTTCCTGCAAAGTAGGGTCCTGAAAGGGTCCTGTTATTACACAAGTGTTAAAACCTTTAGCCAAACCACGAGTACTTTAAAGTAAACAGCAATGTCAATTTGCAAAAGCTTTAGGCTTTAAATTAAATACCAATTACAAACTCACAAAAAGTCACCGAAAACCAATGATTTAATTTCACGTTTATAAGACCGCTTTTCTTTATTTGCGAGTCTGTAAGGCTCATGCATAAAGAAAGCCCAAACAAACACGGCTTAAGCCATTAGTAGATATACTTAATTGTTCAAAACATCTTTCGGGTAAACTTTTTAAAAAAATTGCATGCTTCTTACTCCATAGGCCTATCTTGGGGATGGTCTTGCTTAGAATTTCATTCGAAAGCTAGTTGTAGTCGCCAAGCACTGATCTAGAGATGAGTTTTGAACTTTCAAATAATGTAGAGGTATGTCGCACTAAATCAGATTTCATCTTTGCAAATTATGAGGCGCACATTAGAAAACTACATGTATATTGCTTTTATTTGTATGCATTTACAATTATTTTGAGGATGGGAAGTAGGATGACAAGTGCTCCTCTGTGAAGATGAATTGGACCAAGAGTGTAACATTTATCATAATCAATTGGTCAGAAAAATCTGTGATGCCCTTCTCAATGTTCGATACAAATCTAGTGCCTCATCAGTACTGGTTGGGTAGTCCAAATCGTTTTCATTCATGATACATGAACACATTTCAAACACATCTGCATCACATGGTAAAGGCTGTCGAAATGTGCACTCCTGCTTGCAGAGTTCCACGTCTGCATCTGAAACTTGGCAGATGTAGTCATGGGTGCCATATAAACCAGGCAGTGAGTATAGTATCAAAGGACGTCCACTGGGGCTTCTTGAATTGTGCACCTGTCGAATCCGATGACTGTTCCACGTCTCCAAAATAGCATCCAGATCCCTCTACATCAAAAATGGATGAGAAACAACTTTACAGTTATTTTAGTGGCTCAAACATTGCAACATTGCATACAACTTAACTTGGAGTGACCATTTTTTTAGTGTACATGTAAAAGTTTGCCTAATTGTTTTGCGACAGTTCCACTGTAATTGCCTTCAATAAAATTGTCTTCAGTGCTGGTCAACACTTTATTCAGCTATACCTTATGTACTCACCGGAGATTCAAATATACCATGCTCAGGCTGCCATTTAAAAAATACAAAAAGGATCAAGCATGTCTGAAATAGAGAATTTCCCTTCAATTAATATGAGAGAACAACCTCACAACAAATTATTCATTTTAATTTGATATTCAACTGAGCAGTAAGAACTCTATATGTTCAAACTTCTTTGAAGTGCGGTGCCAAATAGTGTCGAACATATTTCCCCATTGTACATGTATACAGGCACTGACCTGTATAGTAGTTTTAAATTTGGGCGTAGCTTGAAATTTGATTGCGGAATGTTCTTGATCATGTGCTTATATAATTGAACGATGCTCTCAAAGTGCATTAAATTTCCCACAAGAACGCTTGTATTTAAAACAAATTTGGGTGGTTACTTGTTTACATTGACCCCCAAAAAACCCATAATACACCAACAAGGTGCATCAATTTACAGCAAAAACAGTCCTGCCCCTTCCTTTTGCCCCCCCCCCCCTCCCGCCCCTCTGAGAAAGCCAAGCTATGCCACTGCCTAAGGGAATGCACTGATAGGACATACAGAAGTAAATGTCGCCTGCTCACCTGCACGAGGTGCATGAAGCAATACTGCAACAGACCAACATCCAAGAATCCCCCGTCAAAATCACCCGCAGCTTCAATGTCCCGGAAGAGACAAATCCAGAAGTCAGTGCACTCCCTGCGCAGGAAGTTCCACATATACTCTATTCGTTGGTTAGCTGTACTGGGACCTTCCAGATAGCTCTTTTCACCTGCCCTGTTGTCATTGTCATTGCGCCGAAGATACCTTTGGAACAGACGCACAAATACATTCTCAGTTCCAAGGTCACCTCGTATCACCAAAGGACATCCACCCAGTGATGAGATGGCTTCCATGAAGTAACTGCCAACTACTCTTGGATTGCTACTTGTGATGTAACAATTCAGCCAGACAATATACCTGGAGAACCCATCAACACATCCATTTATGCAAAATCCGAAGCGTTTTAGTTTGTCATATGAATCAAAATGCCATAAAAAGTTTGGACCTTTGGAAATGTACGATCGTCTTAGGAGGCGCCGCCCTTTTCTTTGCTGTGTTCCCGCTGGATCAAGCATGCGAAGAATGATGCGGACTTCTTCCTGTGTACTTTTTAGTCCGCTGACTTTACACTTCTGTGCCATCCAGCGATAGCCATGTTGCTTGCCTGACTCATTTAACTGGTGCTCAACGAAGCGAATGACATCATTGATGTCACTGTAATCCTTTCGCCGTGACAGTCCCATACCCTTCAAAATACGCTTTAAGTGTCTTTCACTTATTACCGTTTGATGATACTGTGCCAATGCGCGTAGGATATCTGAATATATTAATCCCATTTCAAAGTAAACCTTGATCATGACATTTCTCTCAGTTGCATCCATTCCATTGGAGGCCACAGCATTCAGAAAGATACCAAACCATATGAGTCTGCTCTGAAATAGACAAGAGACAACAAGGTGGTCGTTATTAGGAAAAGGAAAGATTTTACTTTAATACCCCCACTATATTTTCCTTATTACAGCTTATCAACCACCAAAAAGTAAAATTCTGAAGAGAAATCATGATTTTAGCGTGGAAAGATTAAAAAAAATTCTTAGGAAAAACTTAGATTTTTTTAGATGAGGTCCATTGGGTTTGTGCATAAAAGTAAAATCTTTCCCTTTGAAACTGGTGTAATTTGAAGTTACTAAGAGATAAATTTGTACATACAGTGCCTACTGGCTCATGAAGAATTCAACCTCTGATCCTGAACTTTTTTGGCACTAGAGGGCGCTATATCAAACAACAGAGTTTTTAAGCTTTACATGCATACAGCACAAACGATATACAATGTAAATGTAATAATAATTATGCGATACACTTTTAGTACAAAAAATGCAACTAATAATAATCATATGAGTCAGTACAAAATAAACATGTTGCCGCTACACAGTTTATGCAATGATTTCATTTCCACCCTCACAATAAAATATATAATTAGTCACGAAGACTGAGCAGTGAAAAGCTATTATCATTCCAGGATATTATAAGACATCGACAACCCCTACCTTTTAGAAGGGTAGAAGCTCAATAGAGACACCGATTTAAATGATTCCCTAAATCTATGATGGGCAAAAACTAAAACCATCTGTTTAGCAGGACCATGAAATTAGGCCTGGCTTGGATAACCACACTTTGTTGAATAGTCTTACTCTTACCTATATGTTTCCGAATCTGGAGACGTACAGTAACTACGGGCGCGCCTGCAGCGTCGTCAACGAAAAGTTTTTTTCGTTCGAACGCAGATTTTTTTCGTTCGAACGCAGATTTTCTTCGTTCGAACGCAGATTTTCTTCGTTCGAACGCAGATTTTCTTCGTTCGAACGCAGATTTTCTTCGTTCGAACGCAGATTTTCTTCGTTCGAACGCAGATTTTCTTCGTTCGAACGCAGATTTTCTTCGTTCGAACGCAGATTTTCTTCGTTCGAACGCAGATTTTTTTCGTTCGAACGCAGATTTTTTTCGTTCGAACGCAGATTTTTTTCGTTCGAACGCAGATTTTTTTCGTTCGAACGCAGATTTTCTTCGTTCGAACGCAGATTTTCTTCGTTCGAACGCAGATTTTCTTCGTTCGAACGCAGATTTTCTTCGTTCGAACGCAGATTTTCTTCGTTCGAACGCAGATTTTTTTCGTTCGAACGCAGATTTTTTTCGTTCGAACGCAGATTTTTTTTCGTTCGAACGCAGATTTTTTTCGTTCGAACGCAGATTTTTTTCGTTCGAACGCAGATTTTTTTCGTTCGAACGCAGATTTTTTTCGTTCGAACGCAGATTTTTTTCGTTCGAACGCAGATTTTTTTCGTTCGAACGCAGATTTTTTTCATTCTTACGATGATTTTTTAATTTTTTTTTTTCACCTATGTCCCTTTAAAAGCTCCGTACATGTCTCCCCTGAAGTTCAGTAAAACCAAATTCATACTTTTTTTCCATTAAAAAAAAACAGATCATGAATTTTTTTTTTACAAACACACCTGCATATAGTTATAAAATATAGTGGACTTGAATTTTCCACACCACTGGGCTTGTGATATTTTATGACGTAAAATAAACCAATCAGAGTTTAAGGGAAACCACTTTTGCCTGCCAGGGTGTATCTGCTACTGAGTTTTGAGAAATTTAAAACCCTGGGCACAAGGTTTAAAGGGAAAATACAACATTTGCAAACATCAACAAATAAAACTACCAAATCAGTTTGAAATACCTTGCTGGACTGCTAGTGAATGACAGTGTAAAGCATCCTGTAAAATCATGGCACCTGGTATATACTGTCATTTTCAAGAAAAGTGGTATTTTTGTGTCAATTTCCAACGCCGATCGGCCGATCAGCATTGGAAAAAACTGGCTTTTTTTTCAAATACTGGCCCCGATTGACCATCGCACTTGTTTGCAATCGATTACACACCTATGAACGGGTACGAGCCAGCTAGACTGGTTCCCTGACCTTACAATTCCCCAACGTATGTAAACTGCTCTGTTTCTTCTTATATGGAGTCAGGGAACCAGACTACAGGAAAATGATTGTTTTTCTTGGTTTTTATAGCATTTTTGAACCCAAAACCTCAAAAAAAAGCAGTGTAACTAGATTTGCTATATATTTCCAACCCCCCAATTCCATCCATTTCTGAAAATTACAGCAAAAGCAAATGATGTATATTCCCTTTAGTAGTACACAGAGAAATGAGAATGCTACCATACTGTTTAAAGGCCTACGACACGAATCAACCTTATACCTTTTTCCATTCGATTGTTGGGCGGGGGGAGCCCATGGCGCTGCAGGTGAGATTGGCGGGCTCTCCCGTGATGAAGATCTCTACAGAGGATGGCGTGGTCACGAATGCCGTCGGAACTGCAGGGAAAATGCAACGGGAGGAATGTCAATGCATGCAAGATAAATGAACCCAAATAGAATCTGGTTTCAGGCAGGCAAACTTTAATGTGATCATTTTCAATAGAAATAGATCGCCATCCTTTGACCTAATTGCTCCTAAACAGTTTCAAATGTCTAAAAGTTTCATGTACTTTGGAATATGATTCAGAATGTGTGGATTAATTGCCGGTCTGAAACAGGCGTTGACTTTTTTAAAAGAGTGATATGTACACTTCTAGTGATCCTCTACTCTTGTAATTGTGCATCTGGAAGCCAGACTGAGAGAGCGATGGTAAGTTTCATGTACTTTGGAATATGATTCAGAATGTGTGGATTAATTGCCGGTCTGAAACAGGCGTTGACTTTTTTAAAAGAGTGATATGTACACTTCTAGTGATCCTCTACTCTTGTAATTGTGCATCTGGAAGCCAGACTGAGAGAGCGATGGAACCTGTCAATGCTTTTTAATTGGCACAATATGTAAGGGAGCAGACTAATGACCGGCCTGGCAGCACATGCACGATGTCGATGTCGCTATGGTGCGACGTTACAGTTTTCTCTCATTTCTGTCTTGACTATCCAAATTTCCCAAAGAATGTTCGTGTCGATCTAGATCGTAAGTGGGTGCAGAATTCTCAAGCCTTATAGCATCTCAAGCTCCACTCTGAAGGATATTTTTGAGAGTTTTAAGGGGATCTAAGCGTCATCTGCAACATCAGCCGACATTTGAAAAAAATAAAAGTAGGAGGAGAAAAAAAAACCTGCGTTGCCGCACCACTTTTCGGGCAAGCTCCATACTAGAAACAGGATACTTTTTTTTTTGGCCTTACGGTACATTTACCGTTACTTATGAACAGACTTGTGAACCGCCTTGTGATTTACTTGTGATAGGCTCGTGATTGACTCGACAATGACACAATAAAGGGTTCGCGTCCACTTACTCACAACCACGACTGATATCGGTGAGCTGACGGCTGAGCCGACGGTGTTGGTGGCTCGACACTGGTAGCTACCCTTGTCAGTGGAGTCCACAGCTGTGTGTGCAGGAGGAAAAATTCAAAGGTCATCAATCGGAGACTCTTCCGAAGAGGTAGAGCTTATGAGGGGAGGGGTAGGGGAGGATTAGGGCTTGCAGGCGACCCTTGACACCAGGTTCTAGCAATTTGTACCAAGGTTGCATTACATTAGATTAGATTTCTTTATTGTCATGCTCAAAATTACATGAAACTTCATTTCCCAGTCATGGGCGTCGCCAGGATTTTTTCTAGAGGGGGGCAAAAAATTGTTTGGCCAAAAAATGCTTGTATTTCTCAACACACTCTCAATTTATCAGTTTTAGAGGGGGGCAGGGACATTTTGCCCCCCCCCCCCCACTCATTAAATTTACACCACTTCATCTTCGCGCCTCTTTTTCTTTTTTCTTTTTTTTTCTTTTCTTTTTCTTCCTTTTTTTTTTTTTTTTTGCTTTTCCAGGGGGGGGGGGGGGCAAGTGCCCCCCCTTGCCCCCCCTCGCGACGCCCATGTTCCCAGTGTACAATTAAAAATATGTATACATCCAATAATTAAAAAAATACACAAAACATGACAAGACCAAAATATATCCTAACATGTACTTTTTTAGATATACAAAAACACAGTTACTACTATACAATCATAAAAAGTCTAGGAGCAGTAAAGTAGGATTTCGGGCTGTGGGCATGGTGGGGTGATTAGGGAAGGAAATGAGGACAAATAGGACGGGACAGGATAGAAACAGCTGGGTCTGGCAATGTGCAAAATGTATAGGGCAGGGTATGATTGAGGGTAGAGGGGGGTGAGAAGGGAAAATGGGAGGAGAGCATGGAAAGAGAGGGTAGGATAAGGGAAACATTGGAACAGGGTAGGATGGTGTAGGAGGGGCAGGGCTGAGTAGAGTTGGGTATGGAATAACAGAGTTATAAAACACAGCTAAAAGCAACTTTTCTAGGACATTTGAATGTCCAAGTATACTCTCTATACTTAAAGAGTAAAAAGTCACTCCATTCAAGTTACAATTTACTCCCACCGACTGAAACTAGGGACCAGACATTTTATCATGAAATTCATTCAATTCAATAGATCAAGCTTAGTTGTCACTCGAGTTTTTCAAAGTATTTCAGTCCAAAATTCGAGTGATATTCACTCTAAATTGTTTGGTCCCAATTTTCACTCTTTGGAAATCAGAGAACACAGTGAAGCTGAACAACGTGTCCAAATTTGCCTTTGATAGACGGGCTGCCCAGACTTGCTCTAGCCCCCTCTGGTGAGCTGACAAGTACATGTACATGATTATTTTGTTGATTGATTAACCTTTTCCGCTTTCATTACCATTTCAATTAGTACAGAAAAATGGAAGTTTCAATAATAACCCATTCACCTTTACAGAATGTTAATTTCGCTTGACGTTATTTTCACAATCATGTCTGTCTCCAATTTCTTCCCACTTTCTTCTGAAAGCTATTTGTGTGTTTGCTGTTGTTGTTGTTGTTGTTTTAGTAAGCTGTTACTGATTCTGAGAGGAAAACTTTATGTGTATTCAGTCTTTTCTTACAATCATTATTTTTTATTTTATTACATGTTTAATTATTTTAACTGGGAAGCCCATTCAGTGGAATCCACTGGTCTCCCATGGGGCCCAGTGAAGAGAAGACAATGTGAAGAAATTACAGTTTTAGATGTGGGAGGAATACCCCAGAGAATAGAACGTACCATTCAAGTTAGGATTGACAGGCTTTCGAGTCACAGTGTTTCATTTTACTTTTGTCAATCCTGGCCAGCTTGGATTAGATTGTTTTTGTTCAAGTTTTGCCTACTTTTGTGGATTACTTGTTGTATCTTGTATTTTGGCCGAATAAATAATAATAATAATAACATTCTGAGGAAAATCCACAGAATCAAGTAGGGACTGAAAACTTGACTCCCCAATATTACTTGCCTAAACTGAAGAAACAAATGTAACCACACAACTATCGATTAATTATCCATTAATTAAAACATCGTTTTTTTTTCAATATTCATGCTTGTTGTACCTGTGATGGTCAGGTTTTTGCCGCTGAAGATGAATTTCTGGGTGGAGCCCAGCATGATGCCGTCCTTCATCCAGGAGACGCGTGCCTCGGGGCTGCTGTCGTAGGGGCAGGTAAGGACCAAGGACTGGGTAACGTTGACTTGCAACTGGCTGACGGACGGGGTGTCAAAGACGGGCCCGTCTGGAAACAAAAGGGTTGTGGGTTATTGGTACAGTATACGAGTAGAGATGTAACATTATGATGTAACTTGACTCTGACATTTTTATAATGTTTGAAACGTACACAAACCACAAAATATCCCATGTAGCGGAAAAGTCTCAGCGTGTTTGAATCGTTTAAAGGGAAAATACAACATTTGCAAACATCAAAAAATAAAACTACCAAATCATTTTGAAATACCTCGCTGGACTGTTAGTGAATGACAGTGTAAAGCATCCTGTAAAATCATGGCACCTGGTATACTGTCATTTTCAAGAAAAGTGGTATTTTTGTATCAATTTCCAACGCCGGTCGGCCGACCAGCGTTGGAAAAAAACTGGCTTTTTTTCGAATAATGGCCCCAATTGACCATCGCACTTGTTTGCAATCGAATACACACCTATGAACGGGTACAAGCCAGCTAGACTGGTTCCCTGACCTTACAATTCCCCAATGTATGTAAACTGCTCTGTTTCTTCTTATATGGAGTCAGGGAACCAGACTACAGGAAAATGATTGTTTTTCTTGGTTTTTATAGCATTTTCGAACCCAAAACTTCAAAAAAATCGGAGTAACTATATTTGCTATATATTTCCAACCCCCCTATTCCATCCATTTCTGAAAATTACAGCAAAAGCAAATGATGTATATATATATTCCCTTTTACCAACATGAATCTACCCAAATCCTCCGCTTTCAACTTCAAAGGTGCTTCAAACTTTCAAAGGTTATTATTAAAAGTAACAGCAGCTGGGCTCTTTACTTTTTACATATTAATCCTTCAAATTCATTCGACACTCACATAACACCTGCACGTAAAAGGTGCAGTTGCCGGTTTTGGCGGCCGCGTCGGTGGCCATGGCGGTGAACACCCCGCCGTCAGTTTTCTGCACCCTGTCGATGGTAAGGAGGCCCCCATCCGTGGCTATCGTGAAGTGGGCGGAGGTGTAAATCTGTGGTGGGCGGGAGGAATTAGTCAACGGATGAGTAAGGATTCGAGAAGCTGCTCTGTGTACATCAGTGTCGTATGTGATCCAAACATTATGGTCTTTGACTCATGTCTGATGGTGCATGGGATCGAACACCTGGGGCCAATTTCATAGAGCTGCTTAAGCACAAAATTTGCTTAAGCACAAAAACGTCTTGCTTAATAAAATCAGGTTACCGGCCAAAACTCCATGCGATTGTTATGCTAAGTAACAGCTAAATACCAGTCACAAGCAATGTACATCACATGGAGTTTTGGCCGGTAACCGAATTTTACTAAGCAATGTTTTTTCGTGCTTAGGCAAATTTTCTGCTTTAGCAGCTCTATGAAATTGGGCCCTGATGGGAATATTATGCTGTTTGTGTCCTTGGGCAAGGCAATTTACTGCAATTGCCTCCTTCAACCCAGGTGTATTTTGCAAGTTAAGCAAGTTACTGAGTCTATAAGCTTTAGCTGTGATTTTATTTCAAGTTCCAGCTCAGAAATTGGGTATTAAATACCATGTTCTTTTCAAGAAAAGTGTGATCTCATACATGTATCAGTCACTTCGTAAATTTAGGGTCCAAGGTGTGAAATTTTTCCTGGCCCTGACCTCTGAACTCCGTAATTTGCTTCAAAGTTTAATTGAGGGCGACTACAAACGATTTTTCATTTGTTGATGGGTATGTACATGTATACATGTAGTTTGTTATAAATCTTTCTTGGAGGACGACTGCATTAATTAGTAGTGATGTCCACAATTATGCCGATCATACAGTGTTGTAGTCGAGACCATCACAAGTTCCCACAAGTCCCGGCAAGCTAGGTCATCCAGGGATGTGAGTGACCACTGATAAAAAATAGCTGAAAACAGCTGAAAAAGGTGTAAAAAAAACTGAACTTTGGAAACCTCCCATACTTTTGTACACAGCAAGTGAGGTAAAAAAGCTGAAATCCAAAACAAAAAAAGCTGAAATCAGCTTTAAAGCTGAGATTTCACACCCCTGGTCATCACAAGTCAATCACAAATCCTTCAGGCTCAAGTCAGAGATCACTAGCTATTCAAATGAACTGTTTGAATAGCATTCATGCATTGTTCATCAAGTTACTTGTGACTGGAATTATGAAAGCACTTGTGAAAGGACTTGTGATGGACTAAACTACAACACGGCAATCATACTACATGTATGTCAGATGTATAGGGACAGGGCAAAAGTGCATCCCCAATTTTACACAATGACCCATATTTTTCATATAATAAAACCTTTATTATATCAAAGGAAAATATCAAGTATGATTTTTGTTTTTACTGAACTACAGCAGACACTGTAAATGTAAGGTAGAAAAAACACGACCACAACTCATGGTCAGTGTTGGTCAATGGCCCCCACATGGAAGGTCCTCCACATCCGGTTTCCAACTACTCTCCCTCATGAGTCATGAAAACAGACGGATAATTCATTGGGGGCCATTTCCATGAAATGAGTTTGTATTATTTTAAAGCTATAGTCCATCATTTGCAGCCATCCGAAAAGTAACTGGCGTAATTATTGTTGAAAAACAAACTTGGTTGAAAGATAGTAAGGGAACTAAACTCCCTGTGAAATTATTCTTTCTGGGAAGCTGTCATTTTGAAGTAATCAACGAAAGAAGGCATTTCCAACGGTGATTCTTAAGAAGCACCGTAGGAAAATTTAAATTAGTAGTTCGTTTTGTTATTCAGCGCAGCGCGCACAAGTATTGGAACGACGCACAAGCGCGCGCGGTTGTTGTAATTCGTTGGATCAGTGCGCGACGTCGCGTATAGCTGCAATTCAAAACAATTCAAAACATGATTCAGTAACTTTTGATTTGAAATTGAGAATGTACAGCTGAAGCTTAGCTGAAACTTCATCAGGTTAGTTGCTCAGTATCCTTCATTGGATTTTGAACACTTTTGTTGCTTCAAACGAACAAAATGCACTAATTACAAAAGATGGACTATAGCTTTAATGTGCCATGAAATGAGCTTATACATGTACTGTTAAGGTAAGTGAAATCATATTCATTCTGAATCAAGACTTAGCAGCACTGACTTCAAAAATTTATCTTTTGTCTCCTCAGTGTTCGTGTGGTTCATAATAAAACACAACCGTGTATCAATGTTTCCCAACAAGTTTTACTAGTGCAAAAACAAATGGCTGTTCTTAAGAGTGTGTCTTCAAACATCACTTTAAAGATTTCTGTGAAAGGTATCAGGTAGTACCTCTGTGTAAGGACAGGATATATTAGTCACCATTGCTGTATTACTCACTTCCATGGAACTTTAGTGCAACGTACATGTACATGTCTACTGCTCTATTCACATACATTTCTGTGAACTCTCAAAATTATAATTTTCAAAATGCGGGAGTTGTTTTTTAAATAATGGCATCCAAACCAATTAAAACATAGAGGGTAAAACAATAGGCTAATCACTATTAGGCCTATAATATCAATGCTGGCTTTTGTGTCGGTGGGAGGGGTATGAACAGTGCCCGGCCATCGAAGTATCACACAGTCGAAAATCCATTGTCAAAAAATGCATCTTTGTTATCAAAAGCCCCCCTTCCCCCAAAAAAGTCTTGTTTGGTCTCTCTATTTGTGTACGAGGTTTTAATAGTAAAATGTGTTTCCAGCCCTCATTTGGACACCCTGTAGGCTATTTTGAATAGTCCATGCAGTTTGGTAGGCAAATCTTTTTCTTTTTCAATTTTTAGGCAGATTCAAATCAAAAATGTTGAATAGTTCACATGTTCACTGTAGTCTTGTCCCTGTATACAGGGCTAGTCCAAAAAAAAAAGGAAACCCAAATGTCAGGACCATTTTTAAGGTGAAGTTTTGCATGCAGCACTTTCAAAATCTAGGATATGAAAGCCCAATTAATAAGCTTTCTTTTAGTACAAGAAGCAGTCAAATAACATTCAAATAACTCATAACTTGTTTAGTACAAGAAGCATTCAAATAACTCACATACTTTTCAAGTTACGGAATTTTGAACACAGACAGCGTTTTACATTTCTGTCCACGGAAAAAAGGTGTGGTTTTTTAGCAAAAGAAAACAATTCACATACATTCTTATATGTGAATTGTATTTGTTTTGCTGAAAGAACACTAACCTTTTTTGTTGGTGATCTGTGGACAGAACTTTAAAACAGTAGTTGCATGTGCTTAAAATTCTGTAACTTGAAAAGCACATATGAGTGATTTGAATTATTCCTGTACTAAAAGAAAGTTTATTTGGGCTTTTATATCCTAGATTTTGAAAGTGCTGCATGCAGAACTTCATTTAAAAAATGTCCTGACATTTTGATTTCCTTTTTTTTTTTGACATTCAAATACTAATCGCTACGGCTTGCAAACTTACACACCCATTTATAGAAGCAGCTGATAAGCCCCTTCCCATAGACATGTGTGTTACTGCAAAGCCATAAGCCATTTCATTCAGACGGGACCTCAATTGTCCAATCGCCGTTTGCAAGTTAGCCACGCCCCTTAGACAACCCTATGGTAGCAGACCAGTAAATAAACTTCCATAGACCCCAATGGTAAATGCTCCCACTTCAAAAATTCGGGAAAAATACTCCCAACTCTCCAAGGTGTTCAAGACACACATCAAATTAAAGCTTATTTCATCATCTTTCATTTTCTTTTAAATTTTCGGGGGGTCAACTGATGACTTTTAGGAGAAATTTCAATCTGAAGATGATCACCCCTGAAAATAGTCCTGAAGCCCATCGCCATTTTGAAAAACGATGCCTGCACTCCATTGCAAAATAGTGCGCTTTTAGGGTCCAAATTACATCAAAATTACACAGAACTGCAAGCTCCCAGTCCTGTGCACGGCTTCCACCCATATTTTTTACAATCCCTCAAGTTCATGGCCCACAGCATGCTCAAATACCGAAGATTTTGAGGGCATGCAAATCGTGATTTGGCCGGCGCAGGCAATTTCGGACCGATTTACTGGTCTGTACCCCTATGGAATTTTGCACGTTAAGTTTTGTTTGTCTCAGATTTGGCGCGTTTCGCGTCCATTTGTTTAAATAATTGGACAATATTTCACAAGCAGCGTTGATGCGATTCTACGGCGATAGGTTAATATACCTGTGTCTCCTGTCCAGTCGTTGGCCGGTGGAACCAGCTGAACGTGACTGGTCTGACCACGCCCCAGCGTTGTAACGGGCATCTCAGCTGGACGTAGGTCGTGTCCACCTGTACAGGGATCTGCTGCTGTGGGTCAAAGGTGATACCTGTAAAATAATGACATATGGAATAAAAAAAAATTGAGAATATATTTACAATTGAGTCTGCTTAATTCTAAATTATATTGGAAGAGAGGGCAGGTATGTGAAAAATAATCAAACTATAATTTTTGCCAAAACAAGTTGGCCACATATTTCTGCAATGACTTTTTGCAATTGCAATGTAACGGTCAGGATTACATCAATTAAATGACACAAGTTTTGTACAGTCGATGATTCTTGGTGGTTTTTTTTTCAATTTCTGTTGAAAAAAAAATCCATTCAATTAACATTTCATCATTCAACTGCAAACTATCTAGAGCATGTTGCTGGGAAATGGACAAAAACAGACCTTTCTGTCCCTCAGGATTACGTACATTCATTATGAGACACACTGTTTGTATATCTTATGATTTTCTGGTTCAGTTTCTTTCTTTTTTCTGTTGAACAAAGTCTGATCGATTCACATTTTATCATTCGAGTGCCAAATAGTGCATGTTGATGGAAAACAAACGTTTAGTCAATTTTTTTTAGAGGATGTTACTAATTCAAAGATAAATTAAATCTCTATTTCAAATGTTACTGTCCAGTGTAGCCTTGACCAAGGCTATCAGCTTGTTCCCATATGAGCTTGTTCCCGCTACCGCACACCGCGCGCGCAGCGACACAATGTTGTACTATACCGTTAGCCCCAACGACCCTTGCGTGTGCTTTGTGTGCATGTACATGTTGTACTTACATGTACGCCCCACACACACTTCCGCAAACAGCCGTACAGTAAGTCGAGGCGGAAGATAGCCTTGACGCAACCGTGTATGCCGAATATGATAATTAGTACGCGCTATGGTAAATAGTCTTCTCTTATTGGATAACGGCTGACAAAAAAATGAATATTTATTGCATTACATAATACGACCAAAGGTTTATAAACCAGACGGCCTGTGGTAACAATAATTATTGTAAACACCCCCTTAAAATCTTAAATAATAGTAGAATAATATTTATAAAGTTACACATAGTTTGGGTCGAAAATGAAATGAAAAAGGATGAAAAATTAGACCTTCCAAAAACGGCAAACGGTACAAAACCGCACGCCGGCAAAAACGATGTCACCATGCACAGAGGCCACGTTGGGGCCGTCCACTGTAGGCACCGGCCCGGCTGGCGCCATGCAGTAAGACACGCTGCGCTTTCACGTTCAGCGGCAAAAAAAGTGCTCACACTATTGAGTATATCTACCGCTGACTTTTTTTTGGGGGGGGGGGGTATTTCTTCTAAGCTGTCAAGGGGATATGGGAAAAAAATATCTCTCCTTCAGCAAACTTATTCTGTAAGACTGATTTTAACTTGTATGAACAACTTATAAGTTATATGTCGTATGTACGACTAATATATCGACAGGGTACGACATATTTCGACAGGGTACGACTAATATCATCGACAGGGTACGACATATATGTCGACAGAGTATGACATATCAAACATGTGACATAATGTCGACAGGTGCCGGTACAACATATATGTCGTGCATAAGTCGAGTCGACAGGGTACGATATAATTTTGTCGCATACGACAAAGTCGTATATAAGTACGACTTAATATCTCGTGTGTACAAAATATGAATTGTAACTCGTATGTTTGACTTGTTTGTCGATTATGTCGTACATGCAACATATCTTGTGAGAACGACTTGTATCTTGTGCGATTTACATCTACGACTTACATGTCGTACGTATGTCGTAGGTACGACATATACGATTCATACGTACGCGTTAAAATACATGTGTCGTACGTATGAGATGTAATTTGCACATGGTACGTATTCAGGGAGAGTTTTGTTTTCACCATGTACCTGACAGTTTCGTATATTTCCATCCCAAAGTCAATAGCTCGTTTCTTGCAGTTAATTCATACGGGTGCTTATAGATACGAGTTAACCTGCATTCGATTAAATGGGTATGATTTGACCTGGGTCCGAGTTGACCTGTTCCCTACATTCGCTGTCAGAATAGCACGGGCAGGTAGCGGCGTGATAATGTACGCTGTTGCACCGACAAAACGTCGGCGGACTGTCTTGAACTGTCCAATTCGCAATACATTGGAAATAGTATCATTTTGAACAAATTGTTCACTCATATAGCGGCATGTTTCATTTGTTTGTAATAAAACTGGAGAAATGGTTTAAAATGGGATTGAAATACCTGGACATACCATGGTTTGAGTGAACATACATGTACATGTACGTGGTGTATACAGTAATTTGTGGGTCATGAATATGTATGTCGCAGGTCAAAGTTTACGGGCTTTGATTGGATATCGTGTAATATATGCGCATCAGAAATTTTCGGCCGATTTCGGTCGAAACTATAAAGAAACACATAAGGAATTCGCCACGGTTGCGTCAAGGCTATCTTGCGCTTCGACTTATTGTACGGCTGTTTGCGGAAGTGTGTGTGGGGCGTACGTACAGTACATGCACACAAAGCACACGCAAGGGTCGTTGAGGCTAACGGTATAGTACAACTAGTGATTGTGTCGCGGCGCGCGTGGTGTGCGGTAGCGGGAACAAGCTCGTATGAGAACAAGCTGATAGCCTTGGTCAAGGCTATGTCCAGTGGCGCACCCAAGAGGGGGGGCCTCGGGGGGCTTGAGCCCCCCCCCCCCCCTCCCCCAAGAGGTTGTCAATTTATTTATTTCCTTTTTTTTTGGTATTTTTTTTTTTTAGTCTCACGATTTGGCCTTGGTGATCTGAATGTGGCCTGTTTTCGAGTAGTATAATAGGGGTGTAACTGGCGCCAACGTCAAAATAGGCCGCCCCTAAAAAAACCCAATTTTTTTTCTGCGGCCAAAAAGTTTGGGCAACATTTTTTTTTTTTTATTTCAACTTTTAACAAATTTGTAAAAAAAAAATTCTTGAGCCCCCCAAACCAAATCCTGGGTTCTACTGTAACTCTCCTCAGAGGAAACTGTTCATTATCAAAAAAAATAATAATACATGTATGTGAAGGTTTCTGGCAAAATGAAACGGAGCACTGGCTGTAGCGAAGGAAAATGCAAAAAAAAAAAAAAAAAAAAAAAAGGAGGTAAATTTTTTCTCAATATTCCGATTTATTGATATTTGTCATCTTTAATGTCCACTGCACAATTATTTTTTTTTTAAAATAGTATACAAATCGTGGAATAAAATTATTTCTAAAGCCCGGTTCATACTTCACGCGAAAGCAAGTGCGAAGCGAAATCCATGTCGTCAACAATGGTGGACGCGCTTTGAACGTATTGTTGACGTTACGAATTTCGCTTCGCTTTCGCTTTCGCGTGAAGTATGAACCGGGATTAAGGACAAAAATAATTGGCATCTTTCACTTTCACAACTAAAAAACTTGAAACTTCAAAGGCCCTTTCCTCAGTATTCCACTTTACTGGCATGTCGATAAATGCAAACTTTAATCAGCCTAACTTGTCAATGGAATGTCTGATTGAAGTGCAATAAACAGTTATGTAAAGGAGAAATCATTCTCCTTCTTAATACCTACAAACCTTCATTTCGAACTTTGTCCAGTTCTGTCTCAATTTGCCAGAATGAGAATGCCTCACATACATAAGTGATACATGTAGAATAACTTCCATTGAAATTTATTGAAAATAAGAAAACAAATGAGCTGCACAGGATATGAAACCCAAATTGTTTTGCATGTACATATTTTTTTAATTTCTACGTTTCTTTTGTTGTGAGTGGGAAAAAAAGTGTGAGTAAACAATATTGCTCTGGCCATGTGTTGCAAGAAGTCTTGCATGATTAGCATGAAAGTCTTGCATGAAATCGATCAAAATGATCCCTGCTAGAGCTTGAAAAATGCAACACCACTGGCAGGTATGAAACACCATTTGTTTGGTGAATATTTTGAACCAACACACAGACCATCCGACCAACTGATCAACTGATCACCAAGTGACGTGTAGAAGCTCCTGCCAGAGCTTAAAAATGCCACACCAAAAAAATGCGCCGCAAATGGCACGTATATGGAATGGTAGGCCTACCACACTTTTGGTCAATTTTTAATTAGAACCGGCAGACAGACCATCCGACTGACCGACCACCAAGTGACAAAGCTCCTGCCAGAGCTGAAAAACATGTTATTCTGGCCCTAATGACACACCCCCATTCCTCCCACTCTACCTCCCTCTACAACGATTACGATTCATGCCAAGGGTTAAAAGCAATTACTTCCCCCCCCCCCCCCAACTATCAGAAACCGGAACCTCTCGATAAAATCATTCTGAGAAGTCAGAGGAAATGCATAATAATCTGTTGCCAGGCAGTCACTTCCTGCAGCAGCTAACTAGTATTTAAGTTCTTAGACGTGTGTGTGTTCCTACAGAGTTCAACATCGTGTTACTATTTTTGTAAATGTATGTCATTAGGTTGTACATTTAAGTAAGTAAAGACTTCCCTTACAAAAATTGAGGAAATCCAAATAGGATAAGATTCTAAATCAGAGTTTGTTCAAGACGCATTTTCTGTGATTTTTAGTGAGATTTATTGTGAAAAAAATAGATTTCTTGTTTAAATTGTTATTTTTTCCACTAGTAATACCAAGGTTATTCACTTTGAATGAGACTGAGTGAGAGATCAAGTTTTGAATCATACATAAATACCTAAGACAGTTTACCCTGGCATGAGAGCCCGTCACATGGGGGGTTTATACAGTTGATAAAACACCGACTGGTTTTAAACAATCGTAAAGTTTGGTTCATTGTTTTATATTGTAAGATGCCATTTTTTGGGCCATTTTTTGGTGACGATAACTTTTTGGTCAAGCGTGGTTCATTGTTCCCATCCTTTTACGTTAAAGCCCTTGACCTGTTGACAGTGATGTCATGTCTCAATAATGGTCAGTCATTGCAAAAATGTTGAAAAGACACAAATCTGGGACTGCAAAACTTTTCTATTTGTTAAAAAATACTTAGAAAATGTTCTCGACTCTCCAGAGACTGATAGACTTTGTACACAACCGCTGAAGTGGCGTCAGGTTGCAACAGACATGCCAGAAACTGTTGTAAGTTAACACGGTTACGGGTTAGTTAGTAATTCCTAAAAATTGGAAATGTTTCTCAGGCCAGATTCGTGTCTTTTCAACCTTTTTTTCCCCAATGACTGACCTCCAATATTGACATGATACATGAAGAAAAAAGTGGCGTCAGTTTGCAACATTCTTTCCCACAATGTTTTCAACTATTAATGGTGAAACCACTACGCTGCATGCATGCTACGCAGTCAGATGAACTGAGCCTGAACTAAAACTAAGTTCTTGCAAATCTCACGGAAATCTCACACAGTCATGACAGTGACAGGCTATAGTGACACTGAGACAAACTGTAGTCAGGCCAGTGTAACTGAACTTTCGCTAACAAAACAATGGCAACATGTTTTTTTTAACTCGGCAACTTACATTCAACTGTTATAATTCCACAGCATATCGACAACACGGCAACCTTCACAAGCGACCATACACTCTCCTTCTTCATGGTTGCGAATAAGGGTATTTCCAAACAACAGAAATGTAGGCAAAATGATAAAACCAAAGTCACTAAAAAAAACCCAACCCCATCTAGCTTCTGAAGTCACTATGCTATACACGAGTACAGTGCGCTCGCGCGAACGTGTACCGTGAAGCGCGATGACGTCATCCTCTCAGCGACTTCTCTGATGACGTATTTCCGAGTGAGTCATCCCATTGGCTAAAAGTAATGGTACGTCAGACCATACTCAGCGGAATTTATTTTTAAACCACTATCGGCAGGTGGCGCTGTTTTGGTTTTTCATCCTAGCTCTTTAGCAACTTTTTTTTAATTTGCGTTAAAAATTGAAATAAAAAAATGCGGACACTACTTTGGAATTCACTTCAATGCGTCTGCTGCTATTCACTACATGATTAATAGGTGGCCATCATATTTTGGATAAAATGTTCAAGTGTTATTTTTTTTGCATGAATAATTATGGGGTCATTAATCTCATAAAATAATTTGCAACAAATAGATCCAAGTATTTTCCAACACATGATTTATTATTGGTTTCTGATATCATGAATGTTTAAGTAAAATTAGTCTGACATTGTTTTACCTGAACTCCAGTCAAACTTTATACAATGATATGCTGGTAAAATCATTTGCATTTTTGAATATTTAAGGACACTTTTGCTTTCTTTTTTTAACTTCAACAAAACAAAACGCACTGGTAAAAGACAGTGGTCTACGTCTGGAAGTGACATTACAATCAATATTTTAACAAATATAAATGTTGAAAGCTATATTCGAAAACTCTGAGTTTACCCCATAGGGTAACATTTTTTTAAGCAGACGGTATTACTTTTTATGCTATGGAACCAATACACAAGTGGAAAAATATACACAGCTGGAAATGACTTTTCTGGGGCACCACATGAGGCAAAAAAAAATGTATACTTCTGCTTCTGGTTACCCTACCTACCCTGCTTTGACAGCCCCTACCCTAATTTTTTGGGGGGGGAAAATGAGGGAAAAAACCCGAAAACCATCAATTACTACCTTTTACCCTTGACTACACGCAGACACCTCCATATGACCGTACACAAAAAAAAATGCCAAAAAAAAAATCCCTACCTACCTACCCTATTTTCAAATGCCATGTAATCGGAAGCAGAATTATTTTTTTTTTTGGCCTAAGCACAAATGAAATTACCAAATTTGGCAGGTGTTTCTGTTCCAAAGAAGAAAAGACTATAAAGCTTGGTAAAAATGGAGGAATATGACCCATGTAAAAGAATGTTTTGCTTTTGCCTTTACCATATTAAATCCAAAGAACTTTTTAATCGGCAAATATAAACAATCAATCGTTTGTGTAAATTCCATGCTAAATGTAGTGCTGTGCTCATCTGGAACTGTTTTCCATGGCCTGACACAGTCAAGGGCGGATCCAGAACACCATTTTGGGGGGGGCCAAAAAAATTTTTGGGCCCCCGAAAAAGTGAGTCCAAAAATTACGGCGTGGGGTTTGGGGCCCGCTTAAGGGCCCCGAAATTTTTTTGGATTTTAGATGCTCTGTGGTGCGATCTGAGGCAATTTCTGACCACTTTAACCAATGTTTTTTGAGGAAAAGATGGTGGTGTACTCATTGCCTGCCTTTATTGCGACGTCACATAAAAAAAAATAAAAAAAATTGGTTTCGTTTTGGGGGGGGGGGGGGGGGGGGGGCCATGGCCCCCTTTGGCCCCCCCCTGGATCCGCCCTTGGACACAGTCGAACTGAGCAAACATGAAACAGCTGTAGTATGTTATGTTATTCAGTCCATCTGCCTAGGCATGAAACAGCAGTGGACTGGCCAAGGTCCATTACACCAGCTGTCTACAGCGCCACAAAGACATTGTACTCCGTGTATCACATGTCAATGAATACATAATTACAATTGTAATTCAAACCAACAAAGTAATGATACGCCATATGTTTAGTGAATTTGGATACTGCGATGACACCACAATGTAGGGTACAAACAGCACACATATCGTATTAATTTTACTGCAAGCATGCAACTGCGAATTTAGAAAAAACGAGGAAATTCCAAACCACAAAAGCTGTTGTACAGTATTTTTCAATTTGTAATGGCATTCATGAGAAGCAAAAATACGAGGAACTTTAGCGGATCCAAGGAAAAGTTGCATGCCTGTTATTGAGGAATTTTTTTCCTATTTTAGTAGTTTTACTTCAATCTATATTATGAAAGATAGTACAAAACTTTAATTTTTGCATCATATCATGTAAAATTACATCAATCATTTTGATTTCCCAATTTCTGGTGGGAATAAAATGACAAACTATGTTGCGTCGCAAATGTAGGATCAAAACCCCCCAGAAAACTAGGAGATGGGCAGTTAAAAAGAAGCAGGCAGGGACGATCAAGAACTGGTCTATTTTTGTTTTACTTGACCTTACAGTACAAAGTAGCTTTCTGCTGTGTTGATGTGCTGATTTTCTTCTATTTCAATCCAAACCATTTCAAATCCTTCCAAATCCCACATGCAGACCTTGTATCATGATGCGTATCATATCGTGACCTCAATATTACGATACACATCATGTAAAAAAAAAAAAAAACGGTACAGTTACGCCCCTACAGACGAAGTTTAGGGATTAGCATGGAGGCAGGACGGAAGAGGCGGCCGTCTCCATGAACGTCGCAAGCTTGACGTCTTTGTCCGACAGCCCGCTGACGTCGTGCGTGCTCAGCGTCACGTCCACCTTGTTGTACACGTTGAACCACTCCGGATGGTGGTCCATCTTCTCTGCTTGGAGGGCCACGCGGCTCATGAACCCAAAGGCCTTGCAATGAAGAAATAGAGAGACGAAAAGACATTAGTCACTGAACACAACTTAACTTGGACACATGGCACAAGATACACACGTATACATGTACACCGAACTGGCGAAAACCTTTCCCTTCTTGGGTTCCTGTCAAATTCCCGGAGTTTACCCTGATTGTAACGCAGGTGCACATTGTCAAACTGTAGTAGATTTACCTTTGACCTTGGTTTCATAATTTATTCATTAAGTCTGAAGACGTCACCTAGCGATGCACTGTTTATCAGAGTGCGCGCCCAAAATGTATATACTTTCTAGGTCACTTTAAGTGTGTCATGCAATCTGTACGTGTTTACGTGTGCGGGTTTAGGCACACGGTGCGGTGTTAACTACAACGGCTCGTATTTAGCTTCGCCAGACATTATTGTTTTTGTGAAGACATTTTGTCGATGTCAACATGACTTAATGTACATGAAGTTACCGATTTGTAGCTGCAGTTCTGCCGCTGGATAGCCGGTTATCTCGGCAGAGTCATTAAACGGGAAGTCAACACCCCAATTGGTGACAGGCAAATTTGTGTCGCGTGTCATGTTATATTTGGGTGCGTCGATGACCACAGAGAAAGGCTATTCCGCCAGCAGTCGCGCAGAAACTGCAACACTGATTTTTGGTGTTTTTCCCAATTTTTCCCGACTGGAAAAATGGAGACTCATTTTCAAAGTTTTGCCTGATCTCCAGAGTGACTTGGAACCCCTTTCGATGTGTTTCTGGATCCATTGGTATTACTGACCTGATTGAAGTTCTTAAACATGAAGACTTTCTGGATGGCGTCTCGGCCTTCCACTTCCTTCCATCCTTGGGCCTGGAGAGGAGCGAGCTTCCCCGTCCGATCGTCAGCGCTCAGCTTCATCTGCTTAGCTTCTGTTGCCTGCAGAGCGAGAGAGGGGGCAAAAGAAACAGTCAGGCACTGTTTAAATTTTACGAAGTGTTCATATTACCGTGAACTGGTCTCGTTCTTAAACTGGGACATCGTACAACGCCCTCATGTCCACGTATACAAGTAGGCCTACACTAACCCCATAAACGTGGCCAATTTACTGGACTACCTCCGTAAATACGGCCACACTGTCACCATCTTGAGTGATGAGGAGGGCATTGTTTTTTTTGCGATTTTCACATTCAGACTTTGCTGCTAGTTTATTTACGTTTTGTAAAAAAACTCACCTTCTTAAATACCAGCAAGGGAAACAAATAGGCAGTTCCTCAGACGTCTACTTTTCGTGTAATTTCCAGAGGAACTTTTGAGGCTCACTTCTTGTACACATTTGAGTGCAACTCAATTCCAACATGGCGACGCTTACAAACAAAGCGTGCTGATAGCGTGACCAGCAGGTCAACATGTTAGCTGTCAGTCACGCGGTGTCACGCGACGGCTGTTGCTTGACTTTAGTAATCCTCTGTGTATAGATTGCATGAGGGCGCATAACATGTCACTGATGGAGACAGTGTGGCTGTTTTTACGGAGGTAGTCCAGTAAATTGGCCGCATTTGTGGGGCTATGCCTACACCATATACATGTTATATATTAAATTGCCATTCAAACCCGAGTGATTGTGTAGCCAAATGGATAACGCGCTTAATTCGGAATCACAACGTCGAGGTTCGATCCCTCCATCATTGCACTCATTTTGAATTTTTTTGTCAATCTCCCGAAACAAAAAGTTAGAATTGTCTTGAAACACTATGTTTTAGACTGGTTGGAGTCTGGATGCTGATAATTATTCGAGCCGAAGGCAAGGTGATTGTCAACAACCACATTGTTGGCCCGGCAGGACCACACATCACAGTTCCTCCACCTTTCAACAAGACATGCTACCAATATTGAATGCACCCAAGATCAGCCTGAGAATGGAACATGCTCCCACCAAACATCCGTGCAGCGGACATCAACTTCCAAAATTTAGTTTCCAAGGCAGACTTCAAAATTTAGCTTGCTACACTCAGGCATGCAACTGGGAATTTAGAGAAAAAAAACGAGGACATTCCGAACCATTCCAATGCCATTTGTAATGGCATTCATGAGAAGAAAGAAACAAGGAAATCAGCAGATCCGAGGAAAAGTTGCACGCCTGTACCACTTCCACACTGACCTGTGCGTGACAACCGCCAAATGGAGGTGATTGCACAGTATGGAGCAGAAGCAGAATCAAAAGCAGAAACGTCTGGACAGGTCCGGGGAAAAAAAATCACAACTTTTTTGTTATGAGCTATAAAAAGCTGATTCAAAAATCAAGTCATTGTTTATTGAATGGGGATTCCTATGAAATTTAAACGTCTTGATAGGTTTGGACAATTTAGAATTGTAAAACAAATTTAAAAGTAAAAATGTAAAAAAAATCTTACAGAATTCAAACTCCAAATTTGGCCATTTAAATTGTTGTATACTCCAAAAGGAAGATGAAGCTGATTTAAATGTCATTACAATTACGTTTACGTCGGTGACTCAGCAGAATCCATCAGTCTGGATGTAATGATTTGCTGTGTGATTAGGTAGAGGACCAGCGCTAAATCTAGTGATGTTGCTAGATTGTACAACAGCCGCATGATCAAACAACGATCACATCGTTCTTCAGTACGATGACGTCATTCTATTTTCACGAAAGCTGCTTCGATAATCCGTATAATCGCGTGCAGATATATTTCAGGTGTTTTTACGCGATTGTGGAACGTGGCGTTGTTATTGACACCACATTTACTAGTCTAGAAGGAATGTTGTTATTGGATGTTGGGTAGTACACGTGGTGTAAATCAGGCAAATCATTGTCATTTTATTGAAGATTTAGGCCCATGAAGGGATCGAGGTCAGTCGAGAGCTATGATCTCAAAATAACTAAATTGTTCAAGCGACGAAAATAAATAATGATGTTATTGTCGCTTGTTCAAGCGACATGATTCTCTTTTAAGTGTGTTTCAGAAAAAATGTTGCAACCTAACCCCACTTCAGCAGTTGTGTACAGAATCTACGGAGAGTCAAGAAAATTTTGTATTTCCTTACTAAATTGGAAAGTTTCTCAGTCCCAGATTCATGTCTTTTCATCAGCGTTACAATGACTGACCTTCGTTGAGATGATGGAAAAAGTTCCATACTCAATCGCCACTTTTTTCAATTAATTTTCTAGCACCAAAAGTTACATCTTTTATGGTTATTCCTCCACTTTCCCTCCTCTACTCTCACCCTCTCCTTTCCTTAATTTCTATTTATTAATCAGTCAGTTACTTCATCGAGATTCGAACCTCCGGGACGCTTGCTTGATACACGAGACTCTTAACCGCTAGGCCGCGCATGATCGCTGTTGCAATAATCAATCTTTGGACGTATTTGAAGTATCCATTGAAATAAACTAAATATTCATGAGAAAATAAATATTCATAATGACGTATTGCATTATCATTGGCCGGCTCATGCGACGTCATGGTTATCCATGTCATGCGTATAACGTACCGCTGTTCCAGACACTTCAATCAGTTTTGACCGGCTGCTTCAACTTGGTTCTGCACGACGTGTGCATCCAAAAATGTGCTCTAAAAACAGATTTTGGGTCAACTCGTACCCGAGTCAACTCGTACCCGAGTCAACTCGTACCCGAGTCAACTCGTACTCGAGACAACTCGTACCCGAGTCAACTCGTACCCGAGTTAACTCGTACCCAGGTTAACTCGTACCCGAGTCAACTCGTACCCGGGTCAACTCGCACCCAGGTCAACTCGTACTCCCCTCCTTTTCTAGTTTGGAAGTACGGATGGATGGTTAACAAAACTTCCGATTTTACCCTCAAAAACGGCGACTGAGAAATAGTAGTTACGCCGCCAGAAGTACAAATAAAGTTCAAGGATTAGTTGAAGGCGGTGGTATCAAATGTTGATCACAATCTGGATGAAAAGGGAAAATGTACCGTTCATCGGCAAGGGCTTCATCGCGAACGGACGGGTACCGCGCGGAGAACATTTTCAAAACGGCATCAGTGTGGTACCACTCGCGAGTCGACGGAGCCCTCGCTGATAAATGGTAAATTTCACTTTTCATCAAGATTATCAGATGTGTTATTTTAAAATGTGTGTAGTATTAGTAATGATGTTTTTTCTTTCTTTTTTTCAGAGACCCTGGATCACTGAGATTGCGGAGTGACTGTGCGAACTGCTACGTCTTTTTTTTTGTTCGGTCGAACGTGTTTTAAGGGCATAGTTTTCTTTTTACGAATTTAGTATTTAAGACCTTTTTTTAAAAGAAAGCTGCTATTAAAGGGAATATACATCATTTGCTTTTGCTGTAATTTTCAGAAATGGATGGAATTGGGGGGTTGGAAATATAAAGCAAATATAGTTACACTGACTTTTTGGAGGTTTTGGGTTCGAAAATGCTATAAAAACCAAGAAAAACGATCATTTTCCTGTAGTCTGGTTCCCTGACTCCATATAAGAAGAAACAGAGCAGTTTACATACATTGGGGAATTGTAAGGTCAGGGAACCAGTCTAGCTGGCTCGTACCCGTTCATAGGTTTGTAATCGATTGCAAACAAGTACAATGGTCAATTGGGGCCAGTATTTGAAAAAAAGCCAGTTGTTTCCAACGCTGATCGGCCGATCAGCGTTGGAAACTGATACAAAAATACCACTTTTCTTGAAAATGACAGTATACCAGGTGCCATAATTTTACAGGATGCTTTAGACTGTCATTTACCAACATCCTATTAAGGTATTTCGCAAAAACTTGGTAGTTTTATTTTTCGATGTTTGCAAATGTTGTATATTCCCTTTAAAAAATGAATTTTGTAATGTAAAAGTAATATTTTTCAACGTTCACTCACTCCATTTTTGGCATCATTTATTGAATAAAAACTGCACATGGCACAAATCCCTTTGGGAAGATTGGGGGCCCTGAAAGTACAAATCTGAAGAGAAAATATATTACAGGAAACTTAAAAGAGTCACACGGACATCGTTATTTAATTTATAATGATTCTTTAACCCTAACCGCCCTGAATCCTCCAAAATCCTTTTTGCAAATTGGAGGAATTTGCAGGATTGAGGTTACATGGCAAAAGTGCGTTACTGATTTCGGAGTATGCACTGTGTCAAGGTCTTGGGCCGGACCTTGTGTTGTTTATGCTCAGCCGTGCATAAATTTAGTCCTTGATTATACTTGAAATCCTCCGCACTGCTCCAAGATGTCACTGCCTCTGCCTCAACCTATTTACAGTCATAGCCGGAGGATTTTGCAGGATTCAGGCAGTGGTCACCCCTCCATGGACCATATTCAAGAAATAACGGAGGAATTTGCAGGATTGAGGCTATATGCTATTTTTCCATGAGGCCAATTGGAGGATTTTGCAGGATTGAGGCTACATCCTAGCAAAAAGGCCTAGGGAGTTAGGGTTAGTATGTTGGTCATTTTTTGTACAATTAGTTCGGTAAATGTCGTAAAAAAAATCTTGTGCAGCTTAAATAAAGTTTCTGCGATAAGTTCAACTAGAATATTATTTTGGTAACAGAAATGTAGGATTTTTAATTATTTGTTTACATTTGAGGCATCAAGGAAGTAAACACGATAAAGGAAAATGGTGGCTCGTTTCATTCAGAGATGCTCTTTCTATAAGTTTTAGGGGACCAATTTGTTAGTTGATCCTTGGGTGTGAAAGATTGTTTGACATTAGCAAATTGTAATTCAAGTGCAAGAGAAAGTTTTATTATCTTAAACAAAACTGAGCTAATCGGGTTTCGTCCTCGAAACTTGACATCCGATTCGATTCATCATGAACTGTGTGACAGACCATCCGATCGATCGGTTTGAGCAGCATAAAAGCATGCATACTTTGGCCGATGAGTGCGCGCACAGAGGCCCGGCAAAAACGATGTCACCGTGCACGGTACGACCACGTTGGCCGATGAGTGCGCGCACAGGCCCGGCAAAAACGATGTCACCGTGCACGGACGACCACGTGGACCGGCGAGTGCGCGCACGGGCTCGGCAAAAACGATGTCACTGTGCACGGTACGACCACGTTGACCAGCGAGTGTGCGCACAGGCTCGGCACAAACGATGTCACCGTGCACGGACAACCGGCCATATCCCTCCGATCTTCCATTCGTTTCACTGATTTTCTTTTCGAAAATAGGCAACTATTTTGAGCTGCGGGTACGAGTTGACTCGGGTACGAGTCAACTCGGGTACGACTTGACTCGGGTACGAGTTGACTGGGGTACGACTTGACTTGGGTACGACCTAACTCTTACGACTTGACTTGGGTGTCAATTTTGGGGTACGAGTTGACTCGGGTACGAGTTAACTCGGGTACGAGTTGACCCATTTCCTAAAAACAAATGTTTCCTAATTTTTTTTCACCTTAACACAGCTTCCTGGATTCCTCAAAATCACAAGGTGTGGTGACAATTAATATGTTTGGCAGCAGATAAATTGACGATCGAGTATGGAACGTTTCCCTTTTTTCCAATTATTGAACTACGTGTATTTGGTAACATTAAACGGGTATAGACGTGTATTTAAAGTGGTATTGCCTATTGGTCATGTTGGTTCAGTTCAGTTTTCAGGTTTAAAAATAAAATTGCATTACTTAGGCCTAATTTTTGACAGAAAATTGTCCCCCAAAGCCCCTCAACTTCAAAAAATAATGGCTGACAGAACTCCCCTGTGGGAATTCTCATTGTTCTTACATACACGTACAGCAGATAGTGGTAAAATATGTAATTTTCCAAACAGATTTCATTCTCACCATTGTTTTCAAGAACCGCCGAACAAGTGAAAGTCGCATGTTTACGAGATTGTAGTCAGACACTCTGCCAAATCGTGACAGTTCCACCATACAAAACCGTGTGCGGGACAAAGGATACCATACTTTGAGTCGTCTGCAACGTAAGCGTACTATGCCGCCCTCAAGCGGAGAAATCCATACATGTATTTTTTAAAAATATTTTTGCAGACTCAGCAAACTTCATATCTCAATTCTTCTTTTTCTCAGCGTGTCACGTGCACATTTTTTGGGGTGTAAAACCGAATAAGCACCAGAGACTATTTCTGAAGAAATTCATGTTTGAACAAAAACATTGTTCAAAACAAAATCAGCTCAAATTCGCTTAATTATTAGGAATCAATGTTCCCCCCACCCCTCCCGGCCCCCACCCCTCCCGGCCCCCGGGCTGCGGTCCTGCTCGTGACAAGACATGAATGTAATAATGACGCAATGAAACCTCGAAAATAAAACAGAACCCGGGCCAAGGACCCTACCCCCCCCCTCCCAGCTCTGTCAAAAAAAATCAAAGAAATTCCTTAAAAATAATGCAACCCCCTCCGCCTGCTGACACCCAGAACATTATACTGGTAATAATGTGTGCCGCGAGGCTTTGCACAAAATACGGACAGATCTAGCCAGCTTGGTTAGGGGTTATTTGTACATTATTCCGTAATATAGTGTTAATAATCGTCTGATTTGAACAGCGCCCCCATTGAAAGTATGGTACAAGCCCCCCCCCCCCCGGCCCCTACTGATTTTCGTACGAGCCCCCTCCCCCCCCTCCCCTCCCCTATTGATTTTCGGGGAGGCCAAGTGTCCGGAGAAAAAAAGTGTTCATCCCCCCCGCGAAAATTCCTGGATCCGCCCCTGCCATCCTCGGTGCAGTTCTACATCCCAGCCATCCACTCCCATCGCCACCCCCCCCCCCTAAAAAGGAGGAAGGTTTTAATGATAATGGATAGATGAAAACTAATAGGACTGCTTAATACTGGCTGGATTGATTGGGGAGTCAGGTTGGCGTAGCGTGGTACTTTCCTCGCCTTCCACCGCTGTGACCCGGGTTCGATTCCTGCCTGGGCTAATAATGTGGATTGGGTTTTCAGTCCCTACCTGATTCTGTGGGTTTTCCCCAGAATATCTTCTGGGCTTTTCCTCCCACCTCTAAAACTGTCAATTCTTCTCATTGTCTTCTCTCTCTAAGTTTGTGTGATGTTTTCCCCGGGATACTTTGCCGACTATAATGATACATATACAGATTGATCTTAAATATACAAATCTAATAAAAATTAATGCGGCCTGACGTTGCGAACTTAACAAGTTCGGCTTCAGAGTTACAATAAAATGTTTGTTTCTTGCACCTCCCTCATTCTGTCTCTGATGAAGAACTTGTCCAGTTCGCAATGTCAGGCGGCATTATTTTTTAAGATAATGGGTAGCTGACAAATTCAAGATTTGTTAAATTTTGAATGTTCTTAAAAAAAAAATGTACGTAGAAGTAGGCCTAGGCCTACTCCCATTGTAAATGTTAGCGTCACAACACCTTTTTGAGATAAAAAAATAATACAATCTCGAGCATAACTATTTTTCTATTATGAAAAAAAGTAAGACTGCTGCAAACTGCTTACTGACTGGATGGACCTGAAATATATAAATCTAAAAATTAATGTGGCCTGACGTTGCGAACTTAGCAAGTTCTTCTTCAGAGGCTAAAACAGAAAAGAATCTGTTTTAGCCTCTGAAGAAGAACTTGCTAAGTTCGCAACGTCAGGCCACATTAATTTTTAGATTTATTTTTCTATTACATTTTTTATTTCTAAAAGGACGTGGAAAATTACATTTCAATTTTTTTTCTTCTCAATTTTACAATAACCTCATGTATTGATAATAATTCCAGTTTCTTCATCATTATGTCTCTTTTCTGTAAGGAAATACCCATCGCTGCTACCATTATATCGGCATTATCTTATTACGAGCGCGATAACCAATGACAATGTAATCGTTACTAGGCTAAAAATAGCATTGTCTTAATGGCCCCCTCAGGTGAAACGTCGCTATTTTCCGCCGAAGGCAAACATGATTTTTGCTCCCTCCGGCTCCGAGAGCTAATTTACCGTCCGTCAACGGCCACTTTCTCCTCCCTAATTAGCTAACGGCGGAGGGGTCTCCATGGCAACACGTTACCATGGCAACCGATCAACAGCGAGAGGCTGGGCCCTCGTATTTATAGTCAAGTGCTACAAAATATTAACATCCACAGTGTTTACAATTACAGAGGCGCACTGGGCTATAGTCAGTGTGTTATAGCATGCATTATCACAGGGTACGGGCCCATCCTTTCATTAGCCCGTCATCATATATTGGCGTGGTTTGATTGGCTGAAATTATCAGAGCGATTTTTCATCTCGCAGTTCGCGTTTGACATCTTCACGCGCTATTATATCACGCCGTCATATATCTTCCCGTTCATATCTGGCACTGTTTTTTGCCCTAGACGACGGAGGACAGATTACTACTGTGCATGCGTATCTGGATACCAGTCTGATGATGAGCTACAGCGAGTTATTTCTGTGTAGGCATATGTTGATGATTCTGTGAGTCAATGGGAGGTTTACAATAACGAGGGAGGCCGGGCTCAGACCTTCGCACACTTAAGCCCTTGGTTTTCATCATCATACGCAGTAGCTGATCCACTTAGCAGTACATCCTTTTTTCCGAAGACGAGACAGCACCGCACCGTCCAGACAACACCGGCTATTTTTCTGCGCTCCGAGCATCATGCGCGATGCTCGCAGCATCAGCGAGCGGGGATTATTATATACACGTCCGCAGGTCTGCTATCGCTACGGCAACTGGACTGGCGATATTCCTTGCGATTTGAGCGCCGGTTCTCGCGGCATACTGATCAGAGACTGGATTTCTGCGTAAGGGTCGAGCAACGGATTGTCTTTGGCGGTAAGTGGTGTGATTTTCTTGCTCTTTCTTACCGTTATCGCAGGTTATTTTGAATTGAGGGCGTATGGCGTACAATTAGCAATATGGCTTGCGTCCACATTTTTGGCAAGATCCACGCATAAACCTCTGTACGTTGTACATAACATTGAGAACATCGTCATCAATCTGATTTCAACGTGAACCGAGAGGCATTTTGATGTATAATGCAGAGGATTTGCCTGTGAAGGAATGATAGCTGAACAGTCCACTTCATGTAATTTTAATGCCCCCTCGATATAACAACAACACGTTAAACGTTGCAATTACATTTTCATTAGATTTTGTTTTAAATATTAAGGTAAACACGACGTTCATGGTCAGAGTAGGCATGATTTATTTATCTTCGTATAGGTTAATGTTTTTTTAATGTAAAATTTACCAGTTGTTGAAGCTTCTGTTTTTGTTTTTACCTATCTGAACATGCGTGTACTTGCACATGTTCCAAAACGTGCATAACAATTTTGGCGCTGCGGCCTGCGGCAATGGGTTATCAGATGATGTGTATTTTTCAGGCATCGAAGCTATGTTTTTGCAGTATCCTAAAAACCCGCCAACCGAAGTTTGAAGAAAATCGGGCATTAAAATATTCGAAATGCTACCGATGTTGCAATTATTGACTGATACTGTAGACTGATAATGCAACAACAATTGACTGATGGTGTAGCACATTCTATTACATTATCGGTCTTTTTTGTAACAGTATTGGTTAGTGATACAGTATCGGTCAATAATTGTAACATTATCGGTTGGTGATACGTTATCCGTTGGTTAATGTAACACAGCCTAACTTATAAAAAAACTTAAACTGCTGTTTCTCCAGCCCCAGCCCCTTAAAACAAATCTGTTTGCAATCTTTGTCAACTCATTTGAACACTTACCTTTTTGTGATCCGTGGACGAATTTTAAAACGGTGTTTGTGTTCAAAATTCCGTAACTTGAAAAGTACATGAGTGATTTGAATGATAAAAGAAAGCTTATTAATTGGGCTTCCATATCCTAGATTTTTAAAGTTCTGCAGGCAAAAATTCATTCAAAAATTGGTCCTGCCTTTTTCGGTTTCGATTTTTTTTACTCACCCTGCATGTATTGCTCGCTTCACCTATATAATACGTACAGACCATTTGCATGGCAGCCATTTTGAGGTGCGTTGCTTGTTGTGCATTCGTTGTCATTGAATTACATGACTAATGTACCTCCAAGATGGCCGGTGCAAAACACAAAGGGGTCTATTGTGTGACCCTGGCTGGTCGGGGTCAATAAGTGGGAAGAGGACACGGCAAATTGGTTCTGAAGGAGTTTTATTCTGGAAGAAAAAAAACAGGAAAAGGAAAGACGTATTAAAATGTGTTTTTTTCTGGTCTCCAGTCAGACTTTGCATCACAGCACAGAACATATTAAAGGAAACCATTAGAAGACATTCAAGAGAATCATTAGGATAAGTCAATCAATCAAAAAGTACATCGTCACATTAAACGGAGTTAAACAAAGAGAATCTCAAACAAGGGCGGATCCAGAACACAATTTTTATTTTGGTGAGGGGGGTTGGAGGGCCCCCAAAAATTGTCCCCAAAATATGGATCAAAACATTATGACGTAGGGTTCGGTGCTGGCTAGGGCCCCAACAATTTTGGATTCTAAATGTTCTGTGGTGCGATCTGAGGCAATTTCTGACCACTTTAACCATTTTTTTTAGAGGAAAAGATGGTGGTGTAGGCCTACGCAGTGCCTGCCTTCATAGCGACGTCACTAAAAAAAACAAAAATGGGGGGGGGGGGGCAAAGGCCCCAGTTGCCCCCTTGGATCCGCCTTTATTCCCAAAGTACAGAGAAAGCGTGAACAAGTGGCAACTTTGTGGCGCAATGTAGGCCTAAGGAGCTAAGCGGCATTGTCGTTGTGGTCACTCCGTGAAAATCTTGAAACATTAATTTGACTACTAACTTTCAAAATATATTAATATCTTCTTTGTTTCAAAAACAAATAAATGACGTAAAATAATCTAACTTTGTCATCATATAGATGCAGGTACGAAAAGAGCCCCTTGTATGCTTACAATGTATATGACTTCTTGACACAGGTTTGTCACTTTCCATAGATCGATGCCAATAAAAAAAAATCACAATCTTTTCTAAATTGCAAAA